AAAGATATTAAATTTTATTTAATTATTAATTAGTTAAGAATTAATTAGTGAAAGAATGAGGACTGTAGGTGCTACCATACTCGATATATCGAGGCTCAAAGTTTTAAGGTAAATGGTCAAAATCAAGAGAACAGTTGATAAATTGAAAAAAGTATTTAACCCACTCTGTGTACCAACAACTTTTGTCGACTAATAATAAGTTTCAGCTCGCTAACTCTTATGGTCACAGAATTCGGTCGGTTTGACTCAAAATCGAACTTGACTCTTTTAAAGAAAACTTAAAATGTTGTTTCGCAAAACAAGTGCATTTTCTGGTCTATCATCAAAAGTTACATTGGCCAAATGAGTTTCCTGAAAATAGCTGCTCACATAACTGAACAAAATGTGATCAAAGTTTAAACTTTCGCCTCGATTTTCTACAAAATTATAATATCAATCAGACAAACTTTTTAGTAACATAAATGGACTCAGTTTTTACTTCTTCACAAAGTAACAGAGTCTAAGGGCCGTATTCACCAACCGAGATTAATCATTTTGATCTCCGAATCAAGCTTAAACTCGGTTGGTGAATACGGCCCTAAATTTGAAAGATATTAATATTAGCAAATATACAAATAGCAAGTTCGAATAGCAGGATTCTACAATTTTGTCGTTCAAGACACAAGAAAATGGAGATTTTTCCAAATAAGGGCTTAAGCTGAGCCATGAAATTTTCTTTATTGAACTTGAAACCAACAGAAAGTATAAAAAAAGCAAAACTAGAAGTAAAGATGTGAAACCGTAAACAAAACAGCAAATACTATTGCTTAGGTTACAGTAGACGAAGAGTTAATAATAAAACATGTTATTCATAAAACTAAAGCTTAAGCTTATGGAAATATGATGCGATTGTTGCAGTATATTTCATCATGCTTGAAATATTAAGTATCTTTATGTCTGGATTCTCTGATGAATATGTGCATTTCAACAACTTAATGTGCGTTTATTTCCATCCTTGGTCTATTTCATCGATTTGAGTACATTGCATCATGCTTAAATATTAAAAGTATCCTTGTGTCTGGATAGAGTCTTTCATAAACCATACAGTTCAAGGACTTGATGTGTATTTCATCTTTGGTCTCGGTTAAATTTATTTGAATTTGTGATTCTCGTCAACTTGAGCTAGCTTGGACTGTCCCTGAGAGTGATCCATTGAAACACATGAGTTCCATTCATCTGCTACTACTTTTGCTCTTTCAAATTTATCTCAAATTCTAATGAATCATGCTAGTGATAAATATGTCTACGAATCATCGGAAGATCATGAAAAGGGGTGGACTCAACAGTGTATAAAGCAGTTTTGTGTTTCATTATTGGCATTTCATCGCTTTCTTTCTTCAAGTGAAGATATTTCATTTTCATTTCTAAATTTTTTTCAATTTATTTTTCTTTTGATTTAATATCGAGGGCGAAGGCCAAGTCTTCGGATTCAAGAAATTTTAGAGTACACTAGTGGTCAGGGTTAAGTTAGCAAAAAAGGCTCACAGTTAAGTTAATTTTTAAGTGTCGCCATCTTGAGAAGTATAATTTTAAGAGATACTAAAAAATGAAATCTATGAAAAATTAAATTTGATCTTAAAAGTACTGTTATTTCTTGTTAGATGGCGACTATGATAAAATCTCCAATTTTCTTAACTTAACCCTGACTACTAGTGTAATTAACCTGATCATGTTTATAATTAATTGTTTTTAAGTCCAACTAGTCTCCCCAGTAGTCAGTCATTATATAAGTTTCTAGGTCTAACTGACTGTTTTAATTATTTATTTTTTTTAAATTTCAGTGTTAATCAAAAACACCCTTAAAAATACTCCCGCCATTGGCTAAGCGTTTAAATGCCTTCTCATATGTTCATTTTGTAACGTCTTTCTCCGTAAAATCTTCACCCTAACCTAATTAACCTAATTTACCTAATTTTTCAATTTATTTTTCTTTTGTTTATTATTAACATTTTTGTGTTATAGTTTTATGATTATTATTGATTTGTAAGACTAAAAAAATTCTACGTCTTTTGTTCCACAGTTATCTTCATTTTAGAATCTACTTTTGGATATTTTACATTTGTGTTGATCCTTTCTTCGGCGGAAAAAGATGAGTTCGCGACCTTATAATTCTCGAGGAAGAGGTCGAGGTTACAATGGCAATAGTCCTGGACGGCGTTATGATGGAAACACTGGCTATCGTGGAAGATCTCACCAAGGTGGTGATCATAACAGAAGGCGGAATATGGTTGATAATAATTTGGTCAAGAGCCAAAATGTTCAATGGGACTATAATAAGTCTCAAATTGGATTAGAAGTTCCTGAATTTGTGAAAAGGAGAGGATATTTGTCTGAAAAGTTTGGTCGCAAAATCAAATTAATGACGAATCATTTTTCGTTCCAATATTCACCAGATGTTCAAATTTATCATTATGACTTTTCATGGAATGGTACAGATGAGAAAGAAGCAAAAGAGAGTAAACTAAACAGCTATGAACGTTACAAGTTATTCGACGCAGTTATGGCACAATACCCACAGTATTTCAAGAGCTCTTCAGTCGGTTATGATGGTGAGGCAAATGTGTATTTACCATATAAGCTTCAAACGAAATTGAGCGATCTTTCTGTATCGGCTGTCGAATTGGAAGATGGAGTTAAAAAAAATTTTAGTGTGACTTTTAAAGGTGGTAAAGTCATTTCTTTGGCATTAGTTAAAGAATATTATTATGGCTGGAAGACCGATGATATTAAACGGGAATCTCTCCAAGAAGCCATTCAGGCCCTTCACATTATTTTGAAGTTCCCTTCAAGATACAGTATGATAGCTTTGGGTCGCCTCGCCATGTTTCCGATTAATGCAGAGAGATATTATTTGTCAAACTGGATGGAATTGGCTTTGGGTCATAGAAAATCTCTTCGATTTTCAGAAATTGGTTTGACATTGGTAGTCGATAGAGCATCTGCTGCATTCCTCAAGTCTGGTAATGGTTTAGACTTTGTAAAATCTATAATTGATCGCCAAGGAGGATCTCTGTCTACTTTTTCACCCAATCCAGCGCATATAAGAGCCCTCAAAAGTGCTTTTGCTAATGCTAAAATTTCGACTGGTCATCTCAAGTGTCCAAAAAAATATGTTGTGAAAGATATTGCTGAAAAGGCAGCTAATAGAGACACATTTTCTTTAAATGAAAATGGAATCGAGAAAGAGATTACTGTTGCCGATTATTTCCGAAAAAAATATAAAATAGTCTTGAAATACCCTAATCTACCTTGTTTAATTACGCGTAACAACTCCAGAATCCCAATAGAAGTGTGTAAAATTGAACCAAATCAATCATCACAAAGTATTAAAAGGCCTCTAAGTGCACAAGAAAAGGCTGAAATGATCAAACTTACCGCTACTGAACCTGATGAAAGGTTTACGTGTTTATTACAAGCACATGCACAGATTTGTGGTCTAGTCAATGAAGATCTTGGAGATTTCAAGTTGGGCATTCATGTCTCTCCAATTGGCGTTGAAGGAATTGTTCTGAATGCACCAAGACTTTCATATCACGGAGCAGAATTCACACCAAAAGATGGCGCATGGAACCTTCAAGACAAAAGTTTTTTCAGAAAAATAACTTTTGACAACTTTGGAGTTTTAAATTTCTGTGCTTCCCAGCAAGAAGTTGAGTCTTTTTGCGCAGCGTTTACCAAAAAAGCATCTGAAATGAAAATGATCACAAGACCAGGTCGAAGCCCATTGGTCGAAAGCATAAAGGATTATATGGAAATGACGAAAAAGGGATTAGACAATATCATCATGAATACGCTAACAGCAATGAAAAATAAGAAATGCGCTTTTGCGTTGTGCATTTTTCCAGACATTAAAGATATCAGACATAATAATAAAGCAATTTATAATTTGACAAAAAGAATAGCTGATACTAAACTGAATTTCCCGACCCAAGGTGTAACTTTGGAGAGTGTGCAACGTTGTTCAGCCCAGACCATAACTAACACTTTAGCAAAGGTTAATAAGAAACTTGGTGGCATCAATGTAATTCTCAAAGAGACTATCAAACCCAATCTTCTTCAGTTCAAGAAAAATAATAAGATAATGATCATTGGAGCTGATGTCACTCATCCAGGTACCGGAGATGAGCTTCAATCATCAGTAGCTGCTTCGGTTTCAACTTATGATGCAAATCATACAATGTTTTATCCATCAGTTCGTGTTCAACCTAAAAAAGATGGAAAGAGAATCGTTGAAGTCATCAAAGATTTCAAGTCTATGGTCCAGGAGCACCTGAAAAATTTCTCAAAAGTGAATAATTCGTTTCCTGATATAATTCTGTATTTAAGAGATGGAGTCTCTGATGGAGAATATAGACGAATTTTGAATGAAGAAGTCATTCATTTAAAGAATCCTTTTGGTAATAAATATAAACCCAAAGTTACTGCTTGTGTTATCAGCAAACGTATCCTTACTCGAACTAGACCAATAGACCCAGAGGATGCAGTTATGAAGAACGTTCCACCAGGAACAACAATTGACAGAATTATCACTCATCCATCAGACTTCGATTACTTCCAGTATGGCCATAAAGGTATTAAGGGTACATCACGTCCATGTCATTATTATATGCTTCACGATGATAACAATTTAACAATAGAGGAAATGTCTAAGATTACTTATTATTTGTGTCATATATTTGAACGATCCACCTCATCGACATCGGCTCCAGCTCCTGTTATGCACGCTCATAATCTTGCCTTCAAAGTGCGACAATGGATCTGCAGCAAAGATGTGAAATATAATCGCAGAGTATTAAAACCAGAAGAACGATTTCAGGAAGAAGAAAAAATTACCAGAGAATTGAATTCTGAGTTCTCAAATATTAATGATCATTACGCTAGATCTTGTATGTTTTATATCTAAATACAAAAAAATGAAATATGCACTAATTTATTTGATAATTTTATACAATAATCCGTTTCAATTATTTAAAAATTTGTAATTTGAAAAGTCATTGTAACTTATTAACAACTATGTAATTCTAGATATTTAATTATCATTCCAACAACCATGAGAAGTCAAAGCAATAATAAATCATTAAGAATTTTTATGTTTTACTTATCAAAATGAATTCTTCAACTTTTCGGGTTTTCAAACACCCAAGCTCAGGCAACTGTTCTCTTGATTTTGGCGTTTACCTAAAAACCTTGAGCCTCAATATTTCGAGTGTGGTAGCACCCACAATCATCATTCTTTAGCTAACACAATCCTTTACTAATTAATAATTAAATACATTTAATAAATTGCCATTAGTGCGTTTAAACTCATCTCAACCCATTTCTTGGTAAATAAACTAATTTTCTGGTTAAACAAAGTTTGATGTTAAACAAAGTGCTGCTAAAGACTCGAGTATTTGAGCTAAGGGTTGAAACTCAGTGGGTTTGTAGGGACATGCAAACTGAGTCTATTGGTGCAGCTAAATATTAATAATTCGTCCAATGGATAGTTTTCTAGATAATCGAAGTCAAAGTTTAAACTTCGACCGACTTTTGTACGATTATGGAGTCGGTATTTTTCATGAAACTTCATTCAATTAATGTAACATTTGATAATGAACCATAAAATGCACTTATTTTTCGAAATTAAATTCTATGGATTCTGTAAAACAAATAAGTTCGATTTTTAACCAAACCGACCTCATTCTGTAATCGAAAAAGTTAGAGAGCTGAAACCTTTTGTCAATAGATAAAAATTGTTATAGCACATCAAAGGTACGAAAACTTTTTTCAATTTATCGATAGTTCTCTTGATTTTGGCTAAAAACTTAGAAACTTTAAGTCTCATTATTTCGAGAATGGCATCACCTACAATGAACATTCTTTGGCAGAGCATTAGATTTCATTTTAGGCTATAATGTAATGTGTGTAAATGACAAACAAAATTTGACTAATTCATTTAACGATCAATTTAACACATCATAAGATTTGTGTTTGAGTTACCTTAACTTTATATTAATGAATCAAGTCTTAAACCTGACATCGTAAGTTATACAATGCTATACATAACTTTGTATTATCTTAAATGATCTAAACGTTATCAATACGTTATAGCCCATAATAAAATCTAATGTTTGGTCTAGTAATGAAAACTGTAGGTACTACCATACTCGAAATATCGAGGCTCAAATTTTTTAGGTTTCAGGCCAAAATCAGGAGAACCATTGATAAATTGAAGCAAGTATTTAGCCCACGATGTGACCCGACAACTTTTATTAACTAATAATAAGTTTTAGCTCTCTTACTTTTATGGTCGCAGAATTCTGTCGGTTTTACTTAAAATCGAACTTAACTCTAACTAATCTGTTTTACAGGAAACTTACAATTTTATTCGCAAAATAAGTACATTTTCTGATTTAGCATACAAAGTAACATCTATTAAGGGCCGGTCCGGTAATCATTTTCAATCTCATTTAATGTCATTTAATTCAATATCTCATTAAAATTTTTTATCTTGAAACGATATCATTGGTTTGATTGAGGAAAAATGTTACCTTTGTCATGCTCATATAGTTTAAAGTGTCCGGTGAACATCTCTTTATAATTTTTAATTGAGATTGAAATGATTACCGGACCGGCCCTAAATGAAGTTTCATGAATTGAAATAACATCATAATTGTCCAAAAGGCGGACGAAGTTTCAACTTTGACTTCGATTTTAGAGAAAGCTGTCCATCGGATGAAGTATTTAATAGGACCAACAGACTCAGATTTAATAGCCCTACAAACCCACCGAGTCTCAACTCTTAGCTTAAATTTTCGAGCTTTTGGCATTAGTTTATGCATTCAATTTGCAAGTTTAACCAGAATATTGTTTTATTTACCAAGAAATGGGTTGAGATGAGTTTACTTTGCTGAATAAGTTGTTGCTCGTCTCTTTATGACTCAAATATCACAATCGAAATGTGCTAAGTGAAAGTTATTAAATTGTATTGAATACTTAATTAGTAAAGGATTAAATTAGAGAAAGAATGAGGACTGTAATAGTACCATACTCGAAATATCGAAATTCAAAGTTTTTAGGTAAATGGTCAAAATCAAGAGAACCATGAATAAATTGAAACAAGAATTTAACCCACTCTGTGTACCGATAACTTTTGTGGAATAATAATAAGTTTCAGCTCTCTAACTTTCATGATCACAGAATCCTGTCGGTTTAAAATAAAATCGAACTAATCTGTTTTACAGGAAAAGAAAAGTTTTATTTCGCGAAATAAGGGCATTTTCTGGTTTATCATCAAAAGTTACATCAATTAAATAAAGTTTGATGAAAAAATCTTCTTCCGAAATCGAACAAAATGCGATCGAAGTTTCAACTTTTACTTAGATTTTCTAGAAAACTGTCCATCGGATGAATGATTTAAAAGCAACAATAGACTCAGTTTGCATATCCCTACAAAGCCATCGAGTCTCAACTCTTAGCTCAAATGCTCGAGACTTTGGCATTAGTTTTTACATTTCATTTGCAAGTTTAACCAGAAAAGTGGTTTATTTACCAAGAAATTGGTAAATATGAGTTTACTTTGCTGAATAAGTTGTTGCTCGTCTCTTTATGACCCGAATATCACAATCGAAATGTGCTAAGTTAAAGTGATTAAATTGTATTCAATACTTAATTAGTAAAAGATTAAATTAGTGAAAAAATGATTATTGTAGGGCATGCCATTCTCGAGCTAATGAGGTTCAAAGTTTTTAGGTAAATGGCCAAAATCAAGAGAACAGTTGATAAATTGAAAAATGTATTTAGCCCACGATGTGTATTGACAACTTTTATCGACTAAAAATAAGTTTCAGCACTCTAGCTACTACTGTCACAGAATTCGGTCGATTTGTATCAGAATCGAACTAATCTGTTTTAACGAAAACTTGAAATGTTATTTCGCAAAACAAGTGCATTTTCTGGTCTATCATCAAAAGTTACATTGGCAATATGAGTTTCCTGAAACAATCAGCTCACATAACTGAAGAAAATGCGATCGAAGTTTAAACTTTGGACTCGATTTTCTAGAAAATTATCAATCAGACAAACTTTTTAGTAACACAAATGGACTCAGTTTGCATTTCCCTACAAAGTGACAGAGTCCAAATTTGAAAGAAATAAGGATTACCCGATTTTGTGTCAATTTGTACCGATTCGTGCATACGACTAATTTAAATGTGACAATTGTGCTACAACAGTTGTTTTCTAGTAACAACCCATTTAGTAACATTTTAGTAATTCAATCACTATGGTAGACGCATTTCTAGAATTGGTAAATCTTAAGCTTGAAATCTTAAGTTCAAAAATTACAATCTGGATATTTTCAAATTAGTTTTAGCTTCTTGTGCAACCAGAAAATATTTTATTTGCCAAGAAATGGGTTGAGATGAGTTTTGTTTGTTGAATAAGTTGTTGCTGTTACATTTAAAACCCAAAAATCATAATCCAAATGCGCTAATCAAAAGTTATTAAATTGTATGAAATTATTAATTAGTAAAGAATTAAATTGGTCTAAGAATGACGACTGTAGGTACTACCATTCTCGAAATATCGAGGCTCAAAGTTTTTAGGTAAATGGTCAAAATCAAGAGAACTATTGATAAATTGAAAAAAGTGTTTAACCCACAATGTGTACCGACAACTTTTATCAACTAATAAAAAGTTTTAGCTCTGTAACTTTTATGGTCACAGAATGCGGTCGGCTTAACTGAAACTCGAACGAATCTGTTTTACAGAAAAAGGAAAGTACTATTTGTCAAAATAAGTGCATTTTCTTGTTAGCCAGCAAAAGTCACATTCTTAAAATCGCGTTTCATGAAAAAATCTGCTTTCATAAAGGTACAAAATGCGATCGAAGTTTCAACTTTGAACTCAATTTTCTAGAAAACTATCGATCAGAGAAATTAGTAAATTGCACAACTGAAACCAGTTTTCGCGTCCCTACAAACTAACAGAGTCTAAATTTGAAAGAAATTAATTTTTACCCGTCTTTACCCATTTGTGTCAATTTGTGCATAAATGTGTTAATTATGTCTATTTAGTACACACTAGTCCCAACTCTTAACTTGAAATAACATCTATTACTCTTTCCCTGCAGATATCAATATTGATTATGATATTGAATCGATATAAAGGAATAGAAACACTCATCGGAGTTCCATCCTCATACATAATACAATCAATTTTATTAATTAAAAAGCAAAACTAGAAGTCTAGGTGTAAAACCGTTAACAAAACAGTAAATAATATTGCTTGGGTTCCAGTAAATAATATAAAGAGTTAATAAAAAACATGTTATTCATAAAGCTAAAGATTAAGCCTATGGAAATATGATGCGATTGTTACAGTATATTTCATCATGCTTGAAATATAAGTATCCTTTTGACTGGATTCTTTAATGAATCTGTACATTTCAACAACTTAATGTGCGTTTATTTCCATCCTTGGTCTGTTCAATCATTTTGAATTTGTGATTCTGGTCAACTTGAGCTAACTCAGACTGTCGCTAATTGTGATCCATGGAAACAGATTTCATTCAGCTGTAACTGTTTTTACCATTTCAAATTTTATTGCAATTCTAAAGATACTAGTGATAAATATGCCTACGAATCATGGAAAGATCATGAAAAGGGGTGGACTCAACAGTTCCTTATATAAAGCAGTTTTGCTTTTCATTATTGGCATTTCATCGCTTTCTTTCTTCAAGTGAAGATATTTCATTTACAATTTTATCAATTTTTATTGTCTTCTGTTAACCTAAATTTTTTTCAATTTATTTTCTTTTGTTTATTATTAATATTTTTGTGTTATTTACAAGTTTTATTATTTTTATTGATTTGTGATACTAAAAAATTTCTACGTCTTTTGTTCCACAATTATCATCATCATTTTTTTACTTTTGAATATTTTACATTTGTGTTGATTCTTTCTTCGACGGCAAAAGATGAGTACGCGACCTTATAATTCTCGAGGAAGAGGTCGAGGTTGCAATGGCAATAGTGCTAGATGGCGTTATGATGGAAACACTGGCCATCGTGGTGGACCTGAACTGCAAAGACCCTCAGAAAATTTCAACCGTAGAGCCCAAAGCGAGAGCTATAGCAGAGCTTTTCATCAGGAAAGACCTAACATGATTGATAATAATTTGATTAGCAGCCAAAATGTTCAATGGGCCGACGATAAATCTAAGATGGGATTGTCAGTATCTGAATTTGTGCCAAGGAAAGGATATTTAGCTGACAAGTCTGGTCGTAAAATCAAATTAATGACGAATCATTTTTCGTTCAGTTTTTCGCCAGATGTTTCAATTTATCATTATGACTTTTCATGGAATGGTACAGATGAGAAAGAATCAAAAGAGTGTAAACTAAACAGTTATGAACGTTACAAGTTATTCGACGCAGTTATGGCACAATACCCACAGTGTTTCAAGAGCTCTTCAGTCGGTTATGATGGTGAGGCAAATGTGTATTTACCATATAAGCTTCAAACGGAATTGAGCGATCTTTCTGTATCGGCTGTCGAATTGGAAGATGGAGTTAAAAAAAATTTTAGCGTGACTTTTAAAGGTGGTAAAGACATTTCTTTGGCATTAGTTAAAGAATATTACTCTGGCGCACAGATGGATGAAACTAAACGGAAATCTCTCCAAAAAGCCATCCAGGCCCTTCACATTATTTTGAAGTTCCCTTCAAGATACAATATGAAAGCTTTGGGTCGCCTCGCCATGTTCCCGATTGATGCAAAGAGATATTATCTGTCAAACTGGATGGAATTGGCCTTGGGTCATAGAAAGTCTCTTCGATTTTCAGAAATTGGTTTGACATTGGTAGTGGATAGAGCATCTGCAGCATTTCTCAAGTCTGGTAATGGTTTAGATTTTGTAAAATCTATAATTGATCTCCAAGACGCATCTGATTTTGAGCCAAACCCAGCGCAAATTGAAGCCCTCAGAAGGGCTTTTGCTAATGTTAAAATTTCGACTGATCATCTCGACTACACAAAAAAATATATTGTGAAAGATATTGCTGAAATAGCAGCTAATAAAGACACATTCAAGTTAAAGGAAGGGGGAAGCGAGGTTACTGTGGCCGGTTTTTTCCAACAAAAATATGGGATAATCTTACAATACCCTAATCTACCTTGTTTGATTGCAATTAATGGATCCAGAATTCCAATAGAAATCTGTAAAATTGTGCAAAATCAATCATCACAGAGTATTAAAAGACAACTAGATGCCCAAGAAAAGGCTAAGATGATCAGTCGTACCGCTACTGAACCTGATGAAAGGTTTACTTGTTTATTACAAGCACATGCACAAATTCGTCGTCTAGTCGATGAAGATCTTAAAGATTTCAAGTTAGATATTAACGTCAAACCAATTGGAGTTGAAGGGATTGTTCTGAATGCACCAAGACTCGCATACTACGAAAAAGAATTAACGCCAATGAATGGTGCATGGAACCTTCAAGGAAAAAGTTTCTTCAGGAAAATAACTTTTGACAAATTTGGAGTTTTAAATTTCTGTGCTTCCCAGAAAGAAGTTGAGTCTTTTTGCACAGCGTTTACCAAAAAAGCATCTGAAATGAAAATGATCACAGGACCAGCTCGAAGCCCATTGCTCGAAAGCATAGGAGATTATATGAAAATGACGAAAAAAGACTTGGCCAATAGAATCATGGACGCGCTAACAGAAATGAAAAAGAAGGGATGCGCTTTTGCGTTGTGCTTTTTACCAGACATTAAAGAAGGCAAACACAATAAAACAATCTATAATTTGACAAAAAGGATAGCTGACACTGTACTGAATTTTCCAACCCAAGGTGTAACTCTGCATAGTGTGCAACGTCATGACGTCCAGACCATAGCTAACATTTTAGCTAAGGTTAATAAGAAACTTGGAGGTGTCAATGTAATTCTCAAAGAGACTATCAAACCCAATCTCCTTCAATTCAAGAAAAATAAGATTATGATCATTGGAGCTGATGTCACCCATCCAGGTACCGGAGATGAGCTTCAATCATCAGTAGCTGCTTCGGTTTCAACTTATGATTCAAATCATGCAATGTTTTATCCATCGGTTCGTGTTCAACCTAAAAAAGATGGAAAGAGAATTGTTGAAGTCATCAAAGATTTCAAGTCTATGGTCCAAGAGCACCTGGAAAATTTCTTCAAAGTGAATGATTCGTTTCCTGATACAATTTTGTATTTAAGAGATGGAGTCTCTGATGGACAATACAGGCAAATTTTGAATGAAGAAGTCATTCATTTAAAGAATCCTTTTGGTGATAAATATAAACCCAAAGTTACTGCTTGTGTTATCAGCAAACGTATCCTTACGCGAACTAGACCAATAGATCCAGAAGATGCAGTTATGAAAAACGTTCCACCAGGAACAACAATTGACAGAATTATTACTCATCCATCAGACTTCGACTACTTCCAGTATGGGCACAAAGGTATTAAGGGTACATCACGTCCATGTCATTATTATATGCTTCACGATGATAACAATTTGACAATAGACGAAATGTCTAAGATTAGTTATTATTTGTGTCATATATTTGAACGATCCACCTCATCGACATCGGCTCCAGCTCCTGTTATGCACGCCCATAATCTCGCCTTCAAAGTGCGACAATGGATCTGCAGCGAAGATCTGAAATATAATCGCAGAGGTTTAAAACCAGAAGAACGATTTGAGGCAGAAGAACAAATTGCTAGAGATTTGAATTCTGAGTTCTCAAAAATAAATGCTGATTACGCTAGATCTAGTATGTTTTATATCTAAATACAAAACAATGAAATCTTCACTTATTTTTTCGATAATTTTATACAATAATCCGTTTCAATTATTTAAAAAATGTAATTTGAATGTCATTGTAACTTATTGACAACTATGTAATTCTAGATATTTAATTATCATTCCAACAACCATGAGAAACCCAAGATTATAATAAATTATTAGGAATTTTTCAAAAATAATTTGTTAAACTTAATTCCTGATACTTATCATAAGGTAATTCAGACTTACAAACCAAGCCATATCCACCAGATTACCCTAACTTTGAACAAAAAGTCTGAACTAAAATATCCACTCATCTACATTCAAATTGCGTATCGGATTAAACTAATATATTGCTTGCATTACCAATTTAAAGAAAGTTTATTTTCTAAGGACTTGATTAACTCATAGATGCCGCTTTACATTTTCAACATTCAGCTATTTGAGCTTCTTTTTAGCCAAGCAAGCTGCGGCTTAGCATGAAAACGTGAGCTTGCAGACTTTTGAACAACTTTACCCAATTGTCCATACTTCAAAATCTCGTCTAAATAGCCAACAGCAAAATATGACATTTAGAAATTACTCTCAATCAACCCAAAATTTGGTCCGAATTTCTCACCAAAATATTTGAAACAATAAAATATATTCAAACAACTGAATAACCTAAACTCATCCCCTTTTCCCCTCTCCTTCAGCCATGTTAAATCCATAATTTTAAAACAATGCGCATGTTTAGGTGTAGCAGCGCTTACAGTGCACAAGCTACTGGCTCACCTGTCACAAATACCTTTAAAAAATAAAAATACATTCATGGGAAAAATTGTGTCTGTAGTTTGTTTTATATTGGAAAAAAGTTGCTCTTTTGTGTGGGATCTTTATCTTTTGTTTTAATTTATTTTTGTTATTAATTCTTTTCATAATATTTTTGTTTATTAGTGTAATGGCAAATATGCGACGATATGCAAATATTTTGATCACCGGAACTCCTGGTACCGGTAAGACATCAATATGTGAGAAGCTTTTGAGTTCCCTCCATAATTACCAATACATCAATGTTGGTGAGTTTGCTGCTGAAAGGCAACTTTACATTGAATATGACCATCAACTAGAATGCCATGTGCTGGATGAAGATGCTGTAGTTGAACAAATGAGGCCTATCATGGAGGATGACCAAGGTGGTATCATTGTTGACTTTCATGGTTGTGACCTATTCCCTGAAGAATGGTTTGATCAAGTTTTTGTCTTAAGAACATCAAATACACCTTTATTTGATCGTCTCTCTGATCGCGGTTATTCACAGAAAAAATTGGACACCAATGTGGAAAGCGAAATATTCCAGGTTATTCTGGATGAGGCTAAACAAACTTTTGATGAAGACATTATTGTTGAGCTGAACAATGATGAACCCGCTGATCTGGATGCAAATGTGAACCATATATTGGATTATATAGAATGTCGGAATAACCGACACTATGATGGATTAAGATGAATTATGGGATAAAGCAATTCCTGCTTTTAATCGCAATATATTAAGAGATTGAAGTAATGGTAAAAAAGGGGTTTGATAACTTTTTTATATATATAAAATTTGACACTTTAAACTAAATTACAAAGCAATGAATGACATTATTATGTGCAAGTAAGACTATTATGAAACAAGATATCTTTTTATACCATTTTTTATCATATACATTAATCTCATTAAGCAATTCACAGATTAACTCGAATCCATTGGAACTTCTCCAGTCTCCTCTTCCTCCAGTTTCACCTTTACCTCTTCGCTTCCCTCCTCTTCATCACTCGGCATCTCAGCTGCCTCCTGTTTAGGATCTCCTGGAAGATACTCTTGAACCAAGTTCAGAATCAAATTGAGAGCCTCCTCACTGAATCGTTCCTCATTCTCCTCAATCAACAGCTGAAGTTCTACCAAAGTAGCTGGTCGGTTGTTGATTAGTTGTAATTTTTCGGCTTTAGTAAGTCGAATCCCTTTTGCTTTAAGAGCAAGTAAAAATGCCCGTATCGTCTCCTCACTTTGATAAACACAGTTAGTCTCTTCCAAGTATTTAATCGCTTCGTACGTCACCGTGGCCAGATTTTTTTGATCCTTAAGCCTTTTGCTATCCTTAACATTCTTCAGTATGTTCCAAACCTCGTAATTAGAACACAAAATGGTTGGTTTCTTTATTATTTCCATATTTATGTACCGTCAAAATCTCCTCTATTATCCTATTAATTAATGTTAAACCTAAATAAAAAAAAGTTGTACAACAAAAAAAAAGATGGATTGATGTTTAATTTAACCTGGAAACACATGAAAAAAAAAACAAAACTAATCAGGCAACATGTCATGTTGATCATGTAGTCATGGTTTTTAGACGAACACAAAATGCTTGTGTCTCCATCTCTCGATACAACAATCTAAATTTAAATCGCATCTGAATTTAGTTAATTAGCCATTGAAATAGGCAAACATTAAACATTATGTTACAAAACTTGATCAACAGCACACGCAATAATTTAAATCTGAATAGGCGAGTCGATCCATAAAGAGTCTGAATAAATCTATTATATAATCAATGATGTTTATAAATTTGAAGCTATTACAATCAACAAACATGGCATTAACGGAAAATCCTTGTAATGATTCAACAATTAATTAGCTATCTACAATTAATTGTGCTTACCTTTAACAATCTAATTTTCCTGCCTAGTTTAACATTCAACATTGAAATAACTTGAAAGATTATCCCATTTTGTGCCAAGTTTCGCTTCGAGCGAAATTAACTCATAACTAAATAACTCGAACCAAAGATGTAAATCAGTCTTTCTCCCTGTAAACTATACAACTCTTTTCCTCTCCACATTCAACAATCAAGGTGAAACTGTATTTAGAAACTGAATAATCAAGATGTGTGAAAAGACGATTACAAGATGTAAATACATAAATAGACTTAGCATAGAATGCAAAAGCCATTATTTCAAATTAACATTGCTCTGGTAATTGATCCAAACACGAATCAATTAAATCAATTTTCACTCACAAAACTGGTTCATCTAAAAAAAGTAGATTGAGCTTGATTATTGAAGTAATCAAGAGATTTTGTTTACAATTTGAAAGCCAAGTCAAGAGTCAAATCTTTTCTGGTAATATTTATAGTCGCCATTTTAACCCGGCTAATGTGATTCATATCCTTCAAACAATCAGGCAATTTCCTGATCATCAGGATGAGGTTAATTTGTGAGTCTTGCCATTGAAACAATATGATAATGAAAATATAATAATAATAGCAACAGGGGTAAAAAGATGATTAGATGATCAAGTTTCCTGAAAACAGCCAATTGATTAACCAAGAAAGCAGCTATTTTTTTAGCTGAAAACCTAAGCAATAAAAAAATCAATGAAATGCAAAGTGTAAATAAGTGAAACAATTAAATCTAAATTGTGTTAAACAGAGATTAGAAGGTGGTTGAAAGAGTTGAAAGATTGTGAGAAAGGTTTGGATGATAAAGAAAGAGTTGAAAGAGGAAGATTGAAAAAGAGTGAGATTAAAGCAAAAAATTTTTCAGCAAATAAATGTCAAGACATTTTACGCCTTAGCTCTACATATTTTGAACCACAAATTTGCTCTTCCAACTGTACTCCAACCATCATCATCATCATCATCCAAGTCTCTCTCTCTCTCTCTCTCTCTCACTTGCTTTCGTTAGCCAAATGAACGTAACATCGAATCACAAACTGTTGAAAATCATCTTTTTTCGTTTTCGTCTTCCTCTTCCTGCTGTCTTTTTTATCATCCTGCTTTCCCTTTCCTTTTCATTTTCATCTTCTTGCGCTGAAAAAACACACATACACACACTCACATCATCATCATGTTGGTTCATTTTTAGATCTCTGGTTGACGAACCAGAGAGCTGATTCGTCTTTCTGCTTTTCTCCTTGATTTTCATTCAACAATTACTTGATTTAGTTGTGTTTGTTTTTGCCTCTCTTCCAGCATTAACTACTGTGTTCACCAATTCTGATATTTTTTCGGGTCATCTACTTGTTATTGGCCAAATTTGATTCCTTTACGTCCATAGTAACCCTGATCTAACCAGATCAACCTTGACTGCCATTTCTGGTTTACGTGAAAATTTGTTTCTTTGACTACCTTGGATCCATTTAATCAGCTGATAATGTCTGGTCAACTAATTACTGTTCGTATGAACCGCGGTGATGCTTCATCGCCTTGGGGATTTAGGCTTCAAGGAGGTAAAGACTGGGGAACACCTTTAGCCGTATCTAAGGTAGGTCAAGTTAAATTTTGTAGTATAATGTAAACCACTTGATCAGTTGTAAACAAAAATTTGTGCAAGCTTATGATTGACAATTTGCCAATCAGATTTGCCATTTGGTAACAAATAACATTGCCATTTTTCAAACACCGTAACCATCTGTTGTCCACTACTTGCAGTCAACCAGCCAAATTGGATTACTTGGATGCAACTTAGATTTACCTGCAATGAAAATCAAAGTTTAATCGTTAAATTACGACACAATTTGTCAATGCAAGATTACTTACTTTTAATCAGTGAAATTTCATTAAGTGTCAGTATTACTTGTGGTCAGGCTAACCTTATTGCATGTTTAATAAGTTATCTTTTTTATTGCAATTCACTTGTGAAAGTTGATCTGATTATTGAAATAAATCAGCAACCACCGGCAGTAGTAATAATCTGTCTAATCAACTGCAAACTTTTCATTGAATTTGGATTAGTTGGTTTTTTGGTCATTTAATCTCCTTAATTGTAATTGTAATAGCACAATTATGTCAATAAGTTAACTTTAACACCAGAATTGGCCTTGACATGAAAGACTTAACCATTGATTGATTGAACAATCTTGAATCCTTTCAGAGTTGGTGTATAGCAAGGTGTGTCTGGTCATTTTTGTGGCTTGAATCTGTAGCTGTGTCTAAAAAATCCATCATGATATAATTGATTCTTGGTTTGTATAAGAAAATCAGTTCAAATCACAAATGAATAGTATTAACACTTTTCCTTCTATTCGACGACATTCAAACGTTAACGAGATTATTCTGAAAAGAAAAAATTACTAAATTAATGATTGTTAATTATCTCCAAATGTAATCTCATCTATTATAATTACAATAATATTGTAATAAACAACACTCAGGTCCGTTTTACAATGTAACTAGGTGGTTTATCGGGTTGGGTGTATTGAAAAGAAACAATGTTATTTGTTGTAACAAAATGGTGCCTATTTGTTAACTCATTATAATCATTGTCACCATCAGCTTCAATCAAGCCTCTGATCAAGAAGCCGGCAACTATTAGAATGAAAGTGCAGTCAAGATTGCGATGTTGATTAAGTTGATTGTTGAGGGAAGAAAAGGTTTGATGACGGTAAAGAGAGCTTTATCCTCAAAATTAAGATTTCCAACAAGTTGATTAATGGATTGACGACAATCAAAATTACAACAGGATTATCTTGCTGAAGCAGATGAATTTTGTTATTCATTGTGAAACAAGAAAGGGAAGGCAAAGAGAGGAGATAAATATTGAAGATTTAGATGAAAAAAAATAAAGATGGAAAGATGATGTTGAAGATGGTAAAGAAGAAAAATCCTGAATGGTGATGAGATTCTTTAGTGTAAAATGTTAACAATCCTATTTAACTCTGCCCCTAACTTGGCAACCTAGAGTATAAACCAATCTGCATTGAGTAAGCATCTAGAAAGTAAAAAGATGAGGATAAGAAAGATGAGTAACTTGAAAAAGAGATGGATAGTGAGTTGAAGAGAGAGATGAAAACGATTTATACCACTTACCATCTTTGGTTTCTCACTTTGTGTTTGTATTACACATGCAAACGGTTACCAAAGTAATCCAAGCTTTGCTCCAAAATTAGGTCTTCCCTGTTGAAATGATGAGTAGAGGAAAAAAATGAGAGATATAGAGACAGGAGAAGAGAGAGATGACGAAAAGAAAGTTACAGTCCCTGAAATCAAAACATGTTTTTACCTAGATTTACTTTAGTAAAGATGCGAGGAAAAAAAGTTGACATTATTTTGCCAGAAAATAGTTGCACCATTTTATGAAAAATGTAGAGTAGACATAGGAAGGACAAAATGTGTTAAGGAAAGCTTATTGATGAGATATCACAATTATGTTGATGATTTGAATGGTTTAAACACACCGAGACACAAATAATTGCACAAATAGCTGAATCGAGTAAATTTGTAATAAAAATTGAAGGAAAAAACTAATTAAATTTCAATTATAAATTAACATAAATTAAAACTGTTGATCCTTTGTCTTTACTTTCCTTCTGCCAAGATAAACCCGGGAAGTTTGGCTGAACAGGGAGGACTTCAAGTGGGGGATTTTATAATTAAAATTGGTAACTCAACTGCTCAAGAAATGTTACATCATGAAGCTCAAGAAGCGATTAAAAGTGCCAAAAACAATCTTGACCTTCAAGTTCAAAGGTAAATACATAATTACAGTAAATTTCACTTAATAATCAACCCAAAATCTGATTCCTTTACATTAAAAAATGTCAGATTATGTTAGAAATTATTATAAATTGAGAAAAAGCATTATAAACATACCTTAAAAGTAGCTAAATGTATGAGAATGGAAGATGTTAGGCTTTTAATTTTGATAAGATTTGAAGCAATTACACTTAAATAGCTTAATTATAATTATACAATTTGATGAGATCAGGCAAATTTGTTTAAAAACCAATTTCGTTCCATTGTTTACTCTGGTTAAGTTTGAAGTTGCTAACAGTGTTTAGTGTCAATTCCCATTGCTTTTTAGGTGTCGTCGCTCTTTATATTGATCCGTGATGATTAAATTGATTTTGAAACTAAATCCATAAGTTTGATTGTGATCCTGATGAGGGTTAATCGCAAATAACCTGAAAAAAATGATGATAATTGTGATTCAAATAAAATCGCGCAATGTTAAGCTCATCAGAACCAGTTCAATCACCAGATTCACCCAATGATCAACAATGAGGAATTAAATTAAAGGCCGTTCTAATTTATATCGGATTAAATTTAACTTTTAAACTAATCAATTCAAACTTGATCTTCACATTAACTTAAAATAAAAACGTTAAGGATAACCAGAAAATTCAAATGAACCAAAAACCTTACTAACAGCCAAGATGATCATTCAATGTTTTAATGTTTTTGTTTCCAACCAAACTAACGCCTAAACCCAAAGGTTTAAAATGAGAATAAAATAATTTAAATTGTAATTTAAGTTTCTCGGTTTATTGGTTTCCAATTAGTGAATAAGTTACTGTAAGGTTGACATTTGATTGTGAGCAATTTAAAAAGCCATTCATCTCTCACAAATATACCAATTTTGTTATACCAACAGTTATGACAGTGATGATGAAGACGAGCATTTCAAGAAGATAATTCATTGGTTATTAACATTTAACTGGCGAGAGTAGACATGAAATATCAGTTGAAATGCGTCTAAATTGTATCGAAGTGATGTCAGTTTGGAGTGAAAAAACACCTCAACAGCAATTTGACATTAACAACATTTAGCTAATAATAACTTGATAGGTTTAAATTTTTCTTGCCACAGTTGAATGATAATTTGTGATTGTCATAAATACAACGATAATTATAACACAACGGTCTTGTTCAAATATGAATGTTGGATCATTAAAGTTAAACAATCGCTAAATTGTCGTGTAACTGTGATGAAATGAAGACAAAAGCTGAGAGTTTTTTTGCTGCTTTTTAGATGATTATTTAAGTCAGGGATGAATCAAGTATATAAATAGCATTAAATTGCCTTTTTCTCATTCTAATTATTTTATAATCAGAGGTGGAACGTTAACTTGGCGACCAACTGTAACTGCTGTGGGTGAACTGCCTAAACCTGGAACAGTAAACTCACCACCAACAACAACATACACCAAAACTTCACTGGCAAAAACTGGACCGGTGAGTTGCTTCAACGGTTGTGGTTATCAATATAAACAGTGATTTAAGTTGTAATTAACATTTGGTTAATATTTGGGTTCCCTTAACTAACCAATTCATCCCTTTTTGTGCGCCCTTTTCAAACATGTCACCTAACCGTTTACTTGAAGATGGATTGAGTCGTCACTTCTAGTTTTTGTTTTGTGTTTTAACCAAATCTTTGGTCAATTGTTTTACACATTTTTAATTATTGGCTATTTTTACTGGTATTTAAATAATTAAGGAACCTAAACCAATCGGAACTGGACACAATACAGCGGCAAAACCTTTCGGAGGAAACAAAAGACTACCTGCCTTGGTTCATAAACAGTTCAACTCACCACTTAACCTTTACTCTGAGACTAATATCAAGGAAACTCTTCAAGCCCATACAGAACAATTAGCCCCTGGAGTAATGGGGTAAGTAATTCAATCATATTAGACGTTTAAATTAAAATTTGAATTTTCATAACATATTTTTATTGATCTAATCGACTCTAGGATAAACTTTATGAAACCTGATGCACCAGTAAACAAGCATTCAGCTGTTTATCAAGCCATTTTAGAGGAAGAACAGAGCAAAAAAGGTAAGACGATTCGTTGAAAAATAGCTTTATTTATAATTTGTATGATAAACCGTTTGATCAATAGTAATTTAAAGAAAGCGAAAAGGCAAGTGGCAATTAAAACATCAACAATGAAATGCTTCATCTGCTATAACCGGCTTTTGCTCAAAATTATTAATAATTCATAATCATGCTCGATGCTTTACATCCAACTAATACAATTGATTAAGATTCAGGCCTAGGATAAAATTTAATGATAACATATAACCTCCTCTGATAAAACCTATTGGAATAATAGTTGAGCTAATCATCTCATTAAACTTGCCTTTACTTATACGATAATCTACTAACATGTAAATGTTTATAAAATGACAACTTCTACTCATGTCTCCTTTTACCTTTGTTTACCTGTGAATGTTTCTTATGTTAATTGTTGATTAGAAGTTAAATCAGGAACAATCGGAACTCCAACCCCAATATCACCAACTAATTCACCTCGTTTGGGAATCGGTTCAATTACCAAGCATGTTGATGCCCCAATATCCCGTGGATCAGGTCAAAATAATTCATCAGGTGACAATTCACAATCATCTCTTAACACTTGTGGTCAATGTGGGGGATTAATTACCGGAGTTTTCTGTCGTATTCGGGATAAATCACTTCATGCTGAATGTTTTAAATGTGCTACTTGTGGTACATCGCTTAAGAATGTAGGTTACTTTAACGTAAATGAAAAACTCTATTGCGATGCCCATGCAGGACAAGCTGCTCAACATTTGGCCCAATCAACTGGACAATCAAACATCGAACCTATGACCATAAGACCGTGAGTTTCAATCAATATCTGAACCAAAATAATTGAATATGGAAGGCAAATCAGCAGTAGCTCACGAAATTCAATGCTTCAGTTGTTTACTGATAACAATTGATTGAAAAATATTACAAATTATCCAAAATATTTAAAACAAAAACCAAATTTTTGAGTTAGCTTCACTATTAACCATAAATCATCAGATTAAGATTCAAAGTTCAAATTAGGTTGCCTTTCACCTTCAACAAAATTTGCTTCTTTAAACAACTTGTAATGTTACTAATTATTGTTTTTATGTTTAATTAGAGGAGCAACTATACCCAAAGATGCTAATATAATTGGAATCGGAGGAATACCAACAAATAGTTCACCAACACCAGGTAAAGTCAGCTCTCCACGGATAACAATACCATCACCAACACAGCCATCAACCCTACACGACCGACCGACTTCCCCTTCAGTCCTTGGAGCTGTTCCTTGGCATGTAAGTAATGAAAATAAACTATTGAATGATGATGATTTATCTGTATCTTTGTCATTCCAATGTTAATAGCACCAAAGTCCTGGAAACATTCATCACGTTGAAGCTCCACAAAGTCCTCGACTATTACAAACAACAACACCAATGATGAATCAATTTAGTTCGGCCCCAGCTCCTCCTCCGGTTGCACCTAAACCACAGGTATAATCTTATTTAAATCCAAATAAATATCTTTATTAACGATGTTTAATTGTTGTTTAATTTTCTTTCATTTTAGTACAAACCAATGGGATCTCAGTCGCCGAATCTTTACCAAAGCCATCCTCATCCTTACACAGCTCCATCACAAGATGTCCATAAGGATGTTTCAGGTAATTGTTATTGACCAAGAAAAATAGATTGACAATTAATACTCTTCTTTATCTTATCAAGGTGGCCCCAAATTTACTTGGCCTCCTCCGAAACCAGTGACACCCGTTGGAACACCAGAAGTACCTTCAGCTAACTTACCTGGTTCAATATCAGGTCAAACTGGAACTCCAACTGGACAACCAATGTTTCGGCCTTTATCAGGCAATCAGAGGCCATTAAGCTCTTTTGAGCTCTCCAAATTAACACCAAACGCAAGTAACTATCAGTGAAAAAACACAAAATAAATAAAAGATGAATCAGATACTAATTTAAGACGATCAATTCTAACATTTTAATCAAGTTAAATAAAAATGAACGTAATCGTAACAACCAAAACTCAAATACAAAGTTGAGATGTTCATTGTTTACTTGTAATATTTGGGTGCAATGGGTAAGCTTTATTGACTATGAAATTTTTAGACTCATTTTCGGGTTCAGAAGTAAATTATAATTATTTAAATCTAGAAATACGTTCGTTTGTTAGTTGATTGTCAATAGATTGTTGAGTTAACACTAGATATGTCAATAATTAACATGTACAAATATACATTTAGCTTCCAATGTAAACTTGCCATCTGGAAATGTCAGCTCTGCTCCAACAATCGGTCAATCGTCTATTCCCGGTTCTAGACCCGCTCCTCGTCGAGGTATGGGTCAACTCAAGACTCAGGTCGGACCCGGAGCGCGTATTCCCATTTGTTCAACTTGTGGTTCACCGATAAGGTAAAGTTAACAATCGAAACTGCAATAAAACAAAATTGCTGTGCTATTAGTTGATCGAAGGTTAGAGTTGCATAAAAGCTACAGTAAGGTGTGAGGGTTAAAAATTGGGCCTAAAGTAAGGTTGATTAAGAGATTGAGAGAAATGAAGAGCAAACTTGTTCAGGCTAATTACATGATTTAAATGATGGTGTGGCCTAATTCACTTGGAATCATCTTTTTAAATCTCGAGACAATTTAAGGTAATTAGATTTATATTTGACAACAAAAGCATGAGACTGTTTATTATCTAGTCTGAAATGGAAAAGCATATTCAAATGCAATTTAATCTCTATGAGCATGAATTTCACTTTAATTTAAATTGTAATAAAATTAACACATTATTCAACATAAGAATCATGAGGAATCATCTTTAATTGGAATGCTTTGTAACACTTAAATGATTTTAATTCAGTGTAACCTTTCAACTTTCGATCAATCTATTTCAAGTTTGATTTTCATTTATCTACTAAATGCAAATTTTCAGGTTAACTAATCACTTTCATATTTACATTTATTAGAGGTCCGTTCATTTTGGCCTCAGAAAAGACTTGGTGTCTAGAGCATTTCTTGTGTGCAAATGCAAGTTGCCGTCGATCATTAGAGGACATTGGATTTGTTGAGGAACGAGGTGAACTTTACTGTGAAGTCTGTTTTGAATCATATCTGGCTCCAGTTTGTGCTAAATGTGGAATTAGAATCAAAAAGGTAATCATATTCGCTATCAATTAGTTACAATAACAGTCAACATTAGTTTGATTAAGAGATTTGAATGAGAGGAAGCTTGGAAGAAGACAGTTGAGAGTCTTATTGTTGTGACTTTTTGCTCATGAGGAGTATTTTAGTAACAGTGGCTTTAAATTGATGAGCAAAGTTAATTAGGTGAAATAGAATAAGCATTTGGTTGATAAAAAGTGAAAATAATGATGATGATGAAGTAAATTCTTTGTGATCATGTTTTGGCTAAGAAACAATTGTAATGAAATGAGACGTTATTTTCCCATGTATCACAATGAATCTTAAGTTGAGAGCTTTATTTTCAGCCATTTTCAAAGCGTTAGAGAAAGCACAATTTAGATTGCAACAAGATTGATTATTATATCAATTGTAATGTATCTTGAGCATAGACAAAGGTTCAATCAACTAAAGAGCGATGTTTCATAAAAAACTCTGTTAAGATTACCAGATGCATTGAGCTAGAATTGAAACAGTTTGTATAAATATTTATTTTTGGATATTACTTTTATAAATAATACAAAAACAGTATTTCAACCAGTAAACAAATCATTGGTAAAGCTTGTAGTTGACTGTTATTACAACGAGAAAATTATTTGATTCATTTTTGCTCTATTTTTTTTGAATATTATAGGATTGTCTGATGGCACTTGAAAAGCAATGGCATCCTGAGTGTTTCAACTGCAATTATTGTCGAAGGCCTTTTGGAAATAGTCAATTTTATCTAGAAGATGGTTTGCCATATTGTGAAAAGGATTGGAACGATTTATTCACAACTAAATGCACTGCCTGTGGGTTCCCGATTGAAGCTGGTGATCGGTGGTTGGAAGCATGTAACAACAATTATCACTCAACTTGTTTCAAATGTAATTTCTGCCATAAAAACTTGGATGGTCAAAGTTTCTTTGCCAAAGGTGGACGGCCATTCTGTAGAAGTCATGCAAGATGAGCGTATCATGAGATGGAAGCAGAAAAAACAGTTACAATTAAAATCACGAATCAAAATGCAATTTTGAATTAAAATAATATATAAAAAGTGTTATATTAAATGAAAAGTCATTTGAAATGAAACTAATAATTACTATATATAAAGATAATTGATCAATTTAATGGTTATCTTCAAAATTTGAAGTCAATCAAAATCTCTTTTTTGCTGACCTTTGCTGCCTAAATGAACTTCTTTTTCTTCTTACCTGAATTTTCTCCGACTTTTGTCCAAATGTCTTCTGTCTGTTTCTTTCTATTGTTTCAATTGGGAGATATAATTGTTTCTGTTGAACATGTAATCAAGGCCAGATGCTATTGTTGTGGTGGCGACAAGATACTGAAAGTAGGTTAAAAAAAGACTTTCACTGATGTTAAAAATTGGTGCGACTAATGTAAATGCTATTAAATTAAACTGAAGTGTTGTGTTCCATTTGCTTAAAGTTGATGATTTTACTTCCATTTTCGGTCCTTTTGATCGAAAGATATCGAAAATAGTTCGAGGTTTGGTTAGCATTTGGTAACGCATTACAGATCCACCAAGTATTAGCAATAAATCACGGCCAATCACTACGGACGTTATAAAAACTAAAGTAAAGAGTAAACAGTAAATTGCATTGAATGAACAATATTAGAGCTATATTAGAAAATCAAACTCATATTTTCAGCAGGAAAACTATCATGAAAAACTATTCATTACCTGGTAATTGTCCACTAATTGTGGCTGATAAATAAAGAGTTGAAATTAAGATTTTATCAGCTATTGGATCCAAGATTCCACCAAGAGCTGATCGTTGACTTTCAAAGCGTCGTGCGATGTATCCATCGGCCTGACAAATATAATGTATGGTTTTAGTGAATGAGCTGGCGAAAAAAATTAGATGACAGAAGTTATTCAGATACTTACGAAGTCCGTTAATCCAGCAATAGCCACTATTGCTACTGACTCGATTAGTTTGTTATTGATGACAGTATAAGCAACGAGTGGTGAAGCAAGGATTCTCAACACACATAAAGCATTAGGGACAGTCCAGATTCGATCTTCAAATTTGACTTGGTTACTTTTGAGGAGTGATTTATCATTGACTTGACGCTGATGACAATCTTGCTCACTATCCTGGTCTTTTTTCAATTGACAAATTTTCAATGTTGTTGTGAGATTTCTTGATGTATTCCAGTGATGAGTCGAAAAACAGTTTCTTATTGGAAGATGAAGAAATAAATTACGAGATGCCATATTTATACAGTAAGTAAAATTAACAAATACTAAAAAAGACAATACTTGAAAATTGGTCAAATAGAATATTTTTTTCAATATTTTCACTTTAATGATTTCATGTGAAAATGAATTTGTTTTGGTTTGGAGTCAAAAAAAGAATCACAAGATGGCTCTGAAGTCACTTTCTGGTGTCTGTAAACTTTGAATCTCAAAGTTTGAATAGACAGCAACCATTTTCATCATGAACTCGAGTTGTATTATACTTGTACTCCAGCGCCAGGAATAATCATTCTTTAGTCTGTTCCGTTCTGTCTTAGGTTAAACTCTCGATTTTAGGTTTTCGTTCATTTAATTTTTTGGTCTTTGTACTGTTCATGTTCTTGGTTTTAAGAATCAAGAACTTTATTCTCTGTTCTTGTCCCATGGAAATTGTTCCTTGAAATATTCAACCATCGAACACGAAAATAACAACTTTTAGCTTGGATTATTTAAAATTGAGATTTAATGGAGAACTGGATTTATCAAGAGATTAAACACGTATTCCTGTTCAGTGATTACTTTGAAACTGCAACTTATAAAGTGAAAGTATCCAAGTTTGATTTTGTAAATGACTCAAAATGAAAATTGTTATTATTACAATAATAATTGCTTGATGAAATTGTGTTTAATAGAAAGTTTTTACAAGCTGTTATCATCAAAAAGTTAGAATATAATGAAAAGAATCGGAAATGAATGTACATCCGATGTACTATTAAAGGTTACCCAAAAGAATCGAAGCTTATTTTTTAGCTGGTTGCTCTAAATAATTAGTGACTATTAACAGATTATGATATCGCTAAATCTTTGAAACTGTAATCATTTTTTTACCGATTTTCATCGTCTTTAGTCATGAATCAACTTGTTCCAATTTAAGAACTCTAATAAGCCGTGCTTTCCGACTACCTGATGAATGAAGATTTCAGTCTCGCTATAAAAATCGTTTGTATTAATATTAATAAATTGACTGTGATAGGCATTTCCGTTCAATATTATCTACAAGTTTTCTTGTTTATGGCATATAACATGGTTAGTATCGGTGCTAATTTCAATATTAGGATGTGGTTAAGATAAGATAAGGTTGGCATTGAATTGGCTCTTGAGATCATTAAATGAAGAGAATAATAAATTATAATCGAACCATTACTTCATAAACATCTATAACTTACATGAGCACTGAACAATACAATGAATAACAAGTTGTTTTCAATATCAAATTGGATTGGTTTTTCATTGTCCATTTCATCTGCTGTCTTATTGTCTTAAAGAAGAGGTTTTTTTGTCAAAAATGATCATTGTTTCAATAGATGTTTTTACTCTATGCTTTCCTTGACACCGTTGGCTGACCAAATCCATTAGTTAATTTACCAATCATCTTTAAAAGATATTAATTATTTTTGATTAACCCAAGGACTGAGCTTCAAGACAATCAAGTTAATACTCCTGAATTAAAAGTAATAGTGTTTCTGCTTACCTCGAGACAATCGTGATTAGGTAAACTCGTGTGAATCTTGATCATTTTACTTTTTTGCTGCTGGAGTTGATTTCAATTTCTTGATTTTTTATTTCTTTTTCTTACAATTTTCTTATTACCAGGGAAATGGGTCAAATTTTGGTGAATCCATTATGTTAATCGACCAGCAACAAGAAGGCAGACATTTTGTATTCATTGTTCACCTTATATTTCAAGTAGAAGAGCCAAGATAATGTAATTCACCAAATTATTGAGACAATCAACTTATGATGATATGAGAAATTCATCATTGCCCTTATATATCTAAATTATTTCTGATTAACTATTTATTTTATATTAACTTGTTCACATCCACTCATCTGATTAGGAAATCTGACCAACAACCAAACACCAACTCAAGTCCTCTTGCAGATATTTGTTTTTGGCGCTTTGGCAGTTGGACGTGATTGATTAACAATTTTTACAATTTAAATCTTTTGTCTACTAATGGCAATTGATCACGATTAGGAAAACGAACGAAATAAACGAAAAAGTTTTTACCTTAAACATCATGATCTTGATCATTACCATTTACTACCCAGTCAGCCCAATTAAATGATCAACCTTTCAATAAACAATATTCATTATAACGATTCCTCTATCCTCAACAGTTGTGAAGCATTAACTTAAATCACATCAAGGTTGAAAAGTTGAACACTTCATTTCAATTTTCAATTTCCTTGAACTATGAATTCATCAATTCTTGAAATAATCAGACAAATCAAATGTAAAAGGATAATGAAATCTGACAACATAATGTTAATGTCAATTGTTAATATTATGAAACCATCTGACAGTTGCTTTTCATACAATTGTAATAAACGAGAAATATATTGCCTTTTAATTTGAAAACAAAATTTAGCATAATTTTCTCATCTTTTATTGTTATTGTGAATGAATAAAGAATCTTAATCAGACAATTTATTATTTATTACAACTTACATGATGAAAGATATGCAATTATGCAAATTTACATTCAACTAATTAATAGTATAATTACAGCTTACATTGTCCCATTAACGCAGCTTCTCAAGCTAATAGTCACTAACCATTCGAGTTAGTGAGTCTGGTAAACAATCAATGGTTCATTGTATTAATTAAGCAAGGTTGACTCAAAAGACTTCAATAGATGAAACAGTAAATTGTACAATATTACATTAGTTTTATCATAGATTTACAAAAGTGAACAATCTAATAATTGATTGTACATTCACATGTGAATTGAGAATCAATGGTTAAGTGTAATCTCATACATTTGATACATTTTAATTCAGCTTATCTAGATCTAATATCACAGGGTTCACATTCATATTCATATTCAGGTTCATATTCTGGAGAGACTTTAACATGATTTATTTTACAAAATATTCATCAACCTCCGAATCTTATCGAATGTAAAATTGTTTCGACTAATGGACTACAACAGAATAAAATAATGAGGTCTTTTCTGGTTTTTGAGAAATCACAGTTAACCATGGTGAGGAAACAAAATCAGAATTTATATGTAAATATTATATAAGGTATGAACAGTAATGTTTTGGACTAATTTTTCAAAATTTAATTGCGACAGTTAGACTAGACTTACAGGCACCATTCAACCGTCAAAATAGAGCTAAACTTTTCAAGAATGTGTTGAAAAATATAAAGGATGTAATTCACCTAATTTAACTCAAAATAGATCGGTCGAAAGTTTCAGATCAACATTGTAACCAAATTTCATTGACATCCGATAAAAAAATGAATTTTTTGCGAAGTGAAAAAAGACTTTTCAAAAAAAGGACTTAGATTTCGAACGTTTCGAGAGATTATTTTCAAATAAAAAGAACATAAGGTCACTTTTCTTCTGTTGATGAAGTTCTGATCTTTTATTTGGGAATAATCTTCTGAAATGTTCGAAATCTAAGTCCTTTTTTGAAAAGTCTCTTTTCCATTGAAAATATATGGTTTTTTGACGAAAGGTAAAATCAAATTTTGACGCCTTTGTCCATTTAGAGCCACAACTTGACAATTCGCGCTCGAAATTAATTAATTTTTTTACAACACATTCTTGAAAAGTTTAGCTCTATTTTGACGGTTGAATGGTGCCTGTAAGTCTAGTCTAACTGTCGCAATTAAATTTTGAAAAATTAGTCCAAAACATTACTGTTCATACCTTATTAAAAGGAATAGGAAATTATATTCATCTTAAACTCGGATTTTTTAAGTATAGAATCTTCATCTGGTTTTTCCAGAACAATTGTTATTTTACCAAATTTTCGTGATTGAACATTATATTTGTGCACTTGATCATCTTTATTAATGTTTCCATTGAGGTGACTGTATCATTAGACTGTTCCGTTAATCAATATTTTGATCCTTTGAAAGGTTAGCATTTCGTCAAGTTGCTATCTTATTTATGGAAATATTTATAAATGGTTTGATTGTAAAGGTTACACATGCTTTTGAATCATGAAAGATTTCTAACTGAACTTCAACCATATGCACTGAGTTATCAGATAATAACATTCAATGTGTTAACACAGTCCGCAACAGAAAAGGATTCAATTTTTTATTTAGCCAGCTCTATTGCAATTTACTTGAATTTAATTACAATTCACTTTAATCATTTCTCTCCAGTTGGACATCAAATTATCAGGTTAAATTTCAATTTATTATGGAGGATTGAAAAGGACTAGCATGAAAAAATTAATTGATTGAATTTCAAGTCGATGTTAGTGTGAATGGATGCACAAATCAAATCACTTTTTGAGATTTATTAAACGAGATATCAAGGTTTATGTTTACTGACTCTGTGTGACAAACAAAACAATTGACAATATTATCTAATTAACACCCATAATCAGGAACTTTCACTATAAAAATATTTCCTAAACTAATTTGATATAAATAATGTGATTTCATTTTGTTTTAAAAAATCACAAATTGGTAATTATTATAATAGTTTGCAAAATCACAGCAATGTCTGCTAACGGGAAGATGGTCAACTTTTTTGTATTCATAAACATCTTAATCATTTCTATCATCTGTGTTAACAGTTTCCAAACGAAACCAGCAATCTATTTAACACCTCTAATTGAATCGGGTCGCATTGCTGAGGCTCGTCTTCAGTCCAGAGTTGATAATCTTCCAAATGCTCCTCAAATTGAAAGTTACTCTGGTTATTTAACCATCAATAAAGAGATTGGAAGCAATCTTTTTTTCTGGTTCTTTCCCTCAAAGGTAAAGTAAAACAATGAAACTGCTTTAAAAACACTGATTATAAATAATTTATCACAGAACACATCAGCTCCAGTTGGACTTTGGCTACAAGGTGGACCAGGAGCACCATCAACCTATGGTTTATTCAATGAAAATGGACCCTTCAAAGTGGACGCTAACCTGAATGTTACTCTTCGAGAGTATTCATGGACAAACCTATTTTCATATCTTTACATCGACCAACCTGTTGGTACTGGATTTTCATATACAGAGGATAAAATGGGTTATGTAACCAATCAAGCTCAGGTTGGAAGTGATTTGTATCAAGCATTGGTACAATTTTTCACGCTATTTCCCGAATGGAGACCAAACGATTTTTACATTACTGGTGAATCTTATGCTGGTAAATATATACCAGCCATTGGATACAAGTTACACCAGGAGAGGGAATCATCGGGAATCAATTTGAAAGGTATTGCCATTGGTGATGGTCTTGTTGATGGTGCCTTGATGTTTAGATATGCTGATATGCTCTATCAGTTGGGTTTGTTTGATTATTTTACTGCCGAGAAGGGAAGAGCTCTTGAGCGAGCAGTTCGAAAGGCTGCTGCTGAGGAACGATGGCTCGATTGTTTCCATTTACAGGATGCTTACTTGGGTGGTGATGAAACAACTTCACTATTTTTCAACGTTACAGGGATCACCAATGTTTACAATTCACTATTGACTGTTGAACCTAAAGAATTATCCTATTCAGATTCATATCTAGCTCTAAAAGAGGTTAGAGAGGCCATCCATGTTGGTAATAGGACAGCTAATCCAGGTAAAATTGTTTTTGACCATTTGAAAGAGGATATTTGCCAGTCAGTTTCTCATTGGTTAGAACAGCTGATGGACAATGGATACCAAGTTTTACTTTACAGTGGATCACTTGACATAATTGTAGGAGCTTCTTGCACGGAAACTTTAATCCAAACCCTGAAATGGAAAGGAGGAATAGGATACAAACTTTCACCGAGAAAAATTTGGAAACTTGAAGGTGAAGCAGTTGATGTAGCTGGTTACATTACATCATTTGAAAACTTCCATTACGCTGTCGTCCGAAACTCTGGGCATATGGTTCCATATGACCAACCTAAAGCTGCTTTTGAATTGATCACAAAATTTGTCAACCAAAATCTCTAAATACACTGTCAATACAAAATTGAAATTATTGTCAGTCATTCGATAAACAGCTGATATTTCATGCTTCAAAAGAGGCGCTCAAACTATTAAATCTGATGCAATCTTATTATTAATGATAATGATCATTTTCATTCTCTGTAAAATGATAAAGAACTGTAACAATTCCGTATTTTTGATATGAATATGATAAAATAATGTGTGCAAATGCAATTTGCCCTCGATCATTAGATGATTTTGCAGACCTTTGTTTCTTTCTATTGTTTCAATTGGGAGATATAATTATCTCTGTTGAAAATGTAATCAAGACCAGATGCTATTGTTGTGGTGGCGACAAGATATTGAAAGTAGGTTAAAAAAGACTTTCACTGATGTAGCGATTGGTAACGCATTACAGATTCACCAAATATTAAGAATAAATCAAACTCAGGAAAAATATCATGAAAAACTATCCATTACCTGATAATTGTCCACTAATTGGGCTGATATAGAGTCGAAATCAAGATTTTAGCAGCTATTGGATCTAAGATTCCACCAAGAGCTGATCGTTGACTTTCAAAGCGTCGTACGATATATCCATCGGCCTGACAAACGGTTACGTTTGTACGGTTTTAGTAAGTGAGCTGGCGAAAAAGTTAGTAAAAGTTAGTGAAAATGAATTTGTTTTGATTTGAAGTCGAAAAAAGAATCACAAGAGGGCTCTGAAGTCAGCTTCTCTTTGGCTTCTGGTGTCGTTAATGTTTAGACTTTTGAATTCAAAGTTTGAATAGACTGCAAGTATTTTCATCATGAACTAGTGTTATTATTGTACTACAGCGCCAGGAATTAATCTGTATTCTGTTCCGTTCTGTTCCGAAATTTCAACCTAGGAACAGAACACCCAGAATCTAGAACAGAACAAAAAAAGTTCGTTCTTTAGACATGGAACAAAAGAACAAAGATGACACAATAAATGCAAAATGAGTGCATAAAGTAACTCATAGAAATCAGAGGGATTCAAGTTAAACCACATTCCACCCAAAACCTGTTGATAAATTTTTCACCTAAATTGTTCTCGATTTTAGGTTTTCGTTCACTAATTTTTGTTCTAATTTGTACTATTCACGTTCTTGGTTTTAAGAATTGTGAATAATCTCTGTTCTTGTTCCATGGAATTTTCTTCTCGTTGTTCTTGTTCCAAAAAATACTGCAACTATACAACATAAAAATAACAACAACTTTTAGCTTGGATAATTTAAAATTGTGATTTAATGGAGAACTGGATTTATCAAGAGATTAAACATGTATTCCTGTTCAGTGATTACTTTGCAACTACAACTTATAAAGTGAAAGTATCCAAGTTTGATTTTGTAAATGACTCAAAATGGGAAGATATTAATTATTAATAATTGCTTGATGTGTGTCTATTAATTTTCTATTAATCATTATCATCATTTTAGATTGTGTTTAATAGAAAGTTGTTACTTATAATTTATCATCAAAAGGATAGAATATAATGAAAAGAATCGGAAATAAATGTACATCCGATGTACTATTAAAGGTTACCCATCAGAATGGAAGCTTATTTTTTAGTTGGTTGCTCTAAATAATTAGTGACTATTAACAGATTATGATATCGCTAAATCTTTGAAACTGTAATCATTTTTTTACCGATTTTCATCGTCTTTAGTCATGAATCAACTTGTTCCAATTTAAGAACTCTAATAAGCCGTGCTTTCCGACTATTTTGATGAATTAAGATTGAAAGTTTCTCGCTATAAAAATCTCAATTTTCACCCCAAGTCTGTTTTCCATTATAATCCTTTTGAAGTTAATATTAATTTGCTTGATTCAATGATATTCAATGTTATATAGTCAGCAGCTCTGAAGTGAAAACCAACGCCAACAAAACAACAACCACAACTAACAACCAAAGTGTTAGATTTTAGAGTAAAATACCTAAATCAATGTGATTGATAGACAGCAATTTTTATCAAAAATATTGATTTCCTTTATTTATGTGAATATTTTTATAATTACTGTTGCCATTAATTATCAGTTTCTTCTTTTCTTTTTTCTTTGCTTAGTTTCTAAAAAATTGGTGTCTGTCAAAATGTGACTTATTGAGCTTAAAGACCCATCATTTGGTCCTGGTTGTATCTTTAAAATGTGGCAAAAAAGTGAATATAAATTAACGGAATGAAATGGTTCGATTAGATAGCTTGGTTTAAATAATGGTCCTTCAGCCAAAAATATTGGTCTCATTGATGGCAGCAAATTGTCGTACCCATGAAAAGCTACTTTACGTTTTCGTCTCGTTCTTGGTGCCTAAAAATTGATGAAATTTGATTTGATTAGTTTTTCATCGTAAACATTACCGTAAATATGAGAGGACTTACTGTATCAATTATGTAGCCTTCTTGAGCAATCATAACAATAGGCATGATTCGGTGTGAATTTTTATAATGGAATCGATTAGGAACATCTTTTTTTCGATAAACCTCGAAGTGAGGATTACCACTAGATTTAAGTGCATTATAAATTGTCTCTAATCGTCCAGGTTTGGGTAATAGACTAGCTACTGCACCTAATTGAGAGACAACCGCAACATCAGTCATGTTAATGTAATCAATTAAGTAGATTGTTCCATTATTGGTTAGATTAGCCATTCCATGGTCACCAGTGATTATGACATTTACATTAGAGTATTTCGAAGAATTTCGAAGCGTATGCATAAAATCTCCGACCATTTGATCTATCTTTTCGACTTGCGTACGAACTGGTTCAGAGAATGCCCCAAATTCATGGCCAGCTTGATCAGGTTGATGAAAGTAAATCATTGAAAGATCAATACCATTCTCAATCCAGTTCAAGAGATATTCAAATCGATCTTCTAAGGTGATTGTCTCATTGTACGGCAAGTTAAATTGATGTTGATTTTTTGGCTTAGCATTGCTAGCACTACCAGGCCAGAAAAGTACATTTGCTGAACAATTTTGTCTTCGACAGGTTGACCAAATTGGTTCGCCGGCAAACCATTTACTACCACTTTTAGATCGGGTAAATGTTTCGTTTAGCAGTGGATCAAAAAAGCGATTATCGACTAATCCATGGTTTTCTTCGTGCAAACCTGGGCAAAAAACAACGAAGATAAATATAAATACTTTGAATTAGAGTTTCAATTCTGAAAAATAAATAAATTAAACAGTAATTGCTATTAATTGTAATATAAATGTTACAAGATGTACTCAATTTATCTTGGTATTATACTTTGATTTGTATTAATAAATTGACTGTGATAGGCATTTCCGTTCAATATTATCTACAAGTTTTCTTGTTTATGGCATATAACATGGTTAGTATCGGTGCTAATTTCAATATTAGGATGTGGTTAAGATAAGATAAGGTTGGCATTGAATTGGCTCTTGAGATCATTAAATGAAGAGAATAATAAATTATAATCGAACCATTACTTCATAAACATCTATAACTTACATGAGCACTGAACAATACAATGAATAACAAGTTGTTGATAGGCAACAAAGTTAAATGTTTCTTCAATTGAATCTTCTTCTAACCACTATCAATATTGATAGATTAAATCAGCACCAAATATGGTACCAGTCATTGATTCATTTAAGATAAAGAGTTTTAAATACGACAGTTTAGTTACCTGTTGCTAGAGTCCAATGAGTCGGGAATGTTTTGGTGGCAAAAGCAGGATAATATCCATCAGGTGCATAAACTCCTCTGTTAATCATCTCCACTAGATTTGGTGTATTAAAGGTACCAATGTAATCATGGCGGAATCCATCAAACGAAATAATGACCAACTGTTGCCTTGGTTTAAACGATTTGACTGGTTCTCCAAGTAGATCATCAATTGAATTTTCAATATCAAATTGGATTGGTTTTTCATTGTCCATTCCATCTGCTGTCTTATTGTAAAGAGGCAAACATTGACTGGAAGGTAATACTATCAATTCACACAGACAATAACAAAGAAAATTGAAACAAATGGACTTGTAGAACATATTTGGCCGAAAGAATGGGCCAAATATTGTCAGAAAGTTGAAAATGAAGGCACGAATCAATGTTTAAATGTTGATTCTAGACTGGTGATGGTTTCCACTGACAGCTATTCACACAGTAAAGTTGCTTACTAAATAAGGTTAGAAAAGCTCGATCTTTGTAATCAACGCCAAGTAACACTTGACTTTTAAGTGACAATTGACAATTTAAATGTACAGGGTTGTCCATAAATCAACGTTTGCCTTGTCAGTTTAAAAAATAGTCGTCCCAAGGTTGGTGGTAAGCAGCTTAATTGAAACATTAAACGCTTTAAGTGGAGACACATTTTGAACAATATAACTTTTCAAAGGGTGTCCGATATCAATAGAAAGAAACTCTATTAGTATTAATTTAACTTATTTTGATGATCAATATAATTAAAAAATATCACAGGATTTCTTAATTGGAAAAGTAAATAACTTACAATTGTTAGACTTGCTAGACATTGGTATAAATAACTGAATTATTTTGCAAATTGAAACAAAGGTGGACTTGGATCTTATTGGATCAGTATCGGATCGACCATCAAGTCACCTAATCTTTTAATACCAAGTAAAGGATTAGGCGATTTGATTGTTGTTAGTTTTTCAAAGTAAAATTTACTTTGTTACCATACAATGATTTTCAATGATTTGTGAGCTTTTTTATCGATTCTAATAATGGACCAGAATTTTGTCTAGATTGGACTTTTATGTTTGACGTTTCGACAAAAGTAAATCTAATTTTAGCTAATTAATGTCCATTTTAATGGAAAAATTTAGAGCCATCTAGAGCTAGAAAGTAGAGGTATTTTTTGTCAAAATTGAGTCGCAGATGTTTTTACTCTATGATTTGCTTGACACCGTTTGCTGACCAAATCGATTAATTAATTTACCAATCATCTTTAAAAGATATTAATTATTTTGATTAACACAAGGACTGAGTTTGGAGACAGTGAAGTGAATACTTTTAAATTAAAAGTAATAGTGTTTCTTTTTTTCCTCGAGACAATCGTGTTTAGGTAAACTCGTGTGAATCTTGATCATTTTACTTTTTTGCTGCTGTTGTTGGGTTTTTAACTTATTATTAAATTATTATTATCATTATATTTATTAGAAAAGTGCAAATTCGTGTCTCTCATTTGTTTACATATATGGACGATTGGAGGATAAAGGTGAATGATAAAAGATGATAATAATGTGAAAATCAAGGAGAAAGGGATAACAGAAAGATGTTGATGGAAAAGGAAAGCTACAAAGTGTATAAGACAAGTGGAGATATTAACTGTATTATAAGCTATAAAATGGTCAACAGGAAGAAGTAAACTCGAAATGTAAGTTAATTATCTTATTTAGTTGATTTCAATTTCTTAATTTTCTTATTTCTTTTTCTTACAATTTTCTTATTACCAGGGAAATGGGTCAAATTTTGGTGAATCCATTATGTTAATCGACCAGCGCAAAAGAAGCCATTTTCAATTCACCTTTTTTGTTCGAGCCAAGACAATGTTATTCATCAAATTATTGAAACAATCAACTTATGATGATATGAGAGATTCATTATTTTAATCATTATTGCCATTATATATCTAAATTATATTTTGATTAACTATTTATTTTTCATAATCATTACCATTTACTACCCAATCAGCCCAATTAAATGATCAACCTTTCAATTAACAATATTCATAATAATGATTCCTCTATCCTCAACAGTTATTCAAGTACCAATTTAAATCACATTAAGGTTAACAAAGTTGAACACTTTCATTACAATTTTTGCCTTTTCCTTGAATTATTCATCATTTCGCGAAATGATCAGACAAATCAAATGTAAAAGGATAATGAAATCTGACAAAATAATGTTCTGGTTGATTGTTAATATCATGAGACCTGACAGTTGCTTTTCATTCCTTCAATTATGATAAACCAGAAATATTGAATTTCAATTTGATAACAAAATTGAACATAATTTTCTCATCTTTTGTTATTACTGAATCTTAATCAGAGTCTTCCATCAATCAGAGCTTATATCTCATGCCAATAAATATGGTTTTAGATTTAAATGTTAGACAGAAAATAATTTCCAATTTTTTTGTGGTCAAACGAAATGGACATTTGTTCCCTCCAGCAAAAATCGTAATGCGTTAATGGGACAATAAGCTGTAATTATATGATTAATTAGTTGAATGTAAATTTGCATAATTACATATCTTTCATGATGTAAGTTGTAATAAATAATAAATTGTCTGATTAAGATTCTTTATCCATTCACAATAACATGAGAAAATTATGTTCAATTTTGTTATCAAATTGAAATTCAATATATTAATATTTTTGGTTTATTACATTTGAAGAAGTGAATTGCAACTGTCAGATGGTTTCATGATGTTAACAATTGACATTAACATTATTTTGTCAGATTTCATTATCCTTTTACATTTGATTTGTCTGATTATTTCAAGAATTGATGAATTCATAGTTCAAGGAAAATGAAAAATTGAAATGAAAGTATTCAACTTTGTTAACCTTAATGTGATTTAAATTGATACTTCATGTTGATCAAATTGGGCTGATTGGGTAATAAATGGTAATGATTGTGATCATGATCATCATGTTTAAAGGGAAAACTTTTTCGTTTATTCTGTTTTCCTAATCGTGATCAATTGCCATTAGTAGACAAAAGATTTAAATTGTAAAAATTGTTAATCAATCACGTCCAACTGCCAAAGCGCCAAAAACAAATATCTGCAAGAAGACTTGAGTTGGTGTTTGGTTGTTGGTCAGATTTCCTAATCAGATGAGTGGATGTGAAAGTTAATATAAAATAAATAGTTAATCAGAAATAATTTAGATATATAAGGGCAATGATGAATTTCTCATATCATCATAAGTTGATTGTCTCAATAATTTGGTGAATTACATTATCTTGGCTCTTCTACTTGAAATATTAAGGTGAACAATGAATACAAAATGTCTGCCTTCTTTTGCGCTGGTCGATTAACATAATGGATTCACCAAAATTTGACCCATTTCCCTGGTAATAAGAGAATTGTAGAAAAAGAAATAAGAAAATTAAGAAATTGAAAACAACTAAATAAGATAATTAACTTACATTTCGAGTTTGCTTCTTCCTGTTGACCATTTTATAGCTTATAATACAGTTAATATCTCCACTTGTCTTATACACTTTGTAGCTTTCCTTTTTAATCAACATCTATCTGTTATCCCTTTCACATTATTATCATCTTTTATCATTCACCTTTATCCTCCAATCGTATATATATCGTAATGTGTAAACAAATGTTAGACACGAATTTGCACTTTTTTAATCAATATAAAGATAATAATAATTTAATACTAATTTAAAAACACAACAACAGCAGCAAAATGATCAAGATTCACACGAGTTACCGGGATTTACCTAAACACGATTGTCTTGAGGAAAAAAGAAACATTAACTTTTAATTTAAAAGCATTAACTCCATTGTCTTCAAATTCAATCTTTGTGTTAATCAGAAATAATTAATATCTTCAAATCGAGTTCAAAATCGAAACAACTAATCACTTCGATTTTCAGTTAAAACTGGCGTTTCGAGTGACCGCCCAGTCAAACAGTACGAGTATGCCATGCACATGAGCAACTCAGGTAGGCGTCAAATGCATTTGATATGTGTTGTTTGATTAACACTTCTGGCGTTGAGTGGTCATTCGTATCAGATAGTGTTGCCTACCGCGAGTCAATAAAGGCTAGTAAATGGGCAATAGTGCAAGTCAATGTGCATGTTGAATGTATTAAGTTTATCGAACCCAAAAATAGATGTCGAGTGCTCTGGAATTGAGAATGAAAATACCATGTGAATTAGATACTGAATTCATAGTTGATTGGATCAATCATTTTGTAAATACCTATTAATAATTCGGTTTTCTCTATGCCATCAGCTACTCTTTTGAGACCATGCAATGTTTCAGAGCCAATTCTGAATGAAATATTGGTACTGTCTTCAACATCATTCACTGCACTGGGAGGCTTTGATGCTTATACTGAGCGTCGACCAAAGCTTGTCTGCAAGTGAAAGGTATACGGCTTTACTTATCATTTCCAACTCCTTTTCAGGCAGCTTAATTTAGCAATTTGAATCCTATTACGATGAATAATTTCCTTCGTGTTCATTGTGATGGTGCACATTAACCTTTTGCATTCACTAATGGCGGATTGTTCAATTTTAATGATGTTAATGGCTGAAATGTTGTTGATTTACATCTATGGCACGAATTCGATCCACTCTCCGTCCTGAACTAAGCTGGAATTATTTTACAACCAGAGCACAAGATTTCTGAATTATTGATGAAAAGGGGCTCAGGCTTACATCTAAAGTCTTTCTTTTCATTTAATAACAAATCCTGCTATGACAAGTATCACAATAGTTTCACTTTTCCTGAGCATCGTCATTTTGCCATCTTTTCAACGCACACTACTGCTAAATGGCAATCAAATGAATTCAAAATTTCAACAGCAGGGAATTCAGGACAGGTTGAAATCAAGTTATCTTTAATGCGGTGTTGACAGAAATATTGAAAAATTGAATGCAGTAGCATGGACTCGTGGAAACACAATATTAACATATTAATATTGGAAGCGATGACACGATGAATGGACTGTGAAAAAATAAAATTGTATCAAGAATATGAAGTTACATTTATATTTATGAATTCAGATCACACCAGTTTCATCAAAGAGTAACTCTTTGAGATTCATTGGAAAAATTAATTTTTGATAAACGCCATCTACTACACGTAAGATGCCTAATTATCCCATTGGTAATATAGTAGACGGCGCTTAACAAAGATTATGTTTAAAACCAATGCATTTGAAAATGTTTATAAGCATTGCAGGTGAAAGCTTTTATAGAAGCTAAAATTAGCTATAAAATTTATATACAAAAAACTAAATTAGCTATTTTTATTTAGCAACGATATTGCTTATTATATATAAAAATTCAACATACTCATGAAATTTCACATCCAATTCGTGTTCATCTTCCATTGTTGGTTGATCAGAAACCTGAGCAAGGAAAGAGACAAAGATTAAAGAGTGGACAGCGATATGAGTGATTGGACACTTACCTTCAGTTTTTTACTCGCCAAAGCCATGGATCTTTTACTTGGTAAGTATTGCTACTTGCAATCAAGGATTCTAAATGCAGAAACAGTAATTTAATTTAATTCAACATTTAATTTGTTAGATCCTAAAAGTAGAAACAAATCTCTAGATTTAACCGAAATAATTCAAACGCTAGCGAAGGTGTCACCACCTGCTGAATACGTGCTTATTTTGAATTGTAAATTTTAAATGCTCGATAATGTGCATTTAATGCTTTCAAATGTAATCTACTAAGTTAGCAAAATTTGATAAAAATACAGATTAACTGTATAAATGTGATAAATGTAATTGATTTAAACAAAACTGCTCCCTTTTTAATTGCTGCCTCAAGTTGCTGTTGTTGGTTCAAAATGTTTGATTGGGCGTAAGTGCGTTGAGAGTTGAAATTCATTTTTCAAAACTCATTTTGATGAAAATATCAAAATCTCATTTCAGTAAAAGGAAAATTTAATCAAGTTTAATGTTACCAAACAATTTGTTTCTAAATTGTATTTCATTTGAAAGAGAAATTTTCAATTGCAGAAAGAATCAGAAAATGATTGATTTACTTTACTAGGAAATTGGAACAATAGGAAAGACAATTGAGATTTAATGAAATTTAATTCATAAGCAAACAAATTAATATTTCATAATTACACTTCAATTATTTTGTGTCTAATAAGTTAATACAATATTGACACTAATCTGTTAATAAATGCATTGACCATTTGTGAGTAAAACGGCAAAATCAGTTAGTTACTTGTTCGTAACCATCTTGACCTATTTTGACCTGTTTAAGAAGAGAAACGAGAAAACGAAAGATGAACAAGATTATTATTATCATGATGATGATGGTGTTGAGGGAGATTTAATGGGTGAGGTGAATTGGTTAAGGAGGTTGTGTCCAGTTACCAAAAAGTTACCAAAACCTGTAAATAACGGCTCACGCTTTTTCATCTTTTACCGCACTCTTTATCATCATCTTTACTCTCTCTTTCTCATCTTGCAATTGATTTTATGGATTTATGTACATCATCATTATCATCAGCCCTTTTCTTCTTCTTCTTCTTTATCAATTCTTGATGTTTCACTGAGAAAGTAACCTGAAAATGTAAATCATTTCACTATTCTCTTCTCACTCACACTCGCATATAACTCTCTTTTCTTGTCCTGATATAAAAGGACTGACCAGTACTTTGATCATCATTCGATTGTCTGATCTGTACGGAGATCAGTTAACAAGTAGCGATTTTCAACGTATTTCATTCTTTAACTTCATAACTTAGTAACTTAAATTTCCTGTGATCATCATGAAACCTTTTGCTTTAGTCCTTGTAAGTTTTCATTCGTAACTCCATTTTTTTCCAATATACACTGTGAATTTGAATTATGTGGTGATTATCAGTGATTATCCAGGATAACAGTTTACTGAAATCTCATATAATTCATTTTCTTTAACAGTGATCATTGAAAAATGCAGACGATGTTCAAGATGGATTATTATTATTATTTTTACAACTCGTTCTGATTTTGTTTATGCTTATGTCTCGTTCAACTTTCCTAATTGTCGTTTAATTTATCTGTTTATAGTTATCAGTAACCTTAGTAGCTGCTAGCAGAAGCGGTGGCTACGGCGGTGGATCCAGCGGTGGTTACGGTGGATCTAGCGGTGGATCTAGCGGTGGTTATGGCGGTGGTGCTTCAACCGGAGGTTACGGTGGCGGTGCTTCAGCCGGAGGCTACGGTGGTGGTGCATCATCTGGTGGTTATGGTGGTGGTGCATCATCTGGAGGCTACGGTGGTGGTGCTTCATCAGGAGGATACGGTGGCGGTGCTTCAGCCGGAGGTTACGGCGGTGGTGCTTCTTCTGGTGGTTATGGTGGTGGTGCTTCAACCGGCGGATACGGTGGTGGTGCATCAGCCGGTGGTTACGGTGGTAGTGCATCTGGTGGTAAATCATCATACAAAGTTCTTTACTTGCCTGTGATCCCAGTGAAATCCCAAAAATCAGGAGGTTCAAGCTACGGTGGACAATCTTCAGCTGGAGGTTACGGTGGAGCTTCCGGTGGAGCTTCTGGAGGTTCAGCCTATGGAGGTGGATCATCTGCTGGCGGTTATGGTGGAGCTTCAGGTGGCTCAAGCTACGGTGGTGGTGCTTCAGCCGGAGGTTACGGCGGTGGTGCATCAACCGGTGGTTCAGGCTACGGTGGACAAGCCTCAGCTGGAGGTTATGGTGGAGCTTCAGGTGGTTCAAGCTATGGAGGTGGATCATCTGCTGGAGGTTACGGTGGTGGTGCATCAACCGGTGGTTCAAGCTACGGTGGACAAGCTTCAGCTGGAGGTTATGGTGGAGCTTCAGGTGGCTCAGGATACGGTGGACAAGCTTCAGCCGGAGGTTACGGTGGAGCTAGCGGTGGAGCTGCTGGTGGTTCAGGCTATGGAGGTGGATCATCTGCTGGAGGTTATGGTGGATCTTCAGGAGGTTCAAGCTACGGCGGACAAGCTTCAGCCGGAGGTTACGGTGGAGCTTCAGGTGGCTCAAGCTATGGAGGTGGATCATCTTCTGCTGGCGGTTATGGTGGTGCAGCTCAATCTGATGATGCTCCAGTCATTCCCGTTATCATAATCCAAAAAGATGAAGCTGGAGGTTCAGGCTATGGAGGCTCATCAGGAGGCTCAGGCTACGGAGGTTCATCAGGAGGTTCAAGCTACGGAGGCTCATCAGGAGGTTCAGGCTATGGTGGTTCCTCAGGTGGCTCAGGAGGAGCTTATGGAGGTAAATTTTAGCACAATTGTTCGAGCTATTTTAAATATTAGAGGCAATCTAAACATAAATTTTCTATTATTATTTTCAAAAAATAATTATTTTAACATATATTATATTTACTTTCAGGTGGAGCTTCAGGTAAATCATCAGGATATGGTGGCTCATCTGGTGGCTCAGGATACGGAGGTTAGTCTGTTTTTAAGTAATCAACTGATCAATATGGATAAAAAACTCTAAACAGTTCAGTTCGATAACTTACAATCAATTTGCAAACTTCGAAAAGATTGTCTAACATATTTTTATTAAAAATTAAGGTTCTGGTTCAGGCTCAGGCTATGGCGGTGGCGCCTCAGCTGGAGGTTATGGTGGTGGTGCATCAGCCGGTGGTTACGGTGGTGGTGCTTCATCCGGAGGTTATGGCGGCGGTGCCTCATCTGGAGGTTACGGTGGCGGTGCATCAGCCGGAGGTTATGGCGGTGGAAAGGGCAAGGGTGGTGCTTCTGGTGCCTCAGGATATTGATCTCTTTTACCTTTTAAATCTCAAAAATCAAATCACACAACTCTTTCCTCTACTTAAATAAGACTCATCATTTCATTCCCTCTTTCATACTCAACTCTCATCCTTTCAACTCCCTCACATCCTTTCCTTTCTCATTCCCTAGAAAGATTTCCTAATTTCCTTCTTTGATTTAACCCTTTTCTGTAAAGTGACAATTCATCAATCAATTAAGTTGAAAATAGCCAAGCTTATTTCATTAACTCCTCATAAAATAACCATAATGTTGAAACATTTTACAAAGTGGAAAACCTATGCTATATCATCATCATTTAACATGGAAACCATAATTACCTTATCGTATCAATGGTCATCGTTAATCAACTAATTGCCCGTCACCAATTCATACTTTTTTTCATAACCAACTTGTGCAATTTGGTCATAAAAACATCATAAACAACCAATTCACCAAAATCCCAACTCCTTGTCCAACAAAATACCTAATCTGGATTCCACATTCATAAGAGTGAAATTGACTATGATGATAATAATGTCACTTTATCATGTGTAATATACTATAAATAATAATTTGTATTAAGTTGATTTTCATGATTAAATCAATTTAATTCTTGTCTTTAAATTTGTGTCTCTTCGTTTTTAGACACTCTCAAAGCTATCAAAAGCTAACGGTCAAAAATTTGATTTTCACAATCAAAAGTAAATCATTTTCTTTGTCAAGTTGAAGTTTGATGAAAGATATAATTATTTTAATTCTGTTATTGAAATGTAATTGCTATTGGGTAAAATCAATAAAAATTGGAATACAGTAAAATCAAGAGTTATAGTGATATCAAGCATTTCATCAATATTTCATATGTCAATATGAGTTTTGTTTTGCTGTGAACCTGACTGACATAAATTGTATGATTGTTACAAATTGGCTACCATTTATCTTTATAATCATGGGTTAATCAAAATCATTGAAGAGAATCACTGAATCGGCTAAAAAATCATTCAATGAGTTAATTGTTGGCAGAGGATACAAAAAGTGAAAACAAGGTAGACAAAAAAACTATCTGAATTATCATTAACTTTCACTCGAAAATCAACTTTATTTACTTTTGTGTCGCTCTTTATACTCAATTTAACTTGAGACAATTGCTTTCACATAATCATCTTTCAAACAAGGTTGTAAGAAAGAAACAATTTCACTATTAAATCAATCCAACATAATGGTCCATCCTTTCAGGTAAGATGATAACCTTATTTGTTAACCTTGTTTCCAGCTTCATTTGTTCAATTTTAGCATAAAAAACGAGATGTTTTAAATTAATTGGGCTTTCAAAATGTTAATTGTTAATGTCATCATCGAGAATTAACAAGGGTCAAGATGAGTGAATGAAGATTTGGGAGGAGGAAATGGTTAGGAAGGTTGGTAATATAGTTTATTGGTTTGTATTTAAGAAACATGGTTAACTTACCAAGAGATTTTAGTATTAGTTTCATTGGTGAGTCAACAACGACTGAATAAATTGTTGACTGTAAAGTAAACGTTGTAACAAACAGGATTAAATTATTTATTAGCGTGCTAAAATGGCGAGGATCATTGAGTTTCACATAAAGCTGGTGATCATCCTCATAGCTGTTCATTGTTCACTATCAATGATGCCTTCAAAAAATTTTGACTGGGATTCCAACAGTTTCATGGACTTAAAAAATATTCAAATACCTGATGTTTCATTTGGTAAGTCTGAACAAAATTAACAAAATACATTATCATCTAGATACACATGAATTGATTTCCAGACAAAATAGGAAAAGACTTACCTTGTTCATCATTTGAAATCTCCTTGGAGTCGCAAGTATACATGTAGTTATTTAATGTGTCAGAGTTAATTAGAAGATAATAATTGTTGTTTGATTGGAATATAAGACTCAAATTTTAATATAATTACAATCAAAGATATCAAATCAATGGTAAAGATTCAAAGTTAGACTTCAAATTTTGCAAAATTAAAATGGTAAGCCCTATTCGTACAAAAAAATATCCGATAAGATTCTAGTCCTTGAATATGTAGTAGACTTTTATTTGCCTTAAGAGTACGGCGCGTTTGTTTAAACTCTATGGAATAGTGTCAAAAAACTTGATTATTTAGGTTAAGATTTTAGACTTTGTGGATTAGTAGGGACATAATTATCACATTTACGCACAAATTGACAAAAAATGAGCAAAAACGGGTAAAAATTAGTTTCTTTCAAATTTAGACTCTATTGGGTTGTAGAGACATAAAAAAGATAACTTGACCAGAATTGAACTCTTAACCTAAGTTAATTTAAAATAAATTACCCTGAACCCTAACCACTGATCTGATAGAATATTCAATTTAATTTTCCAATTAAATCATATAAATTGTTGATTGTTATTTCAATATGAAAAGAAGTATGAGCACGAATGAGCGTCAAATGCCAGTACGAAAATGTCATAGAATGTGGAAGGTTAAACTGCAAATCGAACTGATCTGATGTGCAAAACAGAAAATTTAGCCTTTTTAATTAACCTAAATGGTTTGAATTTCACAAGAGATGGCGTTGAAATTCGCATTTGTACGAATAGGCGTTTTGACTATTCGTACAAGTTTTTTGTACGAATAGGCCTTTCCAATTAAAATTATCCTGTTACGCGTTATTCTCTTGATTTCAAACGCTAGATGGCGACTTTATGAATTTAATCAAGCGCTTTTATTTGACAGCCTTTGTTGGTTCATTTTTATCAACTGTTATTTCTTTGGTAATTATTTTTGTGTTTATTTGTGATAAATTTTGATTTGTTCAATAGATCAAATTCTGTCATCGAAGTCCAAAAGTAATCAGCAGATCCAAGGAGTGCCTGATACTAAACCTTTATCATCTCCTAGAAAAGATTCATTATTTGATTTAGATGGGTTCAATAACTCACCTCCGCCATCTCAACCACTTGAGCAGCAACGACCAAAATCCCTGCCAAACTTGCCCTCAATCGACTCTAAATTTCACGACCAAGGGTCACGTTTAGAAAACAAACCAGTGCCTTCAAAGAAACTAGGATGGGACTAGTAAGTGAATTTTCGTACATCGACAAACTGAACTTCTATTTTCAACCCTTTCTTGTTTTTTGTTAATAGTGAACCAGATTTCGATGTATTTCACAAAGGGCCACAGGGTGTTGTCAGGAGCTGGCATACAAAAGATGGTAAAGGAGACGATCATATTTGGCATACCAAAGGTAAGAATTACCTAAATCTTTGCAGATTATTGTTTCGTTCGTATGAACATTTAACAATTTTACAATTGATTTTCGCCATTCTCTTCTGTTAGAAACTCACCATCACCATCATCACCACCACCACCATGCATCAGAAGAAGACCACGAACATGAACATGGTCACAAACATGACAATTGGCATAAACATGATCATGTAAGTTTTAATCATCTTTCACTATTAATTCAAAGTTCTAGTTTTTAATCAAATCTGAAGCTAACAAGAGGGGAAATATTAATTTGATTAAACTCTGTTTATTTTCAATCGCTTTACGACATTTTACCATAAAATTATTCAACTTTTTCAAAGAGAAATATAAGAGAAAAGTTTTAATTATTCCAATAGATGGAGTATTTCCAAAAATATCGGTTAAGTGTAATTTTACTGTAATTATCTTTTTCTTGAAAATTTTATTACACCAGAATCATGGACATGAAAATACCCATGCTCATAAACATGGCCATGAACATCAACACGTAAGTTAATTCATAGCTTTTGAAATTAAAAGTCTGTGTATTTTTTGTGTCATTAGACTTATTATTTCTCTTTTTAAAATTACATTACAAATTATTAACTTAAAACTAATACTGTTTTTACTTTACTTTCAGGATAACAAACACTCACATCAACATGGTGAGGAATATGAACTATATTCAAATCTTGTCAAATTTGTTATCATTTTAACTCTAGATTTTGATCACCTCCATTTTGGTCTAAATTGATACAATGAAAATTTGATTGTTGATTTTTTATTGACAAATTATTAACACATTTGCTTTATCTATATTTTCAGGTCATGAACACTGGCACGATCATGATCACAAACATGGACATGGTAAATATTCAAGTTTAATCGAAGACTTTGGCAAAGGCTCAACTGAAACTAACAATTTTCTTTATGATTTCAGATCATCATCACCATCACGATCATGAGCATCATTCAAAACATGGAGGTAAAGAAGAGGAAAAATCCACTGATACCCAAAGTCATCTTGCTGCGTTGCTTGAAAATTTGGCAAAGTCTCAAAATAATCAGCCAGGATACTTGATAGCACAAAAACCTGTGCAAATCAGACAAAAGAAAAGACCAAATAGCCGATTCAAGATATCTTTGGATGGAGCAGCTATTGATCTAGGAAATTTGATTTAATTAACTTTCGCCATCATCTTCTATTATCAAATTAAACTAATATAATGGTTTAACAATACTTTTAAGTCAGTCATTTTTTTGTTTTGATTTGAGCACTGTTTACCATTGAACAATTTATACCATAGTCAATCAAGAATACAAATTATCATACAATTTAATTCCAAATGTATTAATTGTATCCATGACAAATATGTAAATTACACAAAAAATCAGCTGGAAACTGGTTTTGTTTAACTGTAAATTAAAGATGTAATTAGTTCAGATTTGAATTGGAGTTGTATATAATCTGGGTCCGCAAACAAATTAACCTTCACACAATCAACATTGAGGTAAACTAAATTTTCAAAAAATCATAGATGGCGACTGTGAAAATTGCTTTAAATGGGACACAAAAAAATTGCTTTAACCGGGTACTTAGACATATCCTAAACGGTAAGACAGCAACAGAGTTATCAACTAAGCCACCTTCAATAATTTGGCTCATTAATTGTACAACAAACACTATTTCCAACTGATTTTAATATAATTTAAAAGATTGTCTAACAATTCTAATTTGTTTTTCTTGGTTAGTTGAATGGTAAAGTTGCAGAGGAGTTGATTTTAATCAAAATGAATGAGTTGGTGGCAGTAAGAAGGTTGGGTTGATTAAGGTTCAATGATTTTCCTTGATCTTGGACTGTGATCAAGGTAATAAGTTGACTACAATTTAAATTGCGTGGTAATTACTTCCGACCGGCAATAATTTCATCGATATAAACGTAAAGTTTATTGTAACAATAACAACAATTGGAAAATTAGTCACAAGAGTTTGACTTACAATCAAAGCTAAAATAATTCAGCTCAATAGCTTTCCAAATATGCATGAAATGGTCAAAATGAGCAGATTAATTGAACCAATGAATCAACATTCTCAGATGTTCGATATCTATTGAATATTTATCATGCTGTTCACTTGGTAGGATCAAGTAAAACAATAAAAGATAAGCTACTACTAAAAACGCAATAAGTTAATCAATAAAATTAAAATTTTTGACAATAGGAAGTACAAGTTTAAATTGGCCTTTCCAGCCATATTAGGTGTTTAAGACATTTCAAATGTTAAGGTGAAAAGCCGTTTAATTAATCTACAGTAAAAAATTGCTGATTGCGTCAGTTAACAATTGAAGAAAGACATTTTTGTTGCAACAACAGGTAAAGGTAAAGGATAAGGCAAAAAGGGTGGTAACATGAAAACAATTGTACCAATTGTATTACAAAAAAAAGAGAATAAAATCTTAAGAGTTGTACATGAAAGGGTTGTTTGTTTGTTATGTTTACAGTGCTTTTGTCAATAACGATGATGGTAAATGGTTCACAATGAGCTTTTGTTTTTCCGTAAGAATATTCAACCCATAAACTGGGAAAATTAAATTAAATAAGGTTTGGGTAAAAGTCCGATCGGCTTTAAGTCTCATCCCGGGTTGAAAATAATCAACTGTTGGTTGTGCAAAATACAAACAGGAATGATTAATTTAGACTAGTTAAAGATGGGAGAAATCGATTGATAAGACAAATTTCATAATAGAGTGAACAAAATGATCATTAGTTTATAATTGCTGATCAATTTGTGAAAATCGAAATCTCCTAAAACAATAATTTTCAATAATTTAAGGCACTAAAGTGCTATATTTGTTAACATTTGTATGCTACAGTTGCTTTAAAAGCATTTAGCACACATGCATTATCATTGTTGAATGTTGAACACAACAGGAGTAAATTTTTGATTAATAACTGCCATTATTGGTTGACATTTTATTTCCGCGTTTGCTCTTAAAAAATTGTGCTCATTTATCTTTTTGAACGGTGTTGACTCGCACTTGATTTAGCAGAGGAGTGACGAGAGCGTGTTGGTGGTGAAGGTGCTAAAGCAAAGCTGCGATTTCCTTGGTTTGACCGAGAACTAAAGGATCCGGTTCGTTGTAATTGCGTGGTAATAGCTTTAGACTGTGATCTTCTTAGGGATGCGTAAGGCGATGAACCTCTACTGAGCATATTACAGCTGGCATAAAGTAATACAGCGATATCTTTTCGTCCGCATTCCATGGCGATGGACATGGCTGTAGCTTTATCCTAAATACAGATGAAAATGGAGAAAAGTAATTAATATAACGTTAAATAATGCATAATCTTAATTGAAATATCAATGATAGAGAAGTAAATTGATTAATTATCCAGGTAAGCCAATAGAGGAAAAAAATCATAACCTCAAGCATTATTCAATAATCATGACTATTCAATGAGAAAGTCAATATTTTTTTTCATTCTTTCTTTTTTTCTCAACACCTACAGAGAACAAAATCAATTCATTAATCTAACATTGATTTTCAATTTTGATCACCAGATACATAATCAGTAATAAATCTCATTAATTACATTGTCAGCAATGTTTGGATCACACTCAGGATGGGAAAGGAGCAGTTTAACAATCTCAATATGGCCGTGTTCCGTTGCACACATTAATGCCGTTGATCCATCGTTATCCTGAACATTAAGGGCTGCTCCAGCTTCCAATAATAATTTACAAGTTGTAAATTGACCATGACTTGAGGCTAACATTAATGCAGTTTGTCCATTCTAGATTGGAAAGAGATTGAAGAGAGAAAAAGAATCAACATTAAAATGATGAACAGAATCAATTTGAGTAAGATTAATTAGTTTATCAAGGGTAAAATGTTTTTGTTTTCAAGTGGATTAAATCAAGATACAGAAAGTGATTTAAGGCTGAGGCGGGCTTAAGGCCAAAGGGCAATTCAAAGAGGCAAAAAAGGTAGAAAAAGGAAGAAATAAAATCATCTAATCGGATAGATTTACCATGTTAAGGTTGATTAAAAACTGATATAAAAATTTGAAAAGCCAAGTCATGTAAATTTATTGTAATGTTCAGTCAGTTTCTTCAGCTTGATATTTAACCATTTTTTGGTTTACCATTTAACCAACTATCATGAAAATTGAGTGAATTAACAATTTAAAAATAGTCATTTATAAATAATAAGTCGAGAAAAAAGTACAACTAGAAGATTCTTAACGAACCATGAATAGTTCATATCATACGGTCACTTTTTCACATAATATTTGGGTTCATCAACAATCATAATCATTTGCTTTGTTCAATCGACAGTAATCAAACAGGAATGAAACTAACAATTTAAACAGATCAAATGAGATGGATAATTGAATGAAAAAAGTAACCCTTAGAAGATGATTTCACCAAATTGTAGGTCTATTAAATAGATTGTGATTACCCATTTAATAATTCAAATTGATAAGGTAAATTATTTCTCAGCAATTATCTTATTCAGACTAAATTGAATTAGACATGAAAATGAGATGGAGGAATAAATAAAACACAAATCACTAACCAATCTGAATAAATTAGGCCAACAGAGTCAGGAATAAACTGATTGATTAAATTAGTGGATCAAGTTTTACTTTAAAAGCTAGTCAAACATAAAGTTAATCTGCCGATGAAAATTGAAGCTTTAACCGGTAAGACAATCAAGGTAAAATGGTTAACAGAATTGCTGATCAATATGTTTCCCTGTATGATACCCTTTACTGTTTATAGCAATTGATAATGTTTGAACGCCAACTCATAAAAACGTCAATCCTAATCATACAATAACAACCAGAAACCAGTCTTTTCAAAAAAAAACTCAATTCCCATTCAACTTATCCTTTAAAAATTTATCCGTTTTTGCCTCTTTTTTACGCTTGGTTTTACTTGTACTTTATCATTTCTGTATCAACATTGAATACGTAAATGGATTACAATCCTTATCAAGGTTGGTCTCATTTTGGATCTACTTTTACCGTTTGAAAAGCAAAAGAAAAGCTCTTCAATGTTTACCTGTTTGGCTCTGATGTTAACATCACCCAGGTTAAATAGTCGTCTGATTACTTCCTTTTGGGTTTCATTGGATACTCGTGCTGTGGATACCAACATTATTGCCGTATAACCAGCCTGTAACAATAGAAAAGTAAACACGTACAGATGAAAAGAAAGTAATTGAAACCTGTTCCATGAATGGCAATTGTTGATGAAACAGTTGAATGAGTTGGAGAGAGAGAGGAGAGGACAGAAAATGTTTTAGGTAAAAACTGGTGATTTTGTGTTTACCTTGTTTTGTTTATTGACATCGCAAACCTTGGAATCCAGGAGGACAGAAACAACATCAAAATTAGAGTGTGATATGGCATAATGCATTGCAGTGTTGCCACTTGAATCCGTCAAATTAACTATCTTGTTCAATAGATGGGCCGAGAAACTCTCAAAGCAATCAAGATATACTTCAATCATGGTTGGGTCACTGTCTTTACAGGCAGCAATTGAAAACCATTCCTTCTCAATGATCTGAACACTCTTAGCCTGTGATTAGATTAAAAGAAAAGATCAAAATTAATTTCAAATTAGCAGCAAAAAAACAACAACAACAGCAAAAATTTTGGCAAAATTCATTCAAAAAAAGCACATTAATTCAAAGGTAACCAAAATGGTTCAACTCTGAAATTTTCATTTATATTAAACAATCAAACCTTTTGCAGTAATTGCTTGTTAATATTAATAACTTGATAAAAAATATATTTTAAATATTAGTTGATTTATTCAAGATTCATGCTTGGATTGATTATTCAGACATTGATAGGATAACTATCAACAGTGATTTACTTTGAAGCTGGGGCTGAGTGAGATCATTGTACTCATGGTTTTCATGTTAAAATAGAGATGAAAATGTTTGCACTTGGTTGGGTTGAGAACTGAAAAAGGTAAGGTTAAAGTGAAAGTTGACGGTAAAGTCAATGGTAATAATAATAAAAGGAAACTTGATTAGGTTATCTGGTTAAATTATCTGGTTGTTAACATTGACAGTCATGGTTGTTGTAGAAACTAATTGTAATCTTAACAATCTTGCCAATTTACTATTTACTTTGTTTAATCTGTAATTTCTTTCCTTCTTCAGTCCAAGTTTATTGTATAATCGAGTAAATCTGAAAATAATCAGTCCACAATTTCACCTAAATCATGGTGAAACAGCAATTTTTCAATTTGATTTGCTTGCAATTCAAGCAACCAATGAAGCAACTTAAAACAAAACCATTGATCATAAAACTTTCATTAACCATTTCAACAATAAATTGTAACTTAAACCATCAAATAGCCAGTGAGTGGAGTTCATAAACAGATTTTGTTCAATAAACATTAAATTATTCATCATTTTGCCAAGTGTCTGAACTTTCAAGGCAAATGTAAGATACTTTCATCTTACATATACACTTGTATAATTAGCTTGTAAGTAATTATCAAAAATGTTCAACATATAACTGATCATTTAAATAATCAATTAAACTTGAAGCAAACAACAAGCCATAAAAATTTAACTAATTGCAGTTTAAATTTTGCTCATGATACATAATACAGTTAAATAATATGAAACATTGAAAAGGCTTTTCTTCTGGAAACTTTCCAAGATTATGAGAGAAGGTAAATCATTAAGTTGTGAACAATCAATCAAAACAATCAATAAACAAGCAAATGCAATTAACTAATGAATATGTTTGTAATACAATCGATAGGAATAAAAGTAAAAGTTGAAATTACTATTCAGATTGCTTTTCAACTGAAACAGTCGAGAGTAAAGTTCAGTACAAACCTAATAACCAACCAGTTAAATGAGTAAATTTAATAAGTCAATTTGAAATCAAAATTAAAATCAGTAAAATGAAGAGTTGATCAGTGAATGGATAAAAATACACAAAAAAGGGTAACTGAATTGTTATACGGATCATCATTTTGATATCAGAAATGAATGGATTATATTAGGATAAGGATAATTTAAAATGTATCTTTATAAATGTCAAGCTTGGTGTTGGAAGGATAAAATTAATCTTAACCCAGTTAATATCATCAGATGGTCGATATAATTAGGTGTTAGGAAATGAAATGTTGAGTATAAAAAGGTTTAAAGATAACTTGAAAAGGTAGCAATAATTGGAAAGAAATGGTGAATCAATTGAAATGCAAAAATGAAGCAACAATTTACCGATAATCAACCGTACAATCAAACAATAGGCTGCATTATGAAAGGCAATTTCATGATATCAATTGATTCTCTTGAATCTTGCTTTCATTTATCTGATGAGAATAGATTACAGGGTGAAATGAAAGTTTGTGAAAAGGTAATAATCATTTCAATTGCGCGTTTAACTGTTTTTGTGTTCAACTTTTATACATTTACAAATGTAAATTGTTGCCAATGATGACAATTGAAAGAAGCGCCAATTGTTTGCGCATTTAGTGTCCCTTAACATCACCCTGTAGCTTTGATTGTAAATCAGGAAGAAGATGATATTGAACAGAAAAGGTAATTTGCTGAAACAATAGCAAAATTAGTTTTAATCAACAAATGGTTTCATTTTTTAGCTAAAAAATGAAAACCTATTTTTTAATCATCATCTTAGCCTATTCATTGACAGCTGTGTTTACCAACAAATGTTCAGATCCATTGGTTGTAACAAAATGGTCAACACTTCGAGGTTTTACACGGCAAATTATCGACACTCCTGTTCATCATTTTTTAGGCATTCCTTATGCTCTGCCACCAGTGGGTCGACTTCGCTTCAAACCTTCTATTCCTTTGGGGAAAACTGGCCTTCGTCATAAAGGCATTTACAATGCGACTTCATATCGTTTTGGGTGCATTCAAACACCTGAAGATGAGGCCAAACACAGTACAATACCATCAAGTGAAAACTGTCTTTTCATTAACGTTTACACACCAGCAAATTTAACTGATGAAAGACCATTAAAGGCAAAATTGCCTGTTCTTGTTTTCATCCATGGAAGTGGTTATGTTTACGGTTCATCAGGAAATCCTCACATTTACGGAGGTTACCTTGCAGGCCTTGGAAACATGGCTCTTGTCGTTTTCAATTATCGTTTAGGTGCATTGGGGTTAATGTATGGTCACCCAAGCAAGATACCAGGAAATTTGGCGCTTTGGGATCAAAAGGCTGCTCTTGAATGGGTCCAGGAAAATATTGGTGCTTTTGGTGGTGACCCTGAAAGGGTAACTTTGATGGGCCATTCGGCTGGAGCTTCATTTTCAACCATGCACCTCATGTCCACTGAAACTCGCCATCTTTACCAACAAGCAATGGTCATGAGTGGAACAGCTTGCCACCGGTCAGGATTGGATTCACCTGGTTTGGCTTTGAGGAAAGCCCGTGAATTGACTAGACGACTCAATTGTTCACAAATCCCTTTAGACAGTGTTTTCTTGATGGATGATGAAGTTGAATGTCTGATGAGGGTTGATGCACTAAAAATAGCTCAGGCTCAGGGGGACTTACAGACATCCGAACCATCTCAGTGTTCATCGTCAACTTTCCTTCCATCATATGGAAATTCATTTCTACCAAAGTCGACAGATACTTTACTGGAAGACCATAAATATGTTCATGGTAAACCGTTATTGATTGGAAAGGTTCCCATTGAAACCAAGCCATCAGTAAATGTAACCAGTTTGTTTCAAGCTGTAACATTGATACAATCATACATTACCAATTCAACTGGAGCCATTAATCCACCAAACTCGGAATCCATTTTGAAATACTATCTTAACTCAATCGTTGATGGTGATAGCTATCGATTAACTGAAGCAGTTATAGCTGCTGTTAATGACCTTTGTCAACACTGTCCGCTGCTCAAATTTTCAAAACACTGGGCAAGTGACAATCCAGTTTACCTTTATTATTACACATATGTTACAAGTGGCTTAAGAAACGACCCTGGCAGACTGTATGGACCTAACCATGCAGATGACACTAAAATATTGTTTGGATTACCATTTAAAGATTATGACGAGTATAATGATGAAGATAGAGACATGAGTCGCTTTATGATTGAGTTGTGGTCTTATTTTGTGCACAAAGGCTCAATGAAGTGGTCATCAGTTTTATTCGATTCCGATCAACGTGATTACATTATGTATCAATATGAAATCGACGGAAACACTACAATGAACTACAAAAAAATCAGCATCGACAAAGATTCAGTAATCTGTAAATTATTGCCTGAATAGTCAAACATTAAAAACGAAAGTATATTTTAAGTTTACCCGAAATTGGTAAACCTTTTACCAGAAACTGAAGTCTTTTTTTACAACCAAGTCAAACAATGGCCATTATTGACAAATTAAATTAGCTTCAAATTCAGTAAACGCAATTTGTTTATCATGATGGGATTGGGGAAATGATAGTGGAAATGAAAACAATTTGAAAATGTGACCTGAAACTAAACAATAGTTTCAATGTTCAATTGATAATCAAATTGTTAGATAAGATGAATTTAGATGCAGCTGATGATGCATTTTAAGTCTATTATTTTGGGTAAATTTTTTGCAACAAAATTATCAATTAATTGATTAGTGTATCAATAATGTGTTTATAACGAGTGATTTTCAATTGAAATGTATCCAACATGCAAAGATGATTGCTTTCAATTATTTGATTGGAAAAAATGAAAAGCGTTAAAATTGTTAGTGAAAACAAATTACATGTGTGGTCTTATTATTATTATGAAGACAAACAGGCGAAGGATGATAATGATGATGAAGGATGCAAATGAATTGATGTTTCACAGTTTTCTCCATGCAAAAGTTCATCTTGAATCATGTAGGCGAAGGCAAGAAACATGTTATTAATGTAAAACAGTGAGTTTGTTTGACAGTAATAATTGTAATTACAATTGCTAAATTGATAAAATAGCCAAAGAAAAATGAGATTAATACAAAGTAACATTAAAGAGTAGCCCACGATGAAATTATCGGCAAAAAACGTTGATTTGGCCTGAAAAATTGCTTCAATTGAATTGCAAATTGTTAATTGCCAATAAAGGGCTAGGTTGATACAGATAATGATCGGCTTTGATCAAATTTGCACAAAATTTAACAAATAAATGCATCTTCAGAATCTTTATCAGAATATTCAATTCCTGGTTTCTTGGGTTTTGAGCATATTATGGCAACTATTTTTGAATTGTTATTGTCGTTGGTGGAAATGATAATTAAAATTATCATTTTGGTTGCCCTTTTCAATGTTTACCTAATAATAGGATAAGAATTTTAATTGCTTAAGTAACATTTAAAACTAATGATAGTTTGTCTGTTGGAGCAATTAATTTTTATGAATTTATGTTGAAAGGTAACGCAATTTAATGGTTGTTGATCGCCTACAAGAGATCAATTTAAGGTGTGTGTAAAAGTGTTTGTGTGAGCGTTTTCAGTACAACAACCGATGGCCAATTTGCCATCGGTTATTGAGAAAAGGTCAAAACCAAAGACATTTAACCATAAATCAATAATATTGATTGGTTGACTGATCATAAAGAAACATTGATTTGTCGAGAGTAATAGTCACCAGTGCATTCAGGTAAACATATACAGGTGAACATTAAACATATGGTTGATAACATTTATACATAATTATTTGACGCTTTTCTGGTTTACAATAAATTTCTTGTTCATCATTAGGTAAACTGAGATGGATTAATGGTTAACTATTTTCTCATCCTAATCATCATCAACTCAAGTTTCCTTGTAAACATGAGTAAAAAAAACAACCTTAAAAAGGTCTTAAAATAGTGTTTTCATCTCTAGATAGAGATAATGTTTACTCACAACCCTCTGGATTTAGGGTTCCTAATGCTGAATTGAGTCTTTGAGGTTGTCAGTTGGACAGCATTTCAAGAAAGATTATTGTTCTGCTTGGATAGTTGACAAGGAAACTTGAATCTTGACAATTATCAAACTGTCCTTTGGTTATTGCCTATTATTTGCCTATTATTATCGCTTCAAAGTTTTTTTGTGTCAAATTTTTTTCCATTCATTAGAAAAGGCAATTTAAGGTTTTGCTCAAAAAGCTTTAGCTTCAACTTCAACCCGAGAATTTGATATTTTTAAAATATCTAAAAATTGCTGAGTTACAATTGATGAAAATTTTGGTTCCTTCAATTGTTGAAGTTTCTTAATGGTGAAAAATTGGATCAAAATGAATGATAATTGGACTAAAAGAGTTGCAGTGAAAGTGATTTTTTTGAAAAGATTGAAAAAATATTTGATTTTGTCAAATGAATGATTTAATGGTTTCACCGTGTAATCTGATTAACAGCAAAAATTAGCTGATCAAAGCTATTAATTGTAGCCAGTTAATTTGATTAATTATTGAAGGGCATTAGTGATCGGTTGGGTTGAAAATGGTTAATTAGCGTTAAATCATAAATTTTACTTTGACAGCCTGATCAATACACATTAAATTCATAACTTACAAGCTTTCAACTTGACATTAAAGGTGATTTTTAAATGGATGTCAGGAAGAGAGGTAAATACAGGTAATAACTAATAATAATTAATAGAATTAAAAATCAACAAGATTAACCAATTTATTATCCAATTTTCAACAAAAAATCAACTTTTTTCAGCTTAATTCAGTTAATCATAAATGAACATAATCTTTCAACTAATTATTGGAATGAAAGATTCAGTCATGGCAATGATTAAATGGCACTTAAAACATTGATCAAGCTATTAACTTAGATTAACCAGATTCTAATGCAAGACAATTCTGTTTACATAATCTTATTACCTTGTTGTTTGTATAATAACCTTTAAGGTAAGGCAATATTACCATTCAGGTAGAGCCAATAACAAGATTTTATCATTAGGTAGGAATAAACAAAGTAAATTGACAAGAGAAATGGCGACAAAAATGACATTTCACAAAATAAAACAGCTGATAATAAACGAAACATCTAAAGATACATTTTTCTTGATAAGTAAGATCAAAATTCAAGTTGAGTGAAGCAAAAATTGTTAAGATTCATCATAAATCTCAAGCAATTGTATCAAAGTTGGCATTTTTTGTTCATTTCATTCATCTTGTGAACAGAATAATGGTTTGGAAAAAAATGTTCACCAGAATTTACAGGGTTATGTTGAATGGAAGCGACAGATTCACTTGGTTAATCAAGTATTGACTATTTAACAGCAACACTAATTTAGAAGGTGAATTTTGATCAAAAGATTTTAATGCAAGATTTATATTAAAGTGTTCAAAAAAGAGCATTGAATTGCAGGTTTAATTTGCTTTCGTGTTATCACCCAAACAAGGTAAATAAGATCAACCCTTTTAGGAAAGTTACGATAAAGTAAGCATTTCTTTTGCAGAATACCTTTTGGTAATCAATTTGAAATACTTATTAATCTATTCAAGCCATCAGTCATTTTTGAATGCACCATACGGAATACGGTAATCATTCAAAATGAACAGGTAAATGAATATTTTGTAGGTTTCATGATGGAAATATTAAAATGAATTTAACATGAAAATCTACTCAATTTATCGCAATATAAGCATTCTTTTTTTTGCTAACCACAAGCAATCAAAATTGACTCACATTGTTATCTAACTGTTTCTCCATCATTATTAATGATCAATTGAGCTGCCCATGAAGGTCAGAATAATTGTAACATGCGTTGGGTTAATATATGAAGAAGTAAGAAATCTGACAAAAAACCGGCTTTTCACTTCAACTTTTGCTTCTTTTTCATTAAGAACATGATCTTCTTCAGTTTCATCTTTTTTTCCTCTCTCTTTTCATGAATTGACTTGCATTGAACAGTTAATCAAACCAGGTTTAGTTGATTTTTCAACATTATGTGATCAGTTTTTACCATTAATGTTGTCAAGACAATCAACAAACAAGCTAATTATACTGTTAACATCTGAATTAATAGAAAGGAGAGAGAAAAAAAAGTAACAAGAAAAACCATCAAAACCATTTTTCAAGGCTAATTAAAAGTTAAGATATTTTCAGGGTGAAATTTTATGTTCCATGAGTGCAAAGGAAAAAAAAGAGTTAACCACAAATTGAAATAATAATCATTAGTTGAACAAGTTTGCCAGTTTGTATTATTAATATTGGTTAAGTTGAAAAGGTTGGAAACTCACTGTTGCAGGTTTATTTGAGAGATCGGGCTTGAGTAGACTATCGTTGAGAACCTTTAAAGCTGCTCGAAGTTCCTTACTTGGCTTGATTCTGGAAAGGTAAGAGAATTAAAAAAAAAGGAAAACATTTAATTAATTGTAAGGCTTTGCGGTAAGATTAAAATGGTGAAAAATTGGAAGAAACAAAAAATAACTTCATCTTCCCACACACAGTGTTAATTCAGCGGAAACGCCAGAGATGGTTGTATAATTAACATGAGGATAAATTGTAGTTATAATCAATTTTTACGTGATATGAGGTAATTCTGTGTGCTGTGAGAATCGGTAAATTTGTTAACATTTAGCAGGGGAAGGAGAAAATAGAATCACAAGTTTCTTCTTCTTTTTTTTGTAATGAAAAAAAAGGTTGAAAACACGCAATTCTGAGTTTAACAAAACTCACATTTCTTTTGGACGGGTGTTGTTATTAATGAACATTTTACGTCCAGGTACAATTACACCATCTTCAAGGATATAGGTGCCTTCACTGGATGAAAATGATTCAGGATCCTCATCATCATCACCTTCTGATTCGGAATCGCTTATTTTACAGGCTTCTTCAAATAAACGGATGTTCTCCAGGTCAACTTGGGGTGTCATCATGGACGGGAAATTGGATCGATGTTTACGTGACCCTAAATTGGCATTTGGATCTCTAAAGACAAGTATCTCGTCATCGTTTCCCTCTTCAATGATAATCTTATTTGAAAGATTGGTTGATTTGATAGACAAACAAGGCATCTCGGTTGATTGCTGTTGGTGTTGAGGGTTACAAGATTGTAATGGTGTTTCTGTTACTGATGACTGTGGTGGCAATGAATTGGCAAGCCTAGGAATACGGCTTCCAATTCCTGGACTTGGCGTTTTATCTTTGATAACAACTTCTCGAGCAAGTGAGGTTATCGTTTCATTACATTTATCACACAATTTAATTGACTGTATACTAGAGGCCATTGATGATATTGAAGAAATCATTGAATCAACCATTCGGGTGTTCCCGGCTATAAGTCCGGAGGCTTCAGTGTTCACGCCAACTTCTGAAGCATTTGTTATTGACGATGGTGTCAATGGTGAACATATTAATCCACTGCCCACACCAATAGTCTCCATTTGTTTTAATTCACAGTGAGAACATTTTAGGTTTATTTGGGTAATTTTGTCTTCCGTTGTGATAGCTTTTGGTTCATCAGTTTGACTTGATTGGTGATTATCTCTAATATTTAAATCTTTACGATAATTACAATTTATTCCAGTCTCTCGCAGATGAAAGTAATCAGTTCCGACAGAAGCATGTAATATTTTTGGATTTGCTTGTGTTATAGCATCATGACGCTCTAATGGCATTGGATTTGTACCTCGGGACATTAGGAGTGGTTTAGGAAGAGCAAAGGACGGTAAGGTTGTTGTTGCCGTTGGCATATTGGGAGAAATGTGTTGTTGCTCTTGTTTAAGATCATCATCAAATAGTTGACCTTTCTTTGTTTCACTTTCTCTTGAGTTAACCATCGATCGCCGAGGCAAGGTGGGTGCTATGTTAACTGATATACCGATAGATCGGTAAACTTTGGGAGGTAAATCATTATTGCTTGATATTGGTGACATTACATTTCCAGTTGATAACAATTCTGTTCGTTGAGATGGTGAATTAATAGATGAAAATGTTGATGTCTTGCCGATACTTAACGAAGTTGGTCTGATTGAAATTGATTCCACATTATTGTTGATACTCAAGATATTTTTATAGAGTTTTGATGTTGCAGTTGCTTGTGAGGATCCTTCTGGTTGTTCAGTTTTACAATTATCATTGAAATTTTCTGCTATTTGACTACTTAATTGGTCAGTTTGAGTAGCATGATCACGGAAAGATGAATTTTGCAATTTTAAGCTTTTAAATGACACTGGACTAACTGTTGCTAATCTGGATGATGAATGCTTATCATCGAAATTATATTCTTGTGATCCTTCCAAAGAATCTGATTGGAAAAGAAATTTTCTTCTACTTAAAGGTGGTGTTATAATGCCACTTTTTTCTAACTCTTCGACTCTAGAATCATCTAATGGTGAGTTTCTATCATCATTATGAGTAACACTATCTTCTGGATTTACTTTTTCCAATAATCTTTTCCTCTCAGCTTGAAGAAGAATTATTTTCTGCTTTAAAACAGGAATATCCTTAACTTGCTGTTCAAGGTCTCTCATTTTTTGGACACTAACTTGCAGTTGATCACGAAATTGATTGAATAATGTTTTGTTAACACCGTTATGATGATTGGTTTGATGGCCGTGATGATTGTTAGATGAGATGTTTGAGAAGCCTGCAGGCGATGAAGGTTGAGATTCAGAGGCTCGATTTAGACCAGTTAAAGGATTGGGTGAGATGGGTGAGCTATTGCCATGATTTATGAGATCACTTCCATTAAAACGCGGGAAAGATCCTCTTCGGACTGGCGTTGATGTAGTCAATGGTGATGGTGTGTAAGGAGCCGGTGAACTTGGAACCGAATAGGAAAAAGCTGCCTGTTCATGTTCCTTTAATACTTTTTCAAACAACTCAACAGCATCAGTTAATGATTTATCCACAGGACTTGGTGGATTGAGTATATCATGGATTCTTGAAGAGGAATTACTTCTACCAACTGGACGGAGTCGATGAAGAAAGTTAGGAGAGTTGATATGGTTGGGACTAAATTGAGGTAAACCATTAGAGTTGTTAGATAAAGGTGATGAACGGTGAAAGAGATTGTGATTGGCGGTTCCGGGTTTTCCATGGCCGTTGGTTTTATTTTGATTTTGATCACATAGCCATTGATAAGTGGCATCATCATTTGGAAGTGATGTGGTTGATGTTAAAATAAGCCGTTTTGGTGGTCGATTAAGTGAAAAAGATCCTCTTGAGGAAGAAGATGAAGATGCACGTCTACCTTGCAAAGATGCTAATAAAGCTTCACAATATTGCACAAATTCAACATCAATATGATATCCATATGGACAACAAGAACACCTATTACCACCTTTGGTACCATTTATTTTACCATACCCAGTTGAGGTCATGATGAAAGTATAAAGTGTAAAGGCACAAAAGAAAACTTTGTTCACTCTTAACCCAGGTTACTTGTTAACAAAAAGTTGTAGAGAAAAGTTTCCCATAAGAAGAGCTTACCGCAGTTTCCATTATCAACAAAAGTAAAAGTTACAAGTTGCTTGAGTCACATATAGTTTAGTATTTTTGTGCAGGTTGATCTAAGGATGATAACTGAACTTTATTGCAACTCTGAACACAAAATGAAATGAAAGTAAGCAAAAAGGAAGATGAAGAAGGAGCAGTGAAGATAAAAAAATAACAACATAAAAATAAACATAAAAATAGGAATGCCATCTACAGTTGGCTCTAACAACTAAAACGATTTCCTAAAATTCTGCCATCACCATCTAACGGTGTAAATAATAAACAGTTTGGTCTTCTGCTCATTGGGTTTTCATGTTATTTTCAATATACAGTTAATGTAACCAGTCTTTATTTTAATAACTTTTCCTACAGATTCAGTTTCCATAAGAATTTCATCTACTCCAAGTTCAATCTGCATGGGTATAGACAGATTCTGATCGATCTCATCTCAGTAATTATTGGCCAAATTTACATAATTATCTACAGCTTTTTTCCGGACTATCAATCATCGATATTTTCTGGTCAGAGATCTTTCTTATCTCTTTATTGAAAGGCCTTCTCATGGACATTCTCTTGGTTCATCAATTACAACACCATCATTACTATCTTGATAGAAATCTTCAACAAACAAAACATATAGTAATACCGTTAATATCTAACAAAATTGTAAGATTTCATTTTCTTCATTCCAACTGATATTTTATGGATGGCATTATGATTTCGTCAACTTGCTAATTGTTATCACTTACTGTCTTGAAAGATTCATATGTCATATAATGCCAAGGCTGGCAATAATATTGCAGCTTAGGTTGTAAATCTAATGTTTTAAAATCAACTTGAGCTGAGCGAAATGATTTGGACGTTAATAGAAATGCCATTGAATTTTCAATCATCTGAAATTAATTATTTCAACATTCTCTTTACATCCTTATTTTGGTCATGAACAGTGTAGAGGCTGGGTAAGACTGGTATCTTATCGGGAATCAGTTGTAACAACAATCTACTTGATTTCAACAAACTAATCAACACAGAAGAGAGAACAATTTACTCTTGAAATGAAAAAAAAAGATGATGATTTTTGATGAAAATAAATGTCTTTTTGTGATAAACAATGCGAGTTACAAGGATGTTTCAAACTAATACATTGTAATTATAATTAATCTTAATATAAGTATTAAACCTTTGTTTTTGTAAACAGGAAAGCTGAAAACTGTATCAGTTCTGAAGCAAATGAATATTGGCCCTAAATCAAACCAATCTCCAATGAAACCTGGACGCATCCAAAGGATTGTTTCAAAATTTGGTTTGCATCAACCCAAATCATGATGGGAATTTCGGGAAGCCTAAAATTATGTATTGATTGACTGGTTAATATTTAATTATATGTAACTTTAAATGGACAACAAAGTGAACAAGTTAAATTGTTCACTTGAATTTGTCCTTCAATTGATTAACTTGCCATTCCAAGGTTGCCCAGAAATTAAACCTCACAAAGTAATCATTCCAAAATCAAGAGAAAGTCAACATTTTGATCAACCCAAATTAACCTAAATAACACCAGATTTGGTAAACCTTGTTGATATCTAAAAGTTCACTTGCAAAGACGTTCCAACAATTGAAATCAGCTATTTACCATGCCAATCATAATAACAGTTTATGCAGCTATTTTAATGATGATATTGGTTATGACGAGGATGACAAAGATGATGATAATCAACATATACGATCTCAATATCTCAAGAATTGAACCGATAGACCGGTTTGTATTTAACTTGGATGAGTTGAGAGAGTTGAAGTGAGTGCAGTGAGAATTGACTGAAATGTAAATAAATAGATAAATTGAATTGTTGATTATTACAATTAGCAGTACCAGTAATAGTAGCATTAGCTGTATCACTGGTTGTATCACCAGTTGTATCATTAGTTAATCACAATTGTTGGTGCAGTCTGAAAAGGATAACTAGTGATAACTGTGAATAGTGAACATCCAATAGATCTATTGTTATTTCAATAGGTTTACTTTGGCTACAGGTTTATACAATTACAACCAGAAAAGTTAAATTGTTTCCCATTATATCAAGTGATTTGCTAATATGAATAAACCAGCGAGTCCAAATATGTCAAAAATCCGTAAATTGTTGGCAGCGCTTTGCCACCTGAAAGTTGATGTTTATTATTTACTTTGCATGTTACCCTTTGCCTTACCAATGGTTACCTTTACCCAATTTGCTCAAGACAAATATTGCCTGAATGAACACAAATTGGGCTGGGAAATTTGTAAAGATTTAGCTGAATTAAGTGATCCTGATTACGAGGAGAGTAAAAATTCAGTTCTACAATCAGTTACAACTTTAAAAAATTACCAAATCATTACAACAACAGCTCCTGGTATACTTTACCCACTGTTTCTTGGATATTGGATTGACACTTATCCCAACCATTTGTATGGTTTGCTTGTGATTGCGCCAATTGGTGGTTTTGTTGCCAATTTAATTTGCTGTTACAATTGTATTAGATTTGATTTAGGTAAGCTATTGAAACAATTATTGATGATTCCCTTTTCTTCACCCAAATAATCCTCAGAGTTTTATAATGTTGACATTTTGAAAAATTTGGTTCAATTTTTTAAAGTTCAACTGATTATATGTGATGTTCATTTGTTAATCAGTATAAATTTGTATCATGAGCTCATAATTATGTATATTTTTCATCAACTTATCGAGTCATGTTGGTGGCTTAACATCAGCTGAAGATTAACTTGTTGCATTTCTGGTGGTGATTTGATCTCATTTGATTTACCAATACTTTCATCCTACTAATTAGCAATTTGATGCAATAATATGTTTAACTAAATTTTGTCCTCATCATTAGGGAAACAGTAAATTGACATTTTAATGGTTAATCTGAATTAACCAGCTTCACTCTCATTTTACTGGGTATTTCATGGTAATACTTTGTATTACATTTGCAATTTTCACCTTAAATTTCATAAGCCTTTAGTGACTAGCATCGATCTCTAATCTATTTAATTGGATACATTAATTCATCCAATTTTCTCTGTCTACATCACTTATTAATCATCGGTTATCCTTGATTAACTCTAATTGTCACACCAAGATTTAATCTCATAGTCAAAGACAGTCTAACAATACATGTAATTAGTATCAAGATTACAATGCAAATTGAAAGGGATTTTGATTCTGGTTGAATCTAAACCAGACTAACCTCAACCGATTGTCAATCCATGAAACTAGCTTTTACCAGATTAAACATGAAGCTTTGTTCATTGATTATTCACTGATTATAAACATTTAAACCTTTGACCTCAACATTAACAGGCAAATTTGAGCCTTTCACTTTTCAATGGAGATAAATTTTTCTGGTTCTTCCCTGTTCATCTGCAATCATTTGAGCTTGACTTTGACTTAATCGCTGGATTAGAGCTAATCAAGGACATTTTTGATCATTAAAAAAACAATCATAATCATGAGATTAATTACTAAATTTTCCATCAACTAGGTACAACTTGATTTGATTAAAAGAAAGCAGGAATCACAAGAAATCAGTAACATTGAGAAATTGAAAATTGATATTGAGAGGCATTTTTGAATGTTTCAAATGGTAAATTACATTTCACTAATTTCAATCCAATAAACGCATCATTTACTAATTGTTTCATCTTATCTTACATTTCAGCTCCAACAACCATATTATATTCATATGTATTGGAAGGATTGCTTGGAGGATTGACCGTCCCAATGACCGGTTGCTATACAATAATAACTCGGACAACACCGAGTCATTTACGTTCACTCAGATTTGCTGTAATGGAGTTTTTCATTTCTTTGTGTAAGTTTCATAATAATATTATCACCAGTAATCAAACAGTTAACAATTAAAAAGCGAAAACAATTGATTGATTGGAATTTCATTGCCATTAAGATTATCAAAATAATAATGATTCATAAACCAGGAAGAAATTGTTAATCTATCATCTATTAATTGAAAGTTCAATAGCAAACAGATTTTACTTTAATCAATTTTAATGGTTTAATCAGAGTTGAATCATTTAATTGTGTGAACGACTTGGTAGACATAGATTAAAGTGTAATCACTTCAGTGCTATAGCACCTTTGAATTGTTCACTGATCAGACTTGTCTACTGGCTTCATAGCTTCGATTTCTGAATTGGAATATTTAATTTAATATTTTATATTTTGAATTAACCTTTAAAATAATTCAATTTCAGTTTTAGCTTCAACAGCTTGAACTTCAACTTGAGAGTTGCTGATCCATTAATAGATGGAGCTAGTTATGAAATTTTAATGCAATGGAAATTTAATTTTGTTTTGAACATTTTAGTTGATCTATTCTTGATTATTTAACTAAATTGTTTGTCATCATGAATATTTTAAACGATCAAATCTGTTTTAAAAATAGATTGAATGTGATTTCTAACACTAAAGTTGATTTTTTCTTTCACAGCTCCATCGATCGCAACTGTTGCCGGAGGAAAGTTACTAACATTGGACCCATGGATTCCTAATCAATACCGTAATTATGTTGCTGTATTTGGATTGACATCATTTTTCTGGGGATTGGCATCTATTTGGGCTTTGATCTTTCTGCGTGATGCTGGGAAACAATCGATTGAAAGATCACCTTCAGATGACTTGGAAACAAACCCAGGGATTAATCGTCAAGCCGAGATGAGATTATCTATTCGTTCATTGGAAAGACCAAATATAAGAGTGAATTCAACCAAGAGCAAAAAGGATGGATTGTTATCAATATTAGCAGATATATTTAATCCTAAAAGTGTTACCACAATGATGAAAACTTGCTGCCGTAAACGTGATAATTATGGAAGAGCCCAAATTTGGCATTTAATAGCAATGATGACAGTAGTTTTGATTTCAATGAAAGGTGAAGACTCTATTGGTTACCAGTTTACACAAAAAGTACTCAATTGGTCTGCCGATGAATACTCAGATCGATATGCTTTCCTTTCACTTGCACCACCGTTTGGTACCACTTTGGCCACTTTAATTTTGGTTCCAACATTAAAACTGAGTGACACTGTTTTTGGCATTATAGGATCACTGTCACTGGTAATATCATTGACACTCAAAGGCGCTCTCTTAACTTCCCTTGGATACTACTTAGCGTTTGCTACATGCATTTTTTCTGGATTGGCCTCAATCTCAATTCGATCCATTTTGTCTCGTATTATCGCACCAAATGAAGTCGGTCAACTTTATTGTATATTATCGTGTATTGAAGGTGCTGGACCAATGATTTCCTCAATTTTCCACTCAGCAATATTCAAGCCAACTTTAGCAATATTACCTGGAATGGCTTGGCATGCTGATGCAATTATAATGCTTTATCCACTCGCTGTTTATATTTGGTTTGATATAACCCGATCAAGATGGGACAAAACTTACAAGTTAAAAGCCAAGCCAAGGAAACAGATTGAACCATCTAAACCTGAAGTCACACCAAATGGACCAAATGCTAAAGTTGCTGAAAACTCTATTGAACTGGATGAAAAATCTAGTCAACAAGTTAAATATTAAACTTGTCTAAATAACCACAATCGAAACTAATCTTATTGCCATAATTTACCTAATCACTGTAAATATACACTTGACAAATGCTAATGATTAAAGCATAAGTACAAGTAGATATAATCTGAATTTGAGTTTATACATAATATAATTATTATCATTAAATTATGATATTCAGCCAAATGTAACTTTATTATCAATTATCTTCAAGTTGCATTTGACATTTACATTAAGATATTTATAATATTCATGTTTTTTGTCTTTATTATTCCCTCATAGCTCTGAATAAACTCATTACTTTGTCAATTGTATTCGATTTGAACATGATGTTCATGATGAAATGTATGATATTTATGATGTAACAAAATTAAGTTAAAGATTCATCTCGATATCAGAAAAGTCTTCATTTCTGTTAATTAGTTTCGTCTATCTGCAAATTCAATGTAACAATGATGAGTTACTCAAAGATTGCCATTTCATTTTTGTTTTGATTAACTAACAATCTTTTAAATCATAATCTTGACATTTAGCCTTTCAGAGCAAGTTAATTATATTTTTGGCAAAATTTTTGCACATAATTATAAAGCTTTTGTAAATATTTTGATTACTGTGATTTATTTGATTGTTTACATCCATTGGTGATGATTGATATAAACATTTATAGATATCAACACAGATTTTAATGAAGATTCAAAGATCTGAAAGTTTAAATAATCGATGAATTAGTAAAACCAGAAATAGACTGAAATCATTCAAGTTGATTGATTTGAATGCATTGAAAGAGTTAATGGATTGAATGCATAGGCAGAATCTATTTGAATTGATGTTTCCCAGGAAATCTTTTGGTCTTGAGTTTATCTAAGAATTTATTTACTTTTCAATGAATTTCAATGATGACTTTCATCTGGATTGATGATTATCCGACCATAATTGTCATTAAATACCCAAAAGAAGCGAGTTAATTAACAAATTAGACTTCATTTTTGGCTTATAGCCTTAAGGCTAGAACATTTTATTCCCTGTTTTTAATAATGTAATATCAAAAAAAAGAAATTGATAAATGAAGAAACAAAAACAATAAATAAGATTATCAGACTTAATTATCTCATTTTTATACACATATATTTATATTGACATTGTCATTATTGGTTTGATTATTGATTTAAATTCTTATTGCATTCTGGAGAATCAGAAGCTCATCAGACATTCATTCACACTGGTCTTATCTGATTGTTATTTTGTTGGTTGAAAAAACATTGTGATAGTAAAACGTTGCAATTAAAGATCAAAGAAAAATGAAAGGATTAATCTCTTTGATGGTTGATTCGACAATTTAACTTTGTTCCTCATTGTCATTTACAATTACAATTAAGAGAATAGAAATGAATAGAGAAAGAGAGAGAGAAACAATTCGCATTACGGTTGATGATGTAGTCTTTGGTAGATGATTTATAGCTTTTATTTGATTGCGGTTGATAAAAATTGAGAATCAACAATTGAGTTGATGGATTGATGATTATGATTGTTGATTGAGTCAATTTTTCATAACAATGAAGATGTGATTTGACGGTGCGATGAAAAAAGTGTAAATGGATTTCTTGATGAGTGATGAAATTATTTGGTAAGTAATGATTTAAAATTGTGTAGGCAAAGATTGTTAATTGTCTCTGATTTAAAGGTGACCGTTGATTGCTAAAAGGACTACAAAATAATAAACATATATAAAAATCGCAGTTTACTGCCACTTTTAAATAACTTATTGATTGCTTTGAGGTTGATCTTTAAAAGTATTGGTAATCCATTGATTGTTGCAATTTTTTTCTTCTAGGCTAAACGTACCATTCCATTCCATCTTTCTTTTTCCCGCTTGCCGTTACCTTTGTCCCTTTATGAACTACGGTTGAACCTTCAAGAAGTGGACCGCCTAAATGAGTAGATTGAGAGGCTGAGGTGAGCAAAGTTGGTGCTCCAGTAGCAACCGGAAGGAAGCGAAAATTTTTACTCGTTGATTCAGTCTTATAAGCTGGTCCAGATCGATATCGAACTTTAAGAAACAGAAACAATGGAGTCACAATCACAATCACAATTAAAACAATAGCAATTAAGCCAATGATCATTGCTGTCGTATCAGCTGAGCTTTTATGGGTAATCAATGTTGGCTTTACTTTACTCTTTTCTTCAACCATTGATGTTGGCATTTCTGGTAAAGGTACGTTAATTATTGGTGGTGTTCCTGTTGGACGTGTGGGTAAACGAAGTTTAGTTGTTGGATAAGGTCGAGGTGGAATCGGTAATGGAGGTGGCATTGGTCGAGGAGTTCGCGGTACTGGCTCCTCATAATCGATAATTGGCTCTTCTGGTGATGGTGACGGTCTTAAATAACTGGGCACTGTCCACTGATTCCATACTGTAGTTGTTGAAACTGTTGTTGAGGATAAAGGATATATGGGTGGTGACAAAGGTGATGGCGAAGATAAGGTAATTATAACTGTTCTTTCAGACGAACTTAAGGATGGCAATGAAGAAGAGGGTTCGCCTGAAGCTGATCCCTCGATGCAATCTTCTTCCTCGTCCACACATTCTTCATCCTCTTCATCGACTTCCTCTGAAACTGGTGTCGTTACTTGGTGAGGTTTAGAAGTTGAAAGAGGAGATGGAGACGAAGACGAAGATGGGCTCGTGGTTAAACCACTTTTGGGCGGAATGTAAACAGGTGTGATTAGATCATCTCCTGATCCCATATCAACGAAATCTGTACACTTTTCTTCATCATCGAAACACCCTGAACCCGAGTAAATGAGATCATCACTCGTAACCAATGTAACATTGAGAAATAATTGCAATAATAATAATAATAACCAAAAATTATAACAAACAACTGGGTGTAATCGGCTAATCAGCATAGCTGAATCAAGAGTCGGTCATTAATTGAATTCATCTATCCAGTTATACCTGCAAGCGAAAAGAAAGAAACGAAGAAGATAAAGTACAATTAGATTGATGGTCAAATAAAATCAACAGATAATGGTGAATTGATTAAATAGGTTATTCAAAGCTTACATTCAAAAATAAATAACATAACAACAAAAAGGATAAAAATTTAAAACAATGGATGTTTGGTGTAAGCACAAGCCAAATTAATTTGGCAACATAAACACAAATGGTAGCTCATTATGATTGACTGGTAGCTATTAAAATATGTAGAAGCCTAATGGAAGGCTAGGTAGGAAACAAAATGATTAGAAAATGGTTAATTAGAGATGGATAATTAAACATGGTTAATGGAAGATGCTAATTGTTAACTGTTTAGAGGTAAACAGACAATAAGAAACACACACAATACAAAAAAGGCAGTTAACCAGAAAAAAAAAGCCAAACAAGGTTCTTCTGATAGTGCGCGAACGAAAAAACCAGAGGGAAAATTTTGCTCCATAAAATGGCAGAAAAGTTAAATCAATACTAATATTAACATAGTAATAATACTAATAATGTTGATGGTGACAATAATTTTCAAAGTTAGCTGAGTAACAATTTAAACGAAGAGCAATAAAATCAGGGAAAAATAGAAAAAAAACGAGAGAAGTAAAAAAAAGGTCAGGAAAATGAGTTTTAATTACAGGGTCAACATTAAATAACAGAGTTTCCTTGCCAAAGAGTATTTTCTCAAAGCATATCATTAAAGCTGCCTTCAATAACGATAAAAACAGACAAGAAAAAGATGAGGATAATCAAGATTTTATATCATAAAAATCACTCTCAAGAATGATTAGTTCAGCAAATTTTATATCATGGAACCCCAAAAATATCAAATGATTGAACCATTTTCTGGTAAAGCAACTTGAAGGCGAGAAGTAAAAAGCTATTGTCAGTGATTTTAGGTTAGACATTTTAGGATCATTTTTTTCAAATTTTCACCCAGAAAATAAAATGCCTAAACCATTAAACCTTTTTCCTTCCTATCACCATTATCATCATCATCATCATCATCATCATCATGAAAGTGATTCTGAAACCTTGCAATATTGGGTTTGAATATCTTTGACAAAACATTGGTTAATATGATTAATTCACTTTCAAATGAAAAACCAATTTTACTGATTATATTAATCTTGTCAAATTGAATTATACTTGTATTAATACCTTTCAAAATGAGAGTTTACATTTGAAAGCAAATTAATTTTAACCCTTCAACTGAACTCTCTTGACAATTTATTTATCTAATTGACAAAGTAATATGATATTTGTTTGCCTGACTCGTTCAACAATTACATTGTTATCAATAAATCCTACGCACACTTCATCTTCAATCCTTAATTAGATACAATTACAATGTAAATGATTAAACATTAGCAATGAATGTGAAAAAAAGTGACTCAATACAATTAGTAAATTACATTTGATAGTAACCCGTTTTTTGATAGTTATAATACAATAATAGAAGGCTAAAAAAAGCTCATTACTTTACCATTAGGCAAATGTTTACTGTTTTTAATCCAATTTGACGTAAATCTTAAATTAAGATTAAACAATCAATCAAAAAAGATTAATTTGATTGCTAATTAAAAGTCAATTCACTGAAATGGAACCAGAAAGTTATTAAAATGTAAAATACATTTGAATCCAGTGTTGGCTGAAAATTTGGGTTAAAATCAACATTACCAGGAAAACCTTTAGACTGTTAATTGTTAATGGTTGTCCATTAAACAAGAGATTTTAAAATGAATTATAATTTATGATGGTTTTCATGATAATAAAGATGTTAACTTAATGGTGATAATAATATTCACTGGATTCTAGTGTTTACTTTGATAATAACAGGTAACAACATAAGAGCATTAAACCTTATTAAGGATAAACAAGAAACAAAAAAGGTAAATATTATATCAAGCTTGAAACATCAAGTCCCAGATAAAAACTCCCAGTCGATATTTAATAGTAAATCAAATTCAATTAACTGATTCAATGGTTTCATGGTAAAATGAACATTCTGATGTGTATAAAAAAAGTTAAAGGTTAACAGAGTAAATATGTTTACAAAGGCAACAGCAAAAAAAGATGAAACGAGTTGAACTCAACTGTAATTATTGATGGTTAAAACCTAATAACTTAATGGTAAAGTCAGTTTAAAAAGGTTAAATCATTCACTAAATCATCTACTTTAACCATCAGCTTTAATCATCTACTGGAATCATCTATCATCTGGTTGCTTCAATCATCTGATTTTAATCATGGCCAATTGATTGAAATATCAATTGTTGTCGAGCTGAAATTGTTGGCCTTTTCCAATTTTAATTAACTTTTAGATATTGATTTTTATTCATGATTGCTGGTTGATTTTTTGATATGATAATATGAAAGTTAACTGTTCCATGAAAGTAAATTTTTCAGGGTTCAACTCTGTACTTGTGTTGCTTTAATTTTGTTTTTCTCTTCATTTTGCATATTCAGAGGTTTGATTTTGTTTCCCTATGATTTGGTTATTATTATTGTTAACGTTGTTCATTTTTATCAACAGTTAATAGTTGATAACTTTGAAAGTTAAATTTAGTTGACAGATTCGGTCAACTGGAAATGAAGTCCTGAGTATTTTTTATTCACAGGACAATAAACGTTCAATGAATCAGAAAAAAAGATAGAGTGGAAACAAGAAGATGAAGATGAAGGTTGAAGCACATAACACAAAATAATACAAAAAGGGATAAATTGATGAAAAGATAGAGTTGAATAAGGAAAAGGTAAAGGTTTTTTTTTCTTGCTCCTTGCAAACACTGGATGAGGAGGTGGAAGAGAGTGGGGAATGGGAAAGAAAGAGAAGATAGAGAAATGAGAGAGAGAAGGGAGAGAAGAAAGGAGATAGACTGAATCTTTTGTTTGTATCATGAACAATGTAATGAAATATAAAATGTAAGGGTTGATGAAAAGCGCCATCGCAATGGGAATTTATAGCAGATAGTGTTGTGTGTGTATTTAGGAAGGATTTGCATGAGAAAAGGAATAAGATGATGATGAAGAAATGAGAAGAAAGCAATTGATGAGATTGAGAGAATTGATGAATTTAAATTGTAACCATACAATGGATAATAATGGATGAAAACAAATGAAGGGAAACAAAAGTGAAGAATGATGTTGAATGGTATTTACTTTGAATAAGGCGCTGGAGGGAAAGCAAGGCAAAGTTGGGAAAGGATAATGACGATTGGGTTAAACGTTTCAATGTTTAATAATGGAGACTCTCTTTTTTTTGGTTTTTTCTGGTGTGATAAATGGTTTGATAAAATGTTCATCACTACTTACCCCAGTTTTAAATTGATTGAAGGTGTAATTGATGGTGAGCTTGACATGATTCCTTGATTATTAACATAACCATCTTATGGATATTGAAAATGGGTAACAGTCCAGGGCAATGGAAATGCACTAGACTGGTTTGGTGGGTAATCACTTTTAGATGAATCTGGTAATGATGGTGATGGTATTAGAATAGATGGAGATACGATTGATAGCAGGATAACAAGATTAATAACAATTAATGAAACAATAAATGAAAATAAACTTTGCTTGCTTCCAATTAGACAAGAACAAGTACTATAAGATTGACAGAGTCGATTGGTATTAATGAGACATGGTTGGTTATAAGGCTTGATTTTCATCAGCTGAAAAAAAGGTAAACGCATTCAAAATGAGAAAGTAAAGACTAGAAGTGTTGGATACCAATGGAGAAGAAGATGAAGATGAAGATATTGTGGATGATAGAGTGGATGTTATCCAGTGAAAGATGAAGAAATGTGAAGAATGAGGAGGAAAAAAAGGAAAGAGAGAGAGTTTTAGGTGAAAATGGTTATACTTCTTCAGAGTTTCATTCATTCACTTTGACATTAGTTGAGCATGATCACAAATCCTATGAGAATGATGAAGACAAGAATGAAGACAGAAAATGATGAAGAGAATGATGATGAGGAGAATATTAATGTTCATATAAGCCGGTATATTGAAACTCCGAGAAGCACGGCTTATCATGTAGCAAGTAGAGCTACAGCCATCTTTAGTTATCTCAAAACAATCAACCTGGTTTATCGATTGTAAAATGATTCGTTATTTTTTAAAATCATTTTTCCAGTTGCTCAGTTTCAAGCATTTCTAGCATCATCGTTATAAACAGAAAAGGTGTAAATTTCACTTGTAATATTTAAATTTTAATATTTATGAATATCATATAATATAGAGACATTAAATTTAAATTTAAATGTTCCTGTAAATGGAATTAAAATTGACAATTGAATACTTTCACAATACAGTATACATTTAGGCAAGTGTTGATAATAATATTGGTCAAATATTGTATACTTGAGGAATTATGATTGGGATTTTTTATGGAATTGGGTTGTTCAACCCAAAAACATGATTTTAAAACATAAAAGTAGATTAAATTTAAAAGACAAGAAAAATTGGGTTTTCTAGAAGACGACGATTTTCCAGATATAAGTAAATGATAAAATGACATCAAGTTCATGATAAGGTGAAGCTGATTCCATCGAGTGAAATTGAAAAAACAATCTTGTCAGTAGTGTCTTGGATTTTTGCTTTTTGCTTCTTCAATTACTCGCTCAATCGTTCTAACAGCTTGTACGCCACTGTCTGAGTTTCTCATGCTTTGCGAGATTTCTTTGATTCGATTATGCATTTCAACGTCTTTTAAAGCGTTTTCAATAGCATCCAAAAGACGCTGCTCGCTAAACTCCCAAAGATTGATACGATATCCAATCTTTTTGTCAACAGCTCTTTGTGCATTGTCCATTTGATCGAGGAAACAAGGAATGATGACGAGTGGTTTAGCAAAATAAAGCGTCTCCATGAAAGTACTATTACCGCCATTTGTTATAACCAAATCAACCAATTCAAGAACTCGTATTTGGTCAACATAATTTTCACCCCACATGTTATCAGCCAACTCGAGTTGATCACCACGAAAACCTTTAGAGACGATAAATTTATGGGGAGATTTGGCCAAGACACTGATTATGTCTCTCATTATTCCCAAATCATTTGAAACAGCTGTTCCAAGTGTAAAATAGATCAATTTTCCAGGTTTATTGAAAAAGTCCCGTGGTATTGCAAGTGGTGTAACACCAGGCGACCTAATGAAGCAATCAACTCGATGCCAAGCTGGCTCTCTGGGTAAACACTCTTCATAATCCAATTGAGCTGGATAATAGTAGAAACCAACTGATTTGGGTGGAAGAACCATTTTTAGAGGATTAAATTCTGGCGGTCTTTTCATTGAACGCAGCATTTCATTTGTTTTTTCAATATTAACTGAATTGGCTTCCAAAAAATTTTGGGCAACCTCTTTCCAAAGCCTTTTATCGCTTGTTGTAGACAAACCAAACCCGTAAGGTGGACCGTTGTGATATAGATTGAGAGGGTTTGCTGTTTGTAAAGATATGACCGTGTGGTTTGTTACAAATAAGGAGCTTGTAAAATCACACCAACCATGGATCAGGGCATCAAATTGAGTCTGATGAACTGCAATAATTTTATGAATGCAAGACTCAAGTCTTCGATACTCGGCCACCATATGCGATAACCTTTCCTTATCGGCTTCAGAGTAGTTCCTGTAACGTTCCAGAGGATTTTTTCGTATGCTGTCAGGACAGCTATCCATCAAATTTATAAAAGAATCATTGGTCCTAAGAAGTCCTTCAGAAAATGGCAAAAATTCGATACCTCGAGATTCAGAAAAATGCCTAAATTTTCTTAGATGTGCGAAAATAACGTGATGTCCCTGTCGCTGTAGCAATTCACCAAATCCCAAAGCTGCATTGATTGGACCATAAGAGTTTGTAGCGGTTATAAGAAAGTGGTATTTTTTTGGCATGGCTGTAAATTTAGCACCAGATACGATTATCACTGAGAAATTTGTAACAGATGAATGCTTCACTGGAATCGATGAGAAAATTTATGCAGAATTTGTGTTGAATTTACTATTTAAAGACTATTTTAGCAGGCTGATGATTTAATCTTCACTTTTACAGCTAGAGAGATAAAAAAGAACTGTGGAGGCAAATGAGAGGGAAAGCAATTAAATGTTGAATGTTTACTGTTTATTAATGACGTGATAAATGGTTTATAAACTGTTCATCACTACTTACCCCAGTTTTCAATTGAATGAAGGAGCAATCAATGGTGAGTTTGACATGATCTCTTGGTTATTAACATAGCCATCTGATAAGTAATGGATATTGAAAATGGGAAAAACTCCAGGACAATGAAAATGCAGTGGATTGGATTAGTGATTGATAACTTTTACATAAAGCTAGTGATGATATTGAAGACAAGATTAAAGACAGAAAATGATGATAAGAGGAATATTAGTCTTCATATAGCCCGGTTTAATGTAACTCCGAGAAGCACTGCTTATCATATTATAGTAGAGCTACAGCCATCTTTAGTTATCTCAAAACAATCAATCGATTGATTCATTTTTATAACTTTCTCAGTTTCTAGATTGACTTTTTGAATATTATTATTATATTATAGTTACATAACTTATATACCAAGGAAAGGTGGAAATCGATTAATGTGAATCATTTTAAAATTGATTTTTCAAGTCGCTAAGTTCATTTTGAAGGATTTTCAGCATAATTGTTGTAACCAGAAAAGATGTGAATTGATCAAACATTTTGAAATATTTAAATTTTAATATTATATTATATTTATAATTGTAATATTACATGGAGACATTACATTTACATTGAATGGAAATAAAGGGATTCACATTGACGAGTATTTTCACAATTTACAGTAAGGTTCATATAAGTAGTTTTGGTTAAAATTTGATCGATTAGACTTGTACACTTGGTTTATAATAATGGCCTGTATAATATGTAAAAATAGAGATAAATTTTCGCTCTCTTGAGAACTTTGCTAAGTGGGGATTTTATGCAACAACAAGGCTATCGTTAACTACAACTTTAGGAGTTTTACGCTTATTGTTATGCAAAGTTAATTTGAATCTACCATGGGCAAGGTAGGGAAGAAGGAATAGGATTAAGCCACCAATTAAGATCATAGATCCAGCCCAAGAAAATCCTGGGTCATAAGAGCCAGTTAAATCAAACATCCAACCTGCATTAAATAAACAACAATCATTAATCAGTAAGTTCATTAATTAATTAATCAAAATAAAAAAATATCAAAACAGTTAAGAGTCTTACCAACAATTGGAGGTCCAATTAAACAAGCAACTCCTTGAAAAAGTAAAACCAATCCAAAAGCATTTGTAAGCTTTTCAATACCCAGAAGATCAACCAATATAACGGACGTTAAACTAACATAGGCTCCTGTTGATTAATAAAATATAAAAGTACGTTAGATTAATGTGAGTTAAATAATCATAGAACATTAATCATGATTAAACATACCACAAGTGATCCCAAATATAGCACAATACAAGGCCATGTAGGTGTAAGTTTGGACAAACGAACTGAGAATTGTTGTAAGGCCACAAAGAGAGATACAACAATTGAATAATAAAAGTCGATTAATTACTTGCAAGTCTGAGATAAAGCCAAAAATTAATCGACCAATCGTTGATGCAATTCCCATTATGGCGAGTAAATTGGATGCCTCAGAATCAGAGGCTAATTGCAATCCAACAACACGGTCTTTAATGTAAATATGGGGAACATAAAAGCCCAAAGAAGTCAATAAATTTGAAATTGAAAAGACAAGAAAAATTGGGTTTCGTAGAAGACGAAAGTTCATCATTTCATCAAGAGTATCTCGGACTTCAGCGCTACAAAGAAAGGCCAACCAATCAGACATACACGAGAATTTGAACTTGGAGATGATTGACAATGAAGATAAGGAAGAGGAAGAGTTTAAGGAAGATGCTGATGATGAAAGTGACGATGACGAGCAAGAAGAAATAATATACTTGGATGAACTTTTCAACATTTCATTGTTTTGTAAGTTGAAATCATTGTTTCTGTTAACCATAGACTTTTCAATGGATGCTCTCGTATCAGGATTAGCGTCAGAACCAATGGATGAAGTACTCAAATCATTCACAGCTGATGTTGATGCTGAGTAAGACAATTTATTGTTTGGATTGTGATTTGTAGGAAGATTTAGATGCATTAAAGATGCCGAATAAAATATATCTCGTCGATATAAAATACCACATGAACTGGTAACTGAATGTTTCCGTCGACAGGTTGTATTACAAGATTCCATGTTTGCCACTTGATTTTCTTGTTGAGTTGAATTAAATTGGTTTTTGTCGTTACCTATCTTTAAATTTTGCTGCATTAAATAATTATTTGTATTTCCATTGGCAATCGTTAAGCCATTCATTAGATTATTACCAATATTCAAATTTTCATGTTTTTCTGCAAGTTCACCTGAAGGTTGAAGTTGACCAGTCATTGGTGGATACAAGGCACATATGGAATGACGAGATGGACTTAGTGGCTCAGATATGGTCAACATGGGTAAGCGTGTTTGATCGTTTTGTATATTGTTTCCAAGAGCTAAACTGGATACTGAACCAACAACTGGTCCATCAATGTTAGAAAAGGATGTATTTATCATAATAGTACCAATATCTCTAGCGTTGTTTTCCGGCTTTTCAGCAGTTATCTTTTTAGCTAAAATAACATTTCGTGGAGTAACTTTACTGTCATTGATAGGTTCTTCAATTATCTTTTTGCAGGAATCAACGTTATTATTATTGTCTGCATTAACTTGATCTTCATCCTCGTCAGATTCGGTTTCTTCAAGAGGCCTTAATAAAGCTCCGAAAACGCAACAATTTAACAGCAGGCTTGCAATTATAAGAAGTCCCCCTCGCCAACCATAAAGGCGGATGAGCCATTCCGTAAGCGGGGCAAAGGCCGCACTTCCAATTCCAGAGCCACATACTGCTATGCCCGTTGCGAAAGCTCGCCTTTTTTCAAAATAACACGTAACACTAACAATAGCAGGAAGATAAATCAATCCAAAGCCAGCTCCTGAAATACAGAAAACAACATTGTAATATAATGTTTACTAGAGGCTGATGCGGTTCAATCATGGCTTTCAAGGAGTGTAGAAATTTTCTTTAAATCCTTTTAGTTGGACACAATTTTTAAGCAAACATTGATACATTGCCTTTAAATTGTATTTTTATAGTATTGTATGAATAGATCAATTAGTAAAGAAAATGTAAACGATCAACTTACCTGCACAAATTCCAATAGAGAAAAAAAGATAAGTAACATTGGGTGCTATTACACTGGTCACTAATCCAAAGCTTGCGAACAAGGCACCAACAATCGTAATAGTACGGCAGCCATATTTATTTGTTAGTCCACTTGCGATTGGACCTAATTGATTAAATGTTGTGGAAAAACTTTAATGAAACTTTAATAAACTTCACAAAACTTTACTTCAGAGAGTTATTGAGCAGATGTAACATCGCACATTATTCAATGATTCACAGGTGAATAAAAACAAACTACTGTCAAACCTCCAATAATGTCACTTCGTGGGATTAGCGTTTTGGCTATTTTTACATAATTTCTAGGTGGAATAGCCTTTTTCCGAATCTTATTTAACAAAAAAAAATTAATTTTTGACTTAATTTTGTGATTTTTGATGTTTAATTGGGCAATTCGTATAATATACCCAATTAAAACCATTATTAAAATCCTCACAAAATTTATTTAATTAAAAAACTGAAATTCAGTTACTGAATTAAACAGAATTGTTTATTTCGTTACCATGACTCTGTGACATTTTGAGAGTGTGACATTATTGGAGGTTTGACAGTAACTGTTAATTCATTCTACTTCTATCACACTAGATGTCATTGCTTCCAATGGAAATTTCAAATTTAAAAGAGCGGTAATATCAAGTTGAACAATTGTTACTAAAGAGTATACTCTTTGATTGTTACAGTAATTGTTGACAAATTAAGTTGAATATAAAAACAACAAAATAGCAATTTACTGAACTTTAGCTAATTCTTGATACTTGTGATTACGAAATTTATCATTCAGGCTAAATGCTGACAAAATTTGGAAGAATAAACTTCATTGAAGATCTAGAGTGATTTAAAAAGTGACTAACCGTTGAAAATTGTCAAAATTATTGAAACAACCTGTTTTAAAAAACAAAACAACATCGTTCATTGTTTGATAATGAATTTTTTTCAAGTTTATCATTCGTGTTCACTGGCATCCCTCCAAGAAATTAAGGTTAGTACAAAAGAAAAATATGATTTGATAAGTTGACAATTTGCGAGTAAATAACAATACGATTCCTTGTATCCATTATTGATAAAACAAACATGTAACTCTTTTTGTTTATCAAAGTAAAGATTTATGCTGAATTACGTGCACAAAATAAGTCCTTCGAGATCTCAAACCATTAGTCTAACAACTGATCAAGAAATCAATTCTATTAATTCTATCAATTCTAATAGTTTTATTTCTTTCTCAACAGAAGCATGGTCAAAGTAGAGTGGAGCGAGGATAAAGAAACAGCTGTTTTAGATTGATTTGCGATGAACAAAGACCTTCAATGTAATAGTTACTGTGATTGATTTTAATCTTACCAATTCCATAAGTGATCCCAGTCATGATACTTGGAACCCATGCTGTTATTCCTTTACCTGCCTTGAAATGTTTCAACAATTCAACATAAAATATGCCGAACGTGTAAGTGATTCCATCGGCAAGGAAATGAATCATGAAAGAGGAAAGGACAATCATCCAACCATATCCACCATCAGGAGCTTTAGGATAAGCCTTTGTTGGCTTTAATCGAGTCATCTTAACTCGTAATTAATCTTTGTGCCAGATGAATAAATTGAAGCAGATTTAGTCGACAATTAATTTGTGACCCAGGGTTAAATCTGGTAAAACCGAAACAGAGGGATAAAGGATTACAATGCTGAATCATTTGACAAGACAGGGCCAAAGCAGTTTGATTTAGACATGATTACGTTCATTGACTGGTTGCTGTGACATTTCAAATCTATTGCGGTTCCAAAATTGTTGAAAGATTAGATGAGATGGAATCAAGTAATTGCTTTACAGGCTGAATGCGCTCACGTGTTTATTAAAAACACTCATCTAAAAGAGTTATATGAATTTGGTTTGAAGCCAATACAAATAATGTCTTCACATCACTTGCTTATCAATTTATTAAATTTTCTTGGCTGACCTACTCCTAGAATCTTAATTACCAATCAAATTTCGTTATAAGTAAATATTGGTTATTGGCGTCAATATTTAGGGTTGAACTTGACTTATTTTGCACTCAAAAACTCTGGTTCTGGTTTCAAACATGATACTTATTTCAAAAGTAAATGTTTACAATTAAACAATCAAATATCCAAGCATATTGACAGATGAAGTTTCTAACAGATAAATAGATTATCAATATAAATTGCTGTTTAAAATTCTAGACATGATTTAAAATGATTAAAGAGACAGTTGATTCTTAATTAGCTTTGGTGAAAGGCAAGGCTAAATGTTGCACCACTTTAGTATTTTTACGTAATATTTGATTAGTCTGTAATTATTCAGATGAATTAATTAGCTTAGCTAAATATAGCCAAATCAGTGAATCTGAGTTGCTTTTCGTCATCATCATTAATCAGATTTATTAAAAGATGAAACACTGAAATGTTAACTTTTTCTGCCAAATCTAATTAATTTTATTTCTTCGTCATACAGATCTTATCTGGAAATTCAGGAAAGCGAAAAAAGTCGACCTTTAAACTGGTAATTTGAGCATCAACAGTTAAACAACCAGGCAACAATCAATTGAATTTGAACCCTTGTACCCTGTTTAGTTCAGTTTAGATACAAAAAGGTAAAAATGGATACATTTGCTCTTATATTGATACAATTTAACCATTTCGTAAATGAGTCAATGGTAAATTGTAGGATTGAATAGGCCTCAATGTCTGTTATTTAATTAAACACTTTACCAGTAATTACAATTACAAAGTTAATACATTGGTTTGGCTTTTGGTTTTGCTTGGTTATGCAGTAAAAAAGGATCAATGCTTACAGTTTTTGACTGTGATGGCTTGTTCAACCAATGTGATTTTGTTGTCCAGTTAATGATGTTATCATCTGACAATTGGTTTGACGGTTGACTTGACAATCCTAATTGATTTGACTTGGTTGAAGGTAAATTAGGAGACTCTAATTAACCACGATCCTTCATCAGAGTCTCTCAATTAGTTATCTTGTGCAGCAAACAGTTGATCAGTTTGCAATATAATGAGAGATTTTTCAAACCTCCCATTGGCAATCAAAATTTCTGGTACTAATGTTGATGTTTTTCTTGGGATTGGACGAGCAAATACTGAACAACTGCAATTAACAACAAGCTGGAAACGAAAATAAAACAAAATTAACTCATAAAATTGAACTTGACCCGTGTGTAAGTTTATCCCATGTTTGTGCGATTCAATGGATGTAAATGGAAACGGATCTTAACACTTGTGTTGGTAATTTTGGCACAAAATTGCAATGCAATTGCTGTAAATTGGTTTCACTTTCAAGCTTGTAAATTAACATATAGTGGTGGTTAATTGGTGGAGAATAACAATTATAATTGTAAAGATGGACAAATTGGTCAGCTTGAAACATTTATGGTTAAAATAAATACTAACCCCCAGCACTAGAGGTAACCAGATCGAGTGAAGTCGTCACAAAAGTGCAAAATGAAAAAACAGCTCAAAGCAAATAAGGGATAACTAATGGAATAGATTTGACTGGAAAATGGTGATTTTCATGGATTAATGGTGATCAACTCGGAAACAAAAGATGACAAATTTATTGTTAGATTAACTAACATTCATTACACTCTTATCTTACAGTCTTTTGTTCACCTTCATTATTATAACAGTTTCATCACCATCTATTCACCATCTTCATCCCAGCAAGCTAACAATGAATTTTGGGTGAATCTATTGACAGAGGTCCTTAGTAACAAGTCATAGCAAACTGAACATGAGAGAACCTTTCGAATTCAATCCTTTCTTTCCTTCTCTTTCTTCACTATTTTATTTCTGTCTACGATTCTTTCATTAAATTGAAGGTTACTAACAGAGTCCTCAAGATTTTCCATCAGCTGAACCATGTTTTCAAGTTTCCTTTGGCAGTCAACACCAGTAATCACAGAGCATTCTCGTAACTGGATACAACCGTCATTACAAATTGTAAAATGAAAAAAGTAATTAAGTAAGTTATCTTTTACACAATCTCATTACTTTCATTCACTTGAAATTTAATACGGCGCATTTAATTGAGCTGGTCATTTACTTAAACCATTGCCCAAAAATTTTCCCAAATAAGATGTAAGCTGAGAGTGGAATTAATTGCAAGTTTATTTGGTAAATTATGAATTACATTGGAAATTGTAAATACTCATGTTTTGAGTCTGCTAGCTTGGAATAAATATTGCAGTGTTCCAGGAAGCAGAAATATAAAAAAACATGAGCATTATTGGCAGATTTTTGAAAAAAATCATTCTATAGAGAGTAAAATAGTTGCGTTTCTAGATTAAATACAAACACAATATTTGAATATAACAAGCTTTATAAGTATTCGAATAATAAAGTGGGCCTGATTGTTGGATATAATTTTAAAAAATTAACCATTGAACACAACTCTCTTCGAATATATAAAAATCAACTGCTGGTAGATAAATAGATTATTTTGAGCTTTCAATTAGATTATTTGTATTAAAATGTTTTAGGAAGAATGCAAATTGTATTTGTCCAAAAAATCAGTCAATGGACGTCATGGTCATAATTATTTATGGTCCTTTCATTTGAGATTTGAGTAGACCTCAAGAGAACTTAGAAGTTGTTTCACTGCTTTATTTCTGGCCTCTTCTGCGCTTGAATTACTCCATCCAAAACCAGTAATGACAGGATAATCATGGCCCTCAGGACGAACTTCGCATCTGAAACGGAATTCTGTGCCATTTTCCTGTTTAAATTCGTCATGATTATAATTTAGCGAGCAATTCAGGTCGCTAAGCAGATCTTTCAAGTCTCCATAGGAAATATCTCTAGGTGGCGAACCCAATTTTAGATTTGTAATTGATTTGAAAAATTTAGCTGCTACTGTCATCTCGTTATCTTTTACATTTAGATCCTTAAGCAGTACAGCAATTTTGTCAGTCGAACTCGTCTGAGGAGCATTGATCTAAAAAAAAGTAAAAAGTAAAAAGTAAAAAGTAAAAAGTAAAAAATTGAGAAAAAAATCAGAAAATATAAACACGAAATGAAATAGTCACAAAAAGATTAAATTGGGCGGTGAAATAAACCAACTTTCTTGGCTATACTCTTAGAAATGAACTCATTACCTCAACATCGTTCTTAGATGGTTGAAAGAGTGTATTAAACAGGCTTTGGATTTGCCAGACAATCATATCAATTTTTTATAATTATCAATAGACTCAGTATTTTAATATTATAATACTTAAATTAGGTTAATCACAGAGCTTTAATTTACTTTAAAAAACGAGTGAAACTACAGGTAGAGAGGTACACAACCCAAAAAGCCAACAAGGTTTAGCTAAACAGTGTAATAGATTGGGAATAACAAAGTCAACTTACTTTTTCACAAATTTTTTCATAAGCGATTTTTGCAGCAGCAGTTTTAGCCGTCTTCTTATTTTGTGCTGAATGCTCAACATGAATGGCGTATTCCTTGATATTAATTACACATTTGAAAGACGGTGCACCAACAGTAAAGTTGGAGGCTTCTCCAACATCCATTACTGGAACAAACCGGCATTTTTGTCCAAGTTCTTGAAGTTTACCAACCCAATTAATAGCAACTTCACACATGATGATGTTATCCAAGAAAATTGATTAAAACTAATAAACAAATAAAAAAATAGCAATAGCAACAAATGTAAAACAACAAAATAAATGAAAAATAAAACAAGAAAAAGTATAAAAGTAAAAAAATCACATAAGACAGACAAGAAAAGGAAGAATGTAAACTTAAAGGGAGCTAAAAGATTAATGAGTCAAAACAACTGATGATCACCTTTTAGTATCTTCAGAGTGAGACTCATAGTCTTATTACGGTTACTATTGTTTTCCCACTATCCTGAGGAGAGATTGTTCAATATTAACTGATGAAATGCATAAGTAAGCTTCCATACCTTTGGTTGCACCACCCATTACCAACTAGTTAACTCAGGTTAAGAGATTATGGCAACTCCTTCATTCTAGATAATTCACCAGAAACGCGTTTTTTTCAATTTGTAAAATATCTTAACGAATTCATTCCAATCAACTTGTATAGTGAATATCTTGTTTTAATTCAGCCAATCTGATGATTAAATGGATAAAATTCAACATTAAACCGTGAGAAACTATTGATAATTCAACTAACCCTTTTTAATCATTTGTTTATCAAAATTTTGATGATTATTTCAGTATTTCTAACAAAAATTAAACATTGTTAAAATTATCAAGAGTGACAAGTGAGCATTTCTCATCTTTTGTTTCCGATAAATTGCTCTCATCATTAATTATTTCATTTGTCATTTTATTTCTGTTTGATTGATAGTTAATTTTTGTCGACTTTAATGTGTTCGTCAAGTGAGTCAGGCAGAATTGAATTTTGTGAGCAAATGTGTTTATTGTCAATAGACCTTTAATTAGCAATAATTAGCCTCTGTGAGTTCTTTTATGCAAAATAAGTTTATTGTTTTGATAGAATATTATTGAATTTTAATTATGAAGCAATGTATAAATGAAGACAATGATAATAATCATATGTGGTAGATGTTGGAGATGATGATTCAAAAGTGAGATTGATTGAGTGCTTGATTGTTTTGGCGTAGTCAAAGTTGAAGAGTAATTCTGTGATTATGATAATAATTCAGAAGATTTAGTAGTCTTTACATGATTCAATGATTTCTTCATCAACTTGGTCAATTTGGTGAGCAATAATATATTCTATTTACGCAAAATATCATGCAAATCTTGAGGCAAACAATTGATGATGCTATTTAGTTGAGTTTCCACTCGTTCAACAATATCTTTATCGACAGGTAAATTTTCATTATCAACAGTTTTAAGTTTATCTTTCATAGTTAATATGAGATCGACAATCTCAATTTCAGCTTTATCACCGATCCATTTAACAAGGTCCGCTTTAGAGATGGACTCAATGTGGAGGGCTTTCAATTTTTGACTAACTTCACCAAAACGAGATTCATACCAAGCAGAAAAATTAGGAGTCCGAAAGAATTTACGATATAAACTGTTCCAATCTCCTTTGATACCAGTTGTTAATTGTGGTCCTGATGTCTCTAAAGTTTTGAGAAAGTCGTCAGGATTGAAAGGTTGAATCATTGGAGCCGATTTGAAGGGAGAAATGTCTTTTTGTAATGGCATTAAACTAGCTAAATATCTTTCCAGAGGAATTAAAAAGCTCGAAGTTAGTTCAATGAAATATCTTCGCATTAGGGTACTTTGAACTTCATGTGGACGTCGAGATTCCAGTCCTTTGAGTAATTTCTTCAATACAACTTGATCTTTTTGGAGAAAAGGTTTGTACCTTGTATATAAACCAGGTTTACACTCGAGTGTTTTGATTGTTTTGCCCTTCCAAATCTTAGCGTCAGGGGTCCGCTTGGGAGCTAAAGAATTGAAACAAAAAAATATTTAGAAACAATCATCAGTATTTGTTGAGCTGCATTGAGTTAGTTTAATGTAATCAAATTATTTAGTTTGATGAGCCCTTATTTTAACTTACAAGGGGGACTATATTCACAGATTCGTATTATGTGTGGCCAGTGTTGCAAAGTTTTTGCAAAAAATGGGTTAGTGACTCCAAGTATCACAGGAGGCCTGTAAAAGAGATAATTGATTGGTTGAAATTTCTAGTCACAAGGGTAAATTGAAGCAAAGCTTCGAATCAAGTACTCACGGTGATTGACTTTTTTGAGTGTATTCTTTGAATTCGGTATCATGAATTGTGAAAAATGGTCGAAAATCTGAGGAGTATTTCAAAGGCCAGATCATAGATACTAAAGACTGTACCATCTCACAGCAAATATCAGGAGTTGGAGCCATCACTATGATGGGTTCACACGTTAAAACAAGTTCCCAAAGAAGTTGAATATGGGAAATAATCGGAAGGAAACATTTGAAAATGTTAAATTCGTAAAGAGAAGGTATTGAGATGATAGGTTGAGAACCATTAATGACAAAATTTGATGAAGGAGATGGGAATTTAGCTGAGGATTCACTTGTGGGAGAACAACTGAAGTCGTCGTTTTTATGAGGAATATGAATTTGTAAATGAACACCTAACAGTGAGAGATTCAAGGTACGTCCTGGATTTGGTGAAGGCCATAAATCAATATTATTGATGGCTGGTAATAAGAAAAAAGAAATAAACAAAATTATAGATTAAATAGGGGTTAAATTAACTGCTAAATTATGAATGTGGAATATTGAAGATTCCCTCTTTTCGTTAAGTATTTGAACCAACAAAATATTAAAATTAAGTTATACCTGTAAATAAAACATCTTCTCCATTATCGAAATATTGAGGAGCTATCACAGATACTATTTGAGAAAATAAGTTTACAAAAGGGAGTCGGGTTAATATGACAAGTGATTTTTGGAAATATCCTCTTCTCGCTGATCGATCCTTTACTTGACGGAAATAAACATAACCATAAGTGTAACAAGCATCGGCCTAAAATTTAAGGTAACAATATTTTATTAGTAAAATGAATGAAGAAATTAACATGAAATCAACAGACCTGAAGAGCGCTTAAACATTCATTATTATAATCCCGATAAATTGTGAACGATTTTCGTGCCATTGGGCCCAATCTTGTGCGAAAATGAAACTTTGTATCGCCCATGCAGCCTGAGTTACTATCAGGAAAAGATAAGTAACATATATTTGTTTTCTAGAAATAAATAGCGGTAAAAATAAGAGCGAAATTAGCCTTTAAGATCCTGTCTTGTCTTAATCGCTTCATGAGAAAAAACAAAAGAACCAGAAAAACATGAAATAACCGTAATTTCATGGTTGAAGTCAATGTGAAGCTGGAACTTGGTATCGATTCCTTCTTTTTCCTTCAAAAATGTTATTCCGGGTTTGCTTAAGGGTTTCTCATGACGTCATGTTGTTATTAAAAAAAGTCCGTACTAACCTCTCTTTCGCTTAGTTTAACATGAGAAGGATAAACTTTCTACAACCGGAGTGAACAGGGTGAAAGATAACGGAAAATGTAGAAAGAGAGACAAGAAAGAGAAAGAGGGTAAAATTAAAAACGGAATCGGGTCAGCATCAAATATTCAAATATTGGTTATGATGATGAAGAATACCTCAATAGCTTGTCCTAATTCAATGTCAAAAGTTACCAGGGCTATACAATGAATCCAATTTCGAAATCTATCGTATGGCAATAAAATGAACTTGTCCGAATGATTATTGGCATCTCCATTTGTCTCGTGGGTTGAGGAACTACTCCAATGATTGTTATCCATGATTGTTTATCTATAAATCAGAAATAAAATCATTAATGTCATGAAAAAAAGCAAGGCATGAGAAATTCAAGTGTATAACATATCTTAACGTGTTTGCAACAAGAAGAAATGTACTTACAAGTGAGTTGTGATGATTTTAAACTCGCAATTAATCTCGATTGATCCTTAGAGTGGTCATTGGCTCATTTGATAATCTCAATCAAATGGAATGGCATTAAACTCAATAATTAAATCCAAGTTAAAGCAGTTGAACACTAGTAGAGATAAAAAGAAAGGTAGAAATTTTAGGCTCAACAAGCACAATAAAAAAGCAAATTTCATTTGAGGAAGAAGAAAGGAAGGTTATTAGCAGTAAAAACAGATTTGCTGAACTGCAAATTGTTTAGATTATTATGCTGACTAAAAATGAGAAACGTCAAAATCACAGTTTGTTGATCACTTTTACATTCACTATTGTATTCACTTTAAGGTCAAGAAAATGGATGTTGTTTGTTGGTAGATAGGATGGAATTTTGTAACCAAAGTTTTGTAGGGTTGATTACCTTATTGATTAAAGGCATGAGCTCTTATTCAATCATGTTGATCTCTGTAAGATTTGGGTATAAAGGAACACTAATCAGGAAGAAGAAACGGGTTAAACAATTGCTTGAAGGAAAACTCTCAACATCAGAGTAACCAAAAATATCAACATCATCAATACAATAACATCTAACATAAACCGAGAACAAATTGAATGATGAGAGTAATCATTTTTTATTCTTGATATCTCATTTCCAAGGACACTAATAGAAACGTTGAAATTAGATCAAGTTGATATCAAAGAAATAATCATTAATAATACACCGAATTGAATAGAGATGTAAACATAAACCAAAAAGGAAAACAAAATAAAAACTGGATTGTTGATCAGATGTTAGCCTTTGTCTCTCTTTCTCTCCTTCTCTTTCTTGCCCCACTTTGCTAGATGGTTGCTCCAACTGAATACTTTTGTGCCTCATTAAATAGTTAAAAATCTCACCAAACAATTACAATAATATTTCCAACATTTCACTAATCTTTCCAATTTACTATTCAGCAATTTGATAGAAACATCATTGGTAAGTCAGGTAGGTTTAACTTAGGTAAGTATTTTCCATGTTTCTCATTGTTTAATCTTTGTATCAACTATTCTATTAATTGATAAGATTTTCAACCAAATTGGGTGCCAGTCAATTGTTGTGAATTGATAGAGGATCAGTTTACAATCCTCTATTTCAACATACAATTCATTAACCAGGATTTAAAAGGAAACAATTTTGGAACTTAAGTTTCCAATGGAGAAACAAAGAAGTGAAAAACCGGAAGAAGGCAAACAACCAGGTGGGTTGATGGTTGAAATTGTTTAGTTTAAGATTGAAACTGAAAAATTTCTGGTAACAATCTCATCTAACAGTTGATATCTTAATATTAATTGAATAATTTCTGCATAAAACTCGGTTATCAATCGGAAAGCATTAAGGAATCAATTAAAATAGTGTTTTCACTTGTATCGAGCAACATTATACTTACCATAATACTTTTAAAATTGAACGGTTTTGTACGTTAAGTTAACAATTTAATATTGCAACAAATTTTAATTTAATGGCAGGACCAAGTAATCCGAAGAGAAATGAATTTGGACATAAATCAACTTGCCCACAAGTAGCAAACGATCCAAGAACACGAGATGAATATCGTAATATTGGTGAAGATTGGTTTGATAGGCACAATAAAAGATAATCAATTTTTCCAGTCGATTGCCAACAGTACTGATAATCCACCGAAAGGTTATTTTAAACGATGAGAAATTTGCTCAAATTTGACGATATCTTTTAAAGATTGTTCCAATTTACAAAAAATTATTCAACTCTTTTGCTTTTTAAATGTAATTTTATATTCATATTTGAATAAACAGACAAACTTAATGAGATGCATTTCAACCAATATATCACATATTAAAAACACTAACTGATAAAAAGCTTAACTATCAACGTAAAGATATAAGACAAATGTTGATTAAGCTCAGAATAGATAGAATCACAATTAAATGAAAAAGGCATTTCAAATAGTCCGGCCTCGCGACTAGAAGATGAAGAGAAACTCATTGCCATAGCTACTATTGAAGGGCGCGTAATTCAACTTGCATATTTTAAGCGCTTTTAACAGATTTAACGAAATTCATTATAAAATCTTTATCAAGATTATCGATGATTTTAGACGAACAATTCTTACATCAGGAAAAATATACAGAGTGGATGTTCACACGAGATAACAATTTTGGAAGTTAATTAACTGCAGGTTTTGAATTACCATTGTTTATTCAATATAAATTAATATGAACATTATCATTATTAATCAATCTGAATGGGAAAATAATGAAATGTTTACATAGAAAAATTGTGTACACATGAGGAGAATTTTAAAAACTGTTTGGATTTGTGAGGAGAAGCTTAAATGCTGATTATTACTAATGAGCAAAAATATCGCCTCAAATGATTTGATTGCAATACGAATCTGGAATGATTGCTGAAATCACCAAAAGGGAATAGACGATGAAAAAAAGATAAGATGATAACTGATATGGACGTTCATTTGATAATGATGAGTTCACACAAATGGTCAATGAAAAAAGAAACATTCAGCAAAAAAAGGAAAAGTGATATTTAAGTAATTGCTGTTAATCAGCGATAAAAAGGAGAAGAAGAGCTTAAAGAGTCATTGGAATGTTGAGGAAATGGCAAAAGCTTCAAGGCAACCCGATTGTTTCATATTTAGAATCAGAATTGGACAGTTGAATTTACGGTTTAAAATGTGCTTAGATAATGAAAGCAAAAAAAAGTGAAATTGAGAAAGTCAAATGTTTTCAGGGCAAGGTGAAAATACATTAAACTGAACTTTCACATCATACACATCTTACAGAATCATCTCACTTTCTTTGATGGAAGATGAAGATCGCCGGAAGATTGATTGATCTCTTTCTTTTCGTTGTGTTTCTCCTCCATCACCATCATCTTCATCATCTTGGCCATCTTTACTTTTGCTTGTGTTACTGATGTTCCAATTAACTGGTTATAAGTTGCATTTAAATTAACTTGATAGCTGTTGATAGCCTCAAGTTAATATCGTACACAACACACACACAAACACATTTCCTTATTGTGACGAAGTCGCATCTTTATCTTCTTTGGACCATCCAACTTCACCAACAGCCTCACCGTCAGCATCAACATGAGTAACATTTTTAAAATTAGCGTTAGCCATCAATTGGTCCAAAAAAATGGGGTAAGAGGTGGATCACAGTTATTTGGTTACACCAGAAAATGGTTGGACCATCTTTGTATAAAAGCAAATCGAAATTCAATTTGTATCAACAGTTATTCATTAACAATCAAGTGTTTTGGTTCAGTTTTTGTAAACATCAGTTGAATAAGGTAAACTTTTACACCATGAATCATTTACCCTTTCTCAACAGCCAATAACATTTGAGTTGAAAAAGGATTATCAGAGTGATCAAACTTTTGAATCATCAGCCATTTCCATTGTCTCCATAAGTGTCATTTTGTGTTTCAAGTAACTCATCTTGTTTATTTTTTCTCTCTCTTTCTTTCAACAGATTTAATCTTAATTTTTTCTTGGAATTTTATCCATCAAATAAACTTAGTGTACTATTCAAGATGTCTTTGTCTAATCGACGAACTGGATTATCCATCGCTTTCTTAGTTTTAGTTGTACTCCAATTGGTTCTTGTTAACTACTATGTTTCACAAGTTGAAGGTAGCCGAAGAAGGCTTCTTAAGATTAAGAAACTTGCCGCTTTAGCTCTCCTCATGAAACACTCAAAGAAAAAGAAGTTCGGAGTCTTACCAGTCCCAATCCCAATTCCGTAAGTAATCTTTCACTAATCCAATCATCGTCCCTCGCTAAATTGCCCAAATTTATAATCTTATATTTCTATTGAAAACAGTCTTCCCCTTGAATTGGAAGCTAAATCATGGCCCAAACAATCATGGCCCGCTCCATCATGGCCTGCACCATCATGGCCATCCGTACCTTCATGGGAACCATCATGGCCTTCACATGATAACTGGGGTGCCGCATCCTCATACCAACCAAGTGCCTCATACGGACCACAGCCCGCTTCTTATGGAGCAGACTCTTACTCAGCTGGACCAGTAAACAATTACGGTGGTGCTCCATCAGGCTGGTAAATAGACCAATGTTGACAATACAAATTAGCTAACCAATTTAACCGTACAAAACGCACAATTAGACCATTTTTTTGCATCAAGCTCCTCTCCTATTTAAAGTCCATTGTAATATATTTCACTTGTCTGTCTTGAAAAAACCTAAATATGTAGTCATTTCGTTGATTGTCGAGGTTGAACAATCTCTTTTTTATTGTGAAAACAGCGTCCTTACATGGATTTGCTGTTTACTTTTAAAAAGCAATATTGTAATACAAACTCCTCGCTGGTATGCAATCAATAATGGAAACAATGTGAATTGACTATCTACTGTCCCTTGTTCAATTGTCACCCACCTTGAGTCCGAACCATGTCTTAATGTCGCCAAATAATTTAATTCTAAAAAAACAAAAATCTTTTTTATTTTTAATGTAAAATAAAACTAAACATTAAACATAAATCAAAAGTAAATCATTTCATTTCAATATATTTTAATCACTTATGAATTTATGTGAAAGTTTTATATTTACATTTTAAAATCCCTATTCTATGCTTAAAATGAATAAATCATTGAACTTTCAAATTGCAATTGATATTGTAATATTAACCCGAATTTTGACTAGAAAATTAATTGATAACATTGTGAGAGACAGAAATAAAGTGATCTTTGAAACACGTTGTTTAATTGAAAGTTTTCGTTTATTTTTTAAAAAAAGGTTTCTGCTTTATGAACACATTTAAAATATAGACTGAACATTGAGATTTTTCAAAACCCCTTTACGCATCATTTTTACTCTCAATTATACATTGCTCTAGTCCTTGATCGCAAAAAACAGCGAAATTCATTTTCTATGTATAATATATATATATTTATATATAATTGGATAAGAAATTTACAATTTGTGAAGGAATCAAAGTGCGATTGTAATTGTTTTGTTTCAAATGAGCGAGAAAGGGATGAAACTTAAAAAAAGATGAAGAAACAAAAGATAGATTAAGATGTTGAAAGTGGCACCAAGAAAAATTCAACAAACTAGTTAATCATCCGATTAAGCGCAATAAAAGATGACAATAGTGACAATCAGGTTTACAGATGCACAAAGAAATTTTAATTGTGCAAAATTTTAAGCATTAAAATGATCAATGAAATGAAGATGATGGTGTTAATGACAACAATGAAGATGAGATGTTGGTGGTAATGTATGTGTGTTGTGAGTTGATTGTGAGTTAAGAATGACAATGATGAAATATACTACAAAAATTGTTATGGGAATCAGGAAAAAAAGGTTTGTTCATTTCTATGACAAATTAAGATTTGATGAATCGACAATAGTTCAACAGTAACATTTTTTTTATCATTGGTTAATTAATTTAGTTGTACATAGTTAATGAAAGCTTCAGATCGACAATTCTTTTCCTTCAATGGAATATTTGCCAGTTCTTTGATGGAAGCTTTTGACTTATGTTTTTTAAGTTTAATCAGCTTTGTGGTGATTGATGTTTTCATAGGATTGGTTAAAAGTCAATGAGCTTTAGTTGATGTGGGCGTCGTTGACGGGTTGACTGTAGTGTTGTTAGTGCTCTTGCTGCTAACAGAGCAACTTTTATTGTTATTATGGCTAGCTGATTTATTTGAATCAGAAACAGCTAAAGAGGCAAGGGAATCCTTAATTGCATGGTAAATGATGTTTTTAATTTGCAATTTATCTTCATGGTTAATATGTGAGTCCGATAGTTGACGAAATTCTTGAGTTAAATTGAAACATTGAGTAACATTTTCAGGTGAAACAAAATCTCCTGCCACTTTGATGCAACTTTGTAAATTGCGGACTTGATGTGGAGCCCCGGCAGGTATGAAAACAGCGTCACCTAAACACTGAGCAATGGCATAACCTTCAACACCATATTCCGATTTTAGGCGAGCTCTGAGGGTAGAGTCAAGATACCAAGATTGATCATGGATTGGATCGTGATGTGCACCCAATTCAACGCCACGTTCTTTGGCAATTTTATTCAAAAGATCTCTGATAGCATCGGCGCTTTTGGCTTCATAAATATGCCAAAGTGCACCTAATTTATTTCCTTTCTCTCGACATCTTTTCTTCATCTCTTCATCACAGCCACCCTCATCAAGAGCTTTCAATGCTATTTCTTGGAAATCTTCAGACTTAGATCCACCTTTGGGAACGCCGACATAAACCATGATATTGACAGCATCAGAGATGTCGAGATGAAGGTTGGTTGTTCCTTTATCTTGAAGAAGAGCAGATCCATAAGCATTGTACATTTTTGGGCCCAGATCAGGACGAACAAAACATTCTGGTAATCGTCCGGCAAGGTTTAAACAGCCGTCACGCCGTGTATACTCAGGAAGTGGTAAACACTCCATTAGATCAGCATAATGATCTGGTAATAGATCACTAAAATCATCTCCAGGAGGCCAATCTTTTAATTTCAAGGTCATGAAATCTCCATCTTCTCCCTTCATTCGTTTATTTAGATTTTCAAATCCATCCCAAAATTTTTTCATGGGAAGCTTTGGTAAAACATGACCAGTTTTACAGTTGACCAAATCATTTTTAGAGTCCCCAAAGCTTTTATTGAACTCTTCTGGACTCCATAGAGTAGGATCTAAAAGTTTGCTTACACCATTGACAAGAACAGGCTAAAAATAGAAAGGAAAAACAAGAATTTAAATATTAATATCCTGATAAAAAAGATGCTTGAGGAAATTGAATTGCAAATGACTATAATGTAAACTAAATACAATCTAATTTCAACTTTCTTCTTTCATCATTTTCTTTTCACCCGAAAGGGTTCGAGAAAGAAAGTTATTTATCAAAAAAGAGAAAGAAAGACATCATCATCAGAAGCATTATCTTCTAATGGATGATAGATGGTTGAATACATCAATTGCTGAAAGAGGAGAGAGACAAGAAAATAAAGAGCAGAAGCCTGATAATCATAAGGAAGTTCAATATGAACCATTTGAAATAGAGAGAGAGAAAAGAAAGAGATGAGAAATGGGGAAAAGAAAAAAGTCAAAATAAGAAAAACTAACCTGTCCTCGTTTCCATTGCTCCTGAAATAGCTTTAAATTATCAGATAACTTTGGATCTTGCAATACGAGTAATCTTCCTGAGCAAAGCCATGTATGAGGTATGTTTGGGAATAATTTTTTTGTTTCTTCGACACTGCATGACCTGGACGGTGCGCTGACGATACCACGTTTAGGTATGAAAAGTCGTCTATAATGTTCTAATCGCTTGGCCTCATCTTTTGGCAATGATGAAGAATTAATGGTTAATTTAATGGACTCGGTTTTATTAGTTGCAACTGTTGAATTAGATGCAGCTGAACTGGAAGTGGTTGTTGTGGATGTTGATCCAGTTGTTGTGGTTGAAGTTGATGATGACAAGTTACTTGATGTTTTATCATCACATTCATCTTTCTTTGTTTTCTTTTTCACTCTGATATCTTCAGGTTCACCTTCATCTGATGTAGTCTCATCGTTTTCATCATCTTCTTCCTCATTATCTTCGCCCTCTTCTGCGTCATTACCATCATTCTCATTATTGTCCGCATCTTGTGAGCCCTTCTTCTTTCTTTTTTTCGAGCCCTTGCCTTTCTTTGATGTTGGCCTTATCAAAAGTTCCCGTAAAGTTGAAAAATTGTGTTCATCAGTTTCTTCCTTCGACTTTTCCTCTGCATCAGATTTACCAGCAGATGAGCCATCATTTGGAGCCGACTGAGAATCTTTACCTGCTTCATCAGAGCCTATCTTACTAGATGATAAAGCAACGTCAGCTAACCAACTCAAAGGTGATGATCCACTTTCAGATGAAAATCCAGTGAGAGTGCTGTTTTCTGAATCTTTAGAAATAACAGCGTCTGATTTAGAATCGCCTTTCACTCCTCCATTAAGAATATCACCTTTCTTGCCATTACTGGATTCCATTTTATCACGTAACGCTTTTACATCAGGCATTTTAATGGATAGTCCATTGGCACAAACAATTGAGCTTGTGTCACAACCACAATGTGCAGGAATTGAATAAATCTTTCTGATCATATGCAACATTTTGCCAACATCGTTGAGGGCTGTAGAAGCTATTATCTGAGTCATCATAAGTTTATCCTGCTCGTGGGGTTGTCGATTAGTGCAGAGTAGCCATTGGTATTCATCTCGATCTCTTGGTGGATTAACTTCTTCTTTAACTGCTCCAGTTTTACGAGCTTTGTAACAATCAATACAAATCACAAAACCACATTTGTGACACACCCAATGGATATTAAAAAGGGTAGTCTCACATACATCACACATTTCACGAACACCTTGTACTACTCGTTTCCATGTTATAGTTTTGTCTTTGCCCATATGCATTTTCAAAGCTTGTTGTTCTTGTTTAACAAGATCACAAAACTGATCACCGACGTGTTTAATCAAAAATTTGGACGTTTCCATATCAAGATCACTACAAGATTCTTCTGGTGGTAACCACAATTTGCAATCCAAATTACTAGCATCTTGAGGCTCAGAGAAACCTGAATCTGTTACAACACCGTTTTTGCCATATTTAAGCTTTCGAAAGGCATAAAAACGGCAAAAAATATTAGGCATCTTTTTGTTTCGTTGATTTGGTGTCATACGGCATTCACGACATTTGGGTAATCGAGGGGCAATATCATAACAAGATCCATCTTGGAGAAAGGGTTGACCAGTTTTTTTCAAAACTTCAACGCTTGTTGGCCTTAAAACAAGAGATCCTTCTTTAGATGACTTCTTTTTACTTTCTTTTTCTCGAAATGAATCTTTATTACCATTGGACTCTTTTGATTCTTTCGATTCTTTTGGCTCCTTTGGCTCTTTAGGTTCTTTAGGTTCTTTCGGTTCTTTTAGCTCTTTGGATTCTTTAGATCCTCTAGTCGAACTTTTGGGTTTACGACCTCGGCGAGCATTGATCTTGCTTTCTTTAGTTTTCCTTCTCCTTTCTCTCTCATCTTTAGACCATTTGTAGTCATCTTTTTTATTTTCACTGCCACTCCCACTATTACTCCCACCAGAACCTTTATGCCGTTTACTTGTATTTCGGGATGTGATACGTTTTTTAATTAAACCACTTTTAGAGCTTTTTGATTTTTCAGGAGCTGAAGAGTTACTTTTGTCGCCATTGAAATCAAAATCCGAGACGGAACTGGTTTCATCGCCATCTTCATCACTTGATGGTTCTTTTTTAGATCTTTTCTTATTTTTTTCTTCACGTGAGATCTTACGTTTAACACGAGGGGATGATGATGCTGACGCATCAGAATGTTGATCACTTTTAATCTGAGAACTTGGCTTGATCTTATGATGATGTGACTGCTGTGATTTATGAATAGATGGTGAGGGCTGGAAAGATAAAAGAGATATAATCAATATTTTAAATGAAAAAAAAAGTGTCATGTCATATAAATCAATAAGAAAACAGACGTTGAAAGTGAATATAAATTGTGCGATGAAAGGATACACTTACAAGGGGTAGTGGGTCAATAAATATCATAACCATTATAACTACTGATTAGTTTAAGAACTGGTTTTTAATAAAAAAATTAAAAAAATAAAATATTTGTTAAATTAAGATGAATATTGAATATTCATTATTTGATTGAATCTCATAAGCAAAAGGTAAACGTTGTATAAGATGCGATTAAACTTTTATTCAGCAGATGGCTCTTATAAAAATGGAGATTTGTGATCAATAAAGATTGGTGAAAGAAACTGATTAGTTGATTACAATAAGCTTTGTTCGTAAATTAAAAAGCTAAATGACTATCAGTTTGATAACAATGTACAATGACCTTGTGCAAAGGAATAACAAATCAAAGTAATTAGTGACAACATTTTCACTCGAGTCAACAACGCGATAAGCCTTAATCTGTGAAAAATTGTCTCAATGGAGATTTAACTCAAGTAATTTGGATTCACATTAACGAATCACTGACAAGATTTTCAGCTAATAAAATAATAAACATGACTATCAAATTCAAAGCGAATGATAAAAGGTTTAACAATCAGGACCAAAATTAAATCGCACAAGATTGATCTTTTTTATTTAAGATCGACCCCTGAATTGTATAAGAAAAGCTTTTCTAATGTGTCATTGTTTACAAAAATTTTTGATAATTTTTTATTTTAATTCCCAAGGATTGTGATAAACTAGATTTTAAATTTTGTGTCATAGACAAGTGGATTATACAGTTATGGATTGATGGGAAAATATAAGTGTTTAGATTATAGCTGTTGGTTTAAGCAGTTGGTGAAATTACCCAAACCTGTGATTCAAGTAATCAAACTAAATTGAGTCTGTTGTATTTGCTAATCTTTGAAATCTCTCGCAAATCTATCAACTTTTCTGGTTTGATTATAGAAGAATCATGTCTTGTAGCATTTACTTGCTTGAGGTATTGTTACATTCTGCATTTGACATGATGGTGATGAATTTGACATCTTTTCCGAAAAAATAGTAAAAATCAAGTAGTGTACACTCGGTAGAAGATAGTTAAAAAGTTGATGACCACTAATCTGATAGCTATTTGTTTTGACATCACGAAGTAACTGTTAACATACATCTCAATAATCGTAACAGAAAATTTACTGGAAGCTCAGAAGATGAGTATTGTAAATACTTTTACTTTTAGTCTATTTTAGCGAAAAAAATATGATATTACTAATTGTTTCGTTATTGATTTATATTATTTATTTTCATCTTTAATGATAATCTTACCTGTTTGCATCTTTCTTCCTCTTTGACTGAATTGGAGGTGAGATTATTCAAGGTGTTATTCACACTTAATGCAGATGAAGTAGACTGATTTGAATTACTTTCAACTTCAGCCTCAGAATGCCTTTGTAACCATGCTTTCTTCAGTTTAGGGTGAAACTTTGATGGTGTACTTGGTTCATTGGAGGTAACCGTTGTTGGAGATTCACGCACAGTTGTGACTGGCGTTGAAATAGTGATTGAAGTAGTTGACCCTGATTGGGTTGATGGTGTTGAGGTTGCCGGTGTTACTGGGCTTGAATTGGAGAATACAGTGGATGTATTGAGAGACGGAGGTGGTAACATGGTCGATGTTATGGTCATTGGTGTGTCCAATTGTACTTTTTACTTGAATTGAATGTTGGTTGAATTTTATGATCACCAAAATCATGCTCGAAATGATTAGTCAGAGGAGATTTCTTATTCTCATTCACCGGATATACATTCTTTTCTTCTTTAATCAAAATAATGGGTTGTGCATTGGATAAAGGTGAAGTCTGGTGAACAAATTCAGTTGGAGAAGCTGCTAATCTTCCCATGGATTTACCATTTCCACTTCTATTATTAACATTATCTTCCTCCTCTTTCTTTATCTTTTTAGTTACATCATAAATTTCTTTATGCATTCCTTTACGTTTTCCTTGTTCGTATTCAATTGAATCTTTGGTAGAGATGGTCATTGAAGGTGACACACTTAATCCCTTTTTGTCCGATGTTACTGGTAACCCATGAATTATACTTCCTGAGGAACCATTGGAAACTGGTGGACCAGTCATTGGACCCAACGGTGTCTTGTTGTTTGTTAAACTAATTGGATGGGATGAGGATTGACCATGATGAGAATGTGTGGAAAGATGATGGTTTGATTGTCCCATCATTGGATGAATGTTAGATGGTAGATAACCACTGGGAAGATTACCAGGGACTAGGCGAGTACCATTATTGGAAGCGTTTGCGCCTGACTTTACAATGGTTCCAGTAGGTGAGATGGAAGTTAACGGGCTGGTGGTTATTGTTAAAGTTGTTGCAGCGGAAGCTGGTGATATGGTGATTGTATTATTGCCTGAGAAAGAAGGAATTGACGAACTTCCTTTCCCTGAATGGTGAGAGTGAGCTTGATGGGTATCAAGGTTAATCGTTTCTGCACTCATCCGTACATCAGAATTAACTTTAAATGAATTCATGTTCATCGCCTTGTTATTACCACCAGCGAGATGATCATTAGGACCTTTTAATTGACCATCAAAAGAGTTTGAAGGATGAGTCAGGTTATATGGCATATTGGGTCCTGATGTCCGTGATCGAGATACTTCATAACCCATAACGTGTGGAGAAACTGATTGGCCCGAGCTCATGTTGTATCTTGAGGGTGACAAGCCCTTCATGTAATGAGGATACATGCCACCTCCTGGGCCACCAGACATTACTCCAGCATTGGAAATTGGAGTAAAGTGTGGCTGTTGCTTTGATGTATCCATGTTGGGCCCGTTAATTGAATATCTATCACTTGAATTAATTAAATTTGATTTATGCTCCTCAGCTTTGAATTGTGAGTGTTTCATATAGCTAGGAGTATGTGATCCTTGGAGATGTTGTCCTTTAGACGAAACGTTACTGTTGGAATTGACACTGTTAAGATTATTGCGTACTTTTACTTCCGATTTGACAAGATTTTGAGGTTGATCTTGGGAAGAAGGTAGTGAAGAAGATGAACTTGTGAGATTTGTAAGGCTGGGGTGGTTTGCCGCTGAAGATGAGGATGAATTTGTAGATGATGGAAGGACGACTGGCTGATGAGATTGAACATTGGACGATGAAAGTTGAGGTGTATTACTTCGACTAGTAGCCAAGCCAGGCGATGAGCTTTGGTGGGCTGGAGGAGCTGACATGAGTGGTACTCCTGAAAGCTGAGTTTGCTGAGAAAAGAGACTTGAACTATGTGGTGGACCAGATGGTTGTCCCTGTTGACCGCTTTGTAAAGAAGAAGTAGACGAAGAGGAAGATTGTGATCCTGAATTGTGATATAAAGGACTTATCCTATCAACAGAATTAAATTGATGGGCAACCTTTCCACTTAAATGTTTTGACGAGGAAGCTGATGAAGGTCGCCCTAATGGTGTACCCGTATTACGACCCAAAGGAGTTCCTGATCGATCTATTAAAGGTGAAGGTTCACGCTTCTCTGGTCCAGAAATTATAGAACTACTGGAACCACCAGAATGAGCAGGTGGTGGTGGTCGAGATGGACTGGGTCCACTTGGTGGTCTACCCAAAGAGTTTCCCATAGGCGAGAAACAATTGCGTGAATTTGGTGCACTAGGATTGGAAATATTTGTTGAACTATTTAATTTTCCCACAGCTAAATGAGGCGGTGGTAATGATGGTGGTGGTGGTGGATGAGGTGGCGGAGTATCTTTCATTCCACTTGACCGTGGAGGTGGTGGAGGATAACCATAAGGTGTATAACCATATGGTCCGAGATTCTCACTATTGGCACGATGATTGGGTCCAAGTTTTGAAGCATCAGATCGTGATCCGACCGAGTTAACACTATTACTTCCATTATTATTATCTCTTGGATTGTTGGTGTTATTGTTGCTATTACTGTTGGTGTTGTTGTTGGTATTCACTGGACTAGCATTGGTCTTTTTACTCGTTGTCGATAAAGATGGTGATGATGAATTTTCACGCATTAAACTACTAATTTTTGCATCATAATGAGCCAGTAATCTAGATCCATTGACACTCATATTATTTACAAATTGTAATTGACTTGGATTAATTTGTCCTGGACCAATCGGACCATGATGACTCTGAAGATGAAGAGGTAGTGCACCAGGATGACCTGGTTGGTGAGATTGAGACCCTTTACCTTGTGAGGGACTTCCACCATCTGCAAATGATAATTACAGAGATAAAGAAAAAAGAGTTTCATTAATGTTGAATTTTAAAAGATAAAGAGAGCAATTTTTTTTCCAACGGAAGTCATTTCAGATAAACTGAACATTATAATGACAATAATGAAAAAAGAAACTTGCTTTTGAGTTTTGCTAGTTTCATGAATTTCCTCGCAACTCTTTCATTCAGCCAGCTAAACGATTAAATCTCTGATTAATCAAGATTGCAATTGAAAACTGAATCAGCTCAACACTGGCCTTCAATAACCTTGAGCAAGAATAAACCATCAGAATCAAGAAAATAATGACCATTTTCATCCTCTTTTTATCTGAAAAGATCTGATGAGAATCATGATACAAGACAAGCTGAATAAGGAGAAAATCACTTCCTCGAGTCACAAATAATTCAAAACTGTCTTCCATTTTGTCTATTAGTTGGTTAAATTTTTTTCTACTTTCTAATCTTTTTCTTTTCTATTCCAGAAGCTTACAAAAAAAGGAAAAGAAAAGGTCAGTAGAAAGATGGAAGAAAGAATAAAAATGAACCTTTTCTGAACAGGATTACCAGAAAAACGAACAAGAAGTAGATACAAGTGTAATCGATTTTTCTTCATCTTCCCAGATCTATACATAAATTTATATTAAAGCTCAAGGGAGACAACATTCAGTGAGATGGTGAAGAGGATGAAGATGAGAAAGACTATCATTAGAGATTGTCGTAATAACATGATTTTATCTCTTTCTCTCTCTCCCTTTGTAACTCAATTCCAACTGATGTTTCAATTAGGATGAGACATCATATGATACGTTGTGAGTTATATACGTCTCTAGTTTTCAAATGTCATTTGTTATTTTAAACTTTAATTCATTTTATCTAATTAAAGATTTCCGTTTGAATAGTAAAATAGATTGACTGAATACCTGAAGATACTCCTGATCTAGGAACACCCCATGATGGTGCATGGATAAGATGTAATGGGTGTTGAGGTCCGTTGGGTGAATGTGATTGTTGTTGACTAAGTACACTAAATTGTTGTGCTGCAGCAGCTGCATGAAGATGAGAAAGATTGGATTCCGAGGATCGATAATCAACTTTATTTCCTGATCGAGATTGTTGCTGGGATTTAGGTGTTTGCGGTGTTTGCTGTTGGTGATGCCGTTGCTCCAAGTTTCGTATTAAACGTGCGTCCGAATGTACCATGTTATTACTATTACTATTATTATTATTGTTATTGTTATTGTTATTACTATTGTTGTTGTTGCTGTTATTATTATTATTAACATTATTATTATTAGGTTGATGACTTGATGTTGCACTGGAGCTTGACCTTGATGAACAATTGCTGGAATTTGCAGATTTAGATTCTCCACTTTCTTTCTCAGCATCACCATTAAACATTGGAATATATGATCTAGGTAATGAATTGTTTCCGCTGGAAGAAACTGCTGGTTGAGATTGTTGCTGTGAACGTACAGGTGATTGAGGAGGAGGTGGATGATTGGGATTACCGCTGTTTCCTTTACCCATTTGTGGCCATCCTGTAGTCACCGCTCTTTGCTATAAGAGAGAGAGAAACAAGTAAAGTTAGAAAATTTCATTTCTTTTCTTAAAACAAAATTGCTCAAAATAATGTTTATGGAATAGAAGAAATGAAGCTTTTTATTGCATGAAGAAAAACGGTGAAATACTCATCATGTACAATGAACAATGAACATTATGGATTTTATATCCAATATTTACTCATTCATTTAATTGCAACCTTTTCATTACTCAATAGAACAAAACTCTAGTTTAACTTTTTTTTCTTTCTTTCTTCTTTTTCTATTTATACTACAATAGGTTAACTTTACTTTCAACCGTACATTTAATGTGTGAGAATTGTTAAACCCTGAGAATTCAAATGAGAAATTCAACAATTACAAGCAACTGGAAACTCGTGGAATTTCAATTATACCTGGATTCATTTTGTTCAGCCTGACAACAGGTTGATGGTGAAACATTTCAAGGAAGATGAAAGAGGAAGGAAAAAAGGCAAATAAAGACACAAAAAAAGCCAAGAACAAGGAAAGATTAAGTCAACATTTTATGAGAAAAACGTTGTAACCACACCTTTTCATTCATAGCGTGACAAACTTTCTTTTCTTGACTGCTCATTGTTATGATTTACCTGATGCTTTTCATGATTACTACGACGACTAAAAGGACATTAAAAACAACAACAAAATAACAAAAAATGCCTATCAAGATGTAGTCAGGTTGTATCGCAAAATGGTCAAAAAAACAGAGATTGGATAAAACGAGAAAACAGGCGAAACTGGAAAGGCAAGATTGCAAGGAAATATGGTTAAGAAAAGAAAGTAAAACAGGGAGGAAAGAAAGAGAAGGAGACAGTAAATTGTATTCTCTGAGCCCTGGGCAGGTCATAGGATAGGTTCAAGGACGAACAAAGGTCATCGAAGACCTTGAGAAAAAATTGAGCGAAACAGAAGTGAGGGTAAAAAATGGCTTTGGTTTGGCTTCAAGATGGTTTAAAAAAGAAGGTCAAAGGCTAAATCTTAAATAGATGATGATAAAGAAGAAAGAGATGAGGAGGAGAGAGAGAAGAAAGTGGTTATTTTCACAGACAGAAGAAAAGAAAGCTTAAAAGAGGAATGGTTCGAAGAATGTAACAAAAACTTGCTTTTTTTGGGTTAACTCTGTCTTCCTTTTTTCACTGTTTTCACTCTTTTCAATTGTTTGATTTATATTTACCTCGCCTTATTGAAAACACGTCTAACTGTATTTTATTTCTGGTCACTGTTTAATCATTCAATCAATTTTGAGTTACATTTTTGATGAGCACAATTTTGTCCAAAATGATTGACATGATTATGGGCAGATGGAAATTTGAATATTCCTTCAATGTTACCATTTATTGTTGTTGTTAAACAATGAATTCATTTGCAGCATTTTTTGTGTAACACTCAACATTACAATTCATAAAATTAATTTCCTGATGAAACTCAAAGAAAATGGAAACTGAAGCAAATATTTTCAAGTCATGTTTCCAGTCAACTTTCAACTCAAAAACTGACCTTTCTCATAAACTTTAACCTTCCAATCTACAAAAGCCTTGACCCAAGGCTGCTTGCAACAATGTGTTAAAGCGAACCAGAAAAGAACCAGAAAAAAACCGAAAAAAAAGGTTTACAGAAAAATGGTAAAAAGTGGCTTTTAGAGCAAACTCAACTTTTCAATTGAAAAATATTGAAGAAATGTTTGCTTTTTTGCCTTACGAAATGAGTTATTCAGTTGAAACATTCATCGTTTGTTCAATCCATTCATTGAATATTTGCATGTAAATTGAAACTTATTTTGAGCATCAGATGAGAATTGAAATGAACATAGTTGAACATACCTTTTGATTAGCAAGTCGCAAGGATTCCACGAAATGTTGATCAACAGCTTCACGCTGTTTCTTTTCCTTTTCTGCTCTTTCTTTCAAAAATTTATCCCTTTCTTTTGATTCTCTATCTTTTGCTTCTCTTTCCAATCTTTCTCTCATTTTGTCTTCAAGTTTCCTGTTGATTGGCACAGTGCACAAAAAAGGAACCATTTAATTGTCATCATTGTTGATCCAGGTAACAAAGGTAAACATTGAATGGTGAAAGGAAGAAAAGAAGAAACAATAAGTTTTCAAATAAACAATGAGTCTGTCTATTTTTTTTGTCTTCATTTAACATCCAACAAATACTCTGATTGCTTCAAGTGACTTTTACACAATCTGATTTAATTCAATCAAATAGTTTAATCAATGTTTATGCTCATCAACCTTTACAGATTTACTTTACATTTTTTTTTATCAAGCTTCTCATTTAAGATTTAAATGGTGTTATCATGAAAAACCATTTAAACACTCCAAGAGGCAGTCACAACAATTAGATAATTGAGTTATTGTTGACCAAAGAAGCAAAAAAAATGAGATAAAATTTTGATAAAGCAAAAGCAAATATTGGTAAAGATTATGGATGTTAATATATCAATAGCACTGATATTGAACCCAAAAAAAATGGATGAAATTTTGGGTTAATGTTAGCATGAGATTGAAGCAGAACTTACATTTTCTCTTGAAGTTGCCTATTATCACGTTCCCGTTCCTGAATCATTTTCCAGTCATTAATTTGGTAAGGAGTTAATAAACGATTATCTGGATTGGCCGAAGAGGCCGTCATTCCCCTCATTTCGGGATACTTTTGCCATAACAATTCTTGCTGATGTTGAAGCATAAGCATGGCCTGGTAATTACCAATTGCATTGGAATAAGGTGAAATAATTCCTGGTGGAGGACGAGACATTGTTGAGCTATTTTGCGAGTCTAAAGATGATGCTGATGATTTGGGTATGGACGATGAGGGTTGTGAAGATAGATGATGGTGAGATTGAATGTGTTGTTGTTGTTGATGGTGAAGATGATGTTGCTGTTGTTGGTGGTGTTGTTGATGGTGTATCGATGATGCTATTGATGTTGATGGGAGACCGGTTGTGCGATCACCATTTGGTGGACAAGGTGGCCTGGGTAAATGTGAAACTGATTGAGATGGGGTCATGTGAAGATGCATCAAAGAACTAGAATAGGTTGTGCTGTTGATGGAAGAAGTTGGAGAAGCTGAGGATGATTTTGACTGTGAATTTGTTTTACTGGTTGTGCTTGTTGTTGTCACAGATGAAAAATTAGATCCTAAATGGTTGTGTGAATTATTTAGACGCACAGAGGTATTGCGTTGCTGTTGGTTAACCTGGTCTTGGTTGTTGGCTTGTTGTTGCTGTTGTTGCTGTTGTTGTTGGTACTCTTGGTTTTCATTTTTTTGAGCTTTAGACTGTAAACCGTGGGCTTGTTGGTCACTTAAATCAAGTCCAAACCGATGGTAATTTGATTTTAACGAACTATCAAAATTACTATTATTAACATCTGCTTTTGTAACACTTGAGTTCATCACACTTGCAATACAATTTGAATCTGAATGCTTTGATGATTTATTATTTGTTTTAACAGCAATCTCCTTCTCATTGCCTGTATTGATGTGTTTGTTAATCCTAATGTTATCGTCGTTTGTGTTACAATTATTTGTGGTGGTTGTTAAACTGTTATTGTTATTATCGTTATGCGAGTTAACCCTGCTATTAACGGTTGATGTAGTTGTAGTTGTACTTGTGTTGGTTGTTACCGTTGTCGTTGAAGATACGTTAATGTTGCTTAAATTGTTGACCAAATTTGAATTTTTAACTCTATTGGGATGATGATTGGTTGAATTATTGTTGCTTGGATTCGTCAATTTTCTAGCATTGGAATTGACGTAATTATTATTAGTGGTTACACTATTATTTAATGAGGTTGCTGTTGTAGTTTCACGAGAATTTTGATTACAGGCACGTCGACGAGGAGTAATTCCAATTTCTTCTCCTTTTAATATTGATTCTACAACTGTAAATGTAAAAAGAAGAGAGCAATTAGTAAATAGATTAAAATTGGTGGCAATCTTTCCGTCTAAAATAGACATTGATAAAACCAGAATAAACATAAAATTTTCATTGAAAACCAGAAGAAAAAGACTGTTTACTCTCTTCTACTTGTCTTCAATTGTTTCAATCATCATAATATCTTAACAATAATCTGGATTAATGATAATGATGATGACGATGATCACAACAATAATAGAAACAATAAAAGAGAAAGATCAACATTTCTCAATGTACGTTACTTTGAATCAATTTACTTTCCAATTATTGTTATCAGACACACAATATATCTTGAAAAATGTTGCGACTCCCTTGCTGAGCAACGATAATTTTTACATCCACTTCACAGTTAATTAACTTTACAAATCTTTCTCTCCCACCCTTTAGTTGCTAGCCGCTGGTTTTTGGCTGTTTATTCTGGTTAACAGACACAGATAACAGGGACACACACAAATGAATATATTAAAAGCACATATTACCTCCATCACCAATCAATTTCATCTGAACCAAAGTAGGATCCTCATTCCGTTCTTCGAGAACTGTGTCATCGGTTAATGTTAATTCCTAATGGTAAAAAGCAGATCACAAAAATGTATATAAATTAATCCAAATTTGAAAAAAACAATCACAAAAAAAATCTGGTTAAACACAGGATTACGATTTTTCTTAACCTTTAGCTTACAATTCAATTCTTTCAACTGTTTCCCAAACCATTTACTCACTTTTCACTCACTCGCTCCCTCTTTACCAGAAAAACAAGTGAGAAACACTCACTAAACCCTCTTTCAATCTTCTCTTACATTTTCTCTTTCTCCTTCTTTCTTTATCTTCCATGTCTGCGCTCTTCTTTCTTTCCTTTCTTTCTTCTCCTTTGTCTGTCTCTCTTCATTTATCGCCATTACTTTTTATATACATTTCAACATTTTCTTCCTTTCTATTTTTGCTTCTTCTTCTCTTCCATTTCTCTTCTTCTTCTTCTTCTTTAACAAGTTCCCTTAATTTCCTCTTTTCTTCTTCTTTCGCAAGTAATTACCTGTTATCTTCATCTACATCATCACACACGTCAATCTACTTTCTTCTCTTTCGCCATTACCTTTCTCTCTATCTTCCAACAGACAGAGGAGAGATACCTTAAGGCTTTTATCATCCACTATTACAGTAAACATAAAAAAAGGTTACATTCAAAGTGATTACATTTTTTCACCTTTTTTTGGGTAAAAAATGGTCCTTTACTCAAGCTTCCTCATTACAAGATGTACACACAGTATTGATTGACAAGGGCACCACAATTTATCATCAACATCATGCAATAAAGGTAAATTATTAGCTTCAATTGTTGAGTATTGAAAGGATTGACCAAATGTTTGAGTGTTTCATTAAATTGATTTTTCAATTTACTTGGAAAGGTTAAAAATCAATTCATGTAAATATAACAACAACATCAGTAATGGGACATTAATGTGCATCATTTGATTAATGATGAGCAAAAAAGGCAGCATTAATTGTAAAGATATTCATTTATGATATTGGATTAACCTTTTTCAATAAAAGCATCACTCAATTAGATTATCAAATGAATTATATTATACACTGTGTTTTTTTCCTGATTATATCTAAATAAACCAATTGAGATCAATTGAAGAATCAACATTTAATATCCTGACAATGTGACAAACTATAATTAACTATCATCATGACTCAACCATTATAATGATGAAATCAGTTGACAAGAGTGAAACAGATAAGAAAACATGTTCATCATTATCAGCAAACACCATGATTGTGATTAACCAGAAAACAAGATGAAAAAGTAAAATGAATGTATCATGTTGAAAGGTTCTGGTTAACCTTGGCAAGGACAAATACAGCAAATACAACAAAAACTGGTTAATTTTGCAAAAATAAAACAACAACAATTCAAAGCATTATCTCATCGGCAAATGCAACGATTTGTTTTTCACCTCAATTTCAGTTGTTCAGTCATCATCATGTAACAAGCTTCTTTGTATTGAGTCTCTCGGTTTTTTTGCCTCATTTTCAAGTCAAAGAAAGAAAAGATGAAAAAAACAAAATGGTTTCCATGGTGTTGTGATTGATGCTTTTTGTGTGCTTTTTCATCTTCATCTCTGGGTTAACTTGAGATGGATGAGTGAGTAGTGAGAGAGAGAGAGATGAAGCTATTTACTCCCTCTCATTCTGGTCACATAAAAGACGAAAAAAAAAACATCAACAAAAGAAAGGATAAAATGATGAAGAGAATGACAAAAACAAGATGAAGAAGGAAGTTAAGGAAGACTGAAAGTAACCAGAAGACTAAGAAGAGAGAAGGAGAAAGATGAAGATGATGATGATGGTCAGCTATTGTCCTATACTTTTGTTGATTCATTTTGTTCAATTTGAATAAGGGAGGAAAAAACCTAAGGGAAGATGATGATGATAAGTAAACGAAACTAGGATCCAAATTGAGGATCAATATATAGACTAAGGCCAGATAAGAGGGAGGTCATGATGAAAAGATGAAGAGAAAAGAAGATTGGATGATTGAAGCCGAGTGAGAGGCTAATAGGCTTTAAGATTATAAGTTAAGGTTAAAGCTTACAGCAACGGGAAACTGGTCTCGAGGGATGACAAGGGAGAGGACGATGCAAGAGCAGGTCGTTAGGTTGCCCTAGGTAGTAACACAGGTGAAAAGATTGAACCTTAAATAGAGACAAAAGTAAAACATTTTTCATCCAATGACACAAAAAAAAGGTAAAAAAAATCTGGTTTCTTTACATTTGCCCGTTCAACATTATTAGCATTGAAAACCACTTTTAACCCAGTATAATAATAAGGTTATATGCAAAGGTAAAGCTAAAGGTCATCGCCACACTAAACAGGTAACATCCAGGCTGCAACATTTTCTGGTTTACTTTTTTTTCTCCATGTTTTTCAACCATTTCTGGTTAAACCTTTTCTGGTTTTTCATTATTATTACAAAGTCATTATTCAATTCCATTATCATTTTTGTTTTGTTATCACATTATTAAATATCAAATAGTTTAAATAAATTATAATGAGAATAGCGTTTAACCCAAAAATGGTAAATATTATCACAAAATATTACTTATTATTTGATATGATGATGAGCAAAAAGGTTTTGCGATACCAGAGTAAATAGTATCAATTACTCAATTTCAAGTTGGAAAAATTCCAACCATCATTCAGTCTCTTGCTCTTGAGCTTTTTCACCATTTTTTTTTACTTTCATAATTATCATAATCATCTTGCTCGTCATCATTATCATTGATGGTGGCAACACAGTTTAACATCTATTTTCAGATCTCCACCCTGAATTGGCATCAATAATGGATAACATGATGTTTCAAGTAAAGTTCAGCTTTTTTTTGTTTTCCCATCTCTTCTGTCTATAACAGTTTTCCAGGCCTGGTGTGTTCAAGGAATGGAAAGTAAAAGACTCAAGATCAATATCAGGAAACTGATAATAACAAGACGTTTATAAGAAAAGATAAAAATGATGAAACTTCAAACATAAGTCTCAATCTAGAAGGAAAAACATGATTCTCCTTTCTGTTCCATCATCATCCATTTATCATCAACAAATCTTCTCATCATCCCCATCATCTTGGTCATTATCATCATCGTCTTCATCTTCTGTTACCATCTTCTTGCAAGAAGATAACTTATCACTATTGGCCTTAGGATATGAATACGTTGAACTGGTTTCAATTCAGTAGTTAAAGGCAACAAAATGAGTGAGAGAAAGAAGAAGAAGATAAAAAAAAGACAAAATACTTATTTAATACTCGAGTGTTGTTTTACCTTGTACAACCAGATTTAACCCGAAAACCGGTATCACTCTGGTTAATCATTAATATTAATAATCTCTATAAAATATTCCTATTTTTATCCCTTTCAGGGAGCAAAATTGGAAACCAGAAAATATCTGTTTTCATCAGTTATATCATAACCTTGATGTAACCTTATGATAAGTTACATAAAGCACATAAAGTAGATGTTGATTAGGATAAACTGAAACAATGATAATGATGTTTGTCTCAATCAACATTATCACATGTTCAATTGTAAATTATCTTAATCTTAATGAGTTAAGTGAATTGCAAGTGAAATGGCAAAATAATGTCCTTGTCACATCTATTATTTTTGGGTCATTTGATTGACAATCAAGCTAATTAGTTGAAGTGTAAATAGACAGTTAAGGTTGCCAGGTAAGTAGACGATTCAAGTGTGAAAGGAAAGTGAATTTGAGTGAAGTAAAAAGAGAAATGATTATTTATGGAAAATGATTGCGAATTGAAATGGAAAACATGAAATATGGTGAAGAAGAAAAATTAGAATAACTTGTGATTTAAATTCTGGTTTTAGGTGGGTTAGGTAAATGTTGTATTTACATTTTTGTGACTCTTTGTAAATGATGCAAAAAATGGAGCAAGATGGCAAGATTATGTCGACATGGAGAGAAGAGGAAAGAAGCAGGAAAATTGATCCTGACAGTGAATTTATCAAGACTCAGATTGTACCCAATGTTATATTTGGGGAGAAATAGATTGTACCAGACTTTTTTTCTTCTACTTCATCCTCATCATTATCTTTTCTCCTCATCTTCATCTTCTTTCACCTAATTTCCATTGTGCCTTTGATAATGGATTATGGCAGTAAGATGAGGAAGACTGGAAGGGAAAGCGCAAAAGCTTTAAGTGAATGAATGAATGAATGTGTAAAGAGTGATAAAGGAAAGAAACTGATGATGATGATTGGAAGGAAAGAGAGGAAAATGGAAATGATGATGATGATGATGATGATGACTATCATCATGGTTTTGGTGTGGAATGTTAAATCATTTTCTGCTGCTTTTTTATCTCAAAGTAAACGATTGTACCAGGAGATTGTAAGTGATCAGAAAAAGGATGCGGAGAAGGAAAGAATCATATTGCACACAGATCATCATCATCACAGCACGAGTTTACAGACACTTTGAGGGAGAAGATGAAGGAAGACATTAATCGATTGGAAGATGGAGAGAGAGAGAGAGAGAGAAGAGGAAAAGATGAGGATCATTCATAGAAGAAGCTTAACAGGGAATTTGAAAAACATTGCTTTTTCCTCTATTTTTCAGTTGAATCGTCTATCGATCTAGAGTTAACTTGGGAAAAGATGGGAACAAGAGGAAAACATTACAAGAGTAAAAACCTGGAAGTAATTTTTGTCCTTGAGTTGAACATATGAGACTGAGTTGAGTCGCCAGAATTGATATCATTTTTTGTATTTAAACCTATTAAATAGTGAAATTGATTGATATCCAATAGTTAACAATAAACAACATTTACTTGAAACAATTAAGGTTAATGTTTTGCATCAGGGTAACAATTAATTTCATGTTTTTTTGCTGCTTCTACCTTTTTACACTCAATGTTTAGGCGAAAGCCAAGAAACTGAACAACTCAATTTGAACGGGAAAATAAATTGTTACACAAATCGTTAACGTTAATTGTAACATTACAATCCAAATCGATGGTTTAATCACTTGCCAATAGCAACAAGTT